AGAAACAGGTTCTTTTGCTTCTAGATGATCTAAAAGTACTATAAATTAATTTAGATTCGATATGAACGTCAATTTCTCGAAAAAATATGGATTTTTCGAGGGGTCGGGGTTTGATAAAAAAATAAGGCTCTAGGCTTAGATAAATCGACGATTTTTTTGGAAATTTTTTTCTTCTAGAAACAGGTTCTTTTGCTTCTAGATGATCTAAAAGTACCATAAATTAATTTAGATTCGATATGAAAGTCAATTTTTCGAAGAAATATGGACTTTTTTGAGGGGTCGGGTTTTGATAAAAAAGTAAGGCTATAAGCTTAGGAAAATCGACGATTTTTTTGAAATTTTTTTCTTCTAGAAACATGTTCTTTTGCTTCTATATGATCTAAAAGTACTATAAATTAATTTAGATTCGATATGAAAGTCAAGTTTTCGAAAAAATATGGATTTTTTGAGGAATCGGGGTTTGATAAAAAAATAAGGCTTTAGGCTTAGATAAATCGACGATTTTTTCGGAAATTTTTTTCTTCTAGAAACAAGTTCTTTTGCTTCTATATGATCTAAAAGAGCAATAAATGAATTTTGATTCGATATGAATGTCAATTTTTCGAAAAAATATGGACTTTTTTGAGGTGTCGGGTTTTGATAAAAAAGTAAGGCTATAGGCTTAGAAAAATCGACGATTTTTTTGGAAATTTTTTTCGTCTAGAAACAGGTTCTTTTGCTTCTATATGATCTAAAAGTACTATGAATGAATTTAGATTCGATATGAATGTCAATTTTTCGAATAAATATGGACTTTTTTGAGGGGTCGGGTTTTGATAAAAAAGTGAGGCTATAGGCTTAGAAAAATCGACGATTTTTTTGGAAATTTTTTGTTCTAGAAACAGGTTCTTTTGCTTCTATATGATCTAAAAGTACCATAAATTAATTTAGATTCGATATGAAAGTCAATTTTTCGAAAAAATATGGACTTTTTTGAGGGGTCGGGTTTTGATAAAAAAGTAAGGCTATAGGCTTAGGAAAATCGACGATTTTTTTGGAAATTTTTTTCGTCTAGAAACAGATTCTTTTGCTTCTATATGATCTAAAAGTACCATAAATTAATTTAGATTCGATATGAAAGTCAATTTTTCGAAGAAATATGGACTTTTTTGAGGGGTCGGGTTTTGATAAAAAAGTAAGGCTATAAGCTTAGGAAAATCGACGATTTTTTTGAAATTTTTTTCTTCTAGAAACATGTTCTTTTGCTTCTATATGATCTAAAAGTACTATAAATTAATTTAGATTCGATATGAAAGTCAAGTTTTCGAAAAAATATGGATTTTTTGAGGAATCGGGGTTTGATAAAAAAATAAGGCTTTAGGCTTAGATAAATCGACGATTTTTTTGGAAATTTTTTTCGTCTAGAAACAGATTCTTTTGCTTCTATATGATCTAAAAGTACTATAAATTAATTTAGATTCTATATGAAAGTCAATTTTTCGAAAAAATATGGACTTTTTTGAGGGGTCGGGTTTTGATAAAAAAGTAAGGCTATAGGCTTAGGAAAATCGACGATTTTTTTGGAAATTTTTTTCTTCTAGAAACAGGTTCTTTTGCTTCTATATGATCTAAAAGTACTATAAATTAATTTAGATTCGATATGAACGTCAATTTTTCGAAAAAATATGGATTTTTTGAGGGGTCGGGTTTTGATAAAAAAGTAAGGCTATAAGCTTAGGAAAATCGACGATTTTTTTGGAAATGTTTTTCCTCTAGAAACAGGTTCTTTTGCTTCTATATGATCTAAAAGTACCAAAAATTAATTTAGATTCGATATGAAAGTCAATTTTTCGAAAAAATATGGATTTTTCGAGGGGTCGGGGTTTGATAAAAAAATAAGGCTTTAGGCTTAGATAAATCGACGATTTTTTTGGAAATTTTTTTCTTCTAGAAACAGGTTCTTTTGCTTCTATATGATCTAAAAGTACCATAAATTAATTTAGATTCGATATGAAAGTCAATTTTTCGAAGAAATATGGACTTTTTTGAGGGGTCGGGTTTTAATAAAAAAGTAAGGCTATAGGCTTAGGAAAATCGACGATTTTTTTGAAATTTTTTTCTTCTAGAAACATGTTCTTTTGCTTCTATATGATCTAAAAGTACCATAAATTAATTTAGATTCGATATGAAAGTCAATTTTTCGAAAAAATATGGATTTTTTGAGGGGTCGGCTTTTGATATAAAAGTAAGGCTATAAGCTTAGAAAAATCGACGATTTTTTTGAAATTTTTTTCTTCTAGAAACATGTTCTTTTGCTTCTATATGATCTAAAAGTACTATAAATTAATTTAGATTGGATATGAAAGTCAATTTTTCGAAAAAATATGGATTTTTTGAGGGGTCGGGTTTTGATAAAAAAGTAAGGCTATAAGCTTAGGAAAATCGACGATTTTTTTGAAATTTTTTTCTTCTAGAAACATGTTCTTTTGCTTCTATATGATCTAAAAGTACTATAAATTAATTTAGATTCGATATGAAAATTAACTTTTCGAAAAAATATGGACTTTTTTGAGGGGTCAGGTTTTGATAAAAAAGTAAGGCTATAGGCTTAGGAAAATCGACGATTTATTTGGAAGTTTTTTTCTTCTAGAAACAGGTTCTTTTGCTTCTATATGATCTAAAAATACTATAAATGAATTCAGATGTGAAATGAAAAGTCAATTTTTCGAAGAAATAAATACTTTTTCGAGGGGTCGGGGTTTGATAAAAAAAAAATGCTTTAGGCTTAGATAAATCGACGATTTTTTTGGAAATTTGTTTCTTCTAGAAACAGGTTCTTTTGCTTCTATATGATCTAAAAATACTATAAATGAATTTAGATTCGATATGAATGTCAATTTTTCGAAAAAATATGGACTTTTTTTAGGGGTCGGGTTTTGATAAAAAAATAAAGCTATAAGATTAGGAAAATCGACGATTTTTGTGAAATTTTTTTGTTCTAGAAACAGGTTTTTTTGCTTCTATATGATCTAAAAGTACTTTAAATTAATTTAGATTCGATAGGAGAGTCAATTTTTCGAAGAAATAAATACTTTTTCGAGGGGTCGGGGTTTGATAAAAAAGTAAGGCTATAGGCTTACGAAAATCGACGATTTTTTTGGAAATTTTTTTCTGCTAGAAACAGGTTCTTTTGCTTCGTCATGATTTAAAAATACTATAAATGAATTCAGATGTGAAATGAAAAGTCAATTTTTCGAAGAAATAAATACTTTTTCGAGGGGTCGGGGTTTGATAAAAAAGTAAGGCTATAGGCTTAGATAAATCGACGATTTTTTTGAAAAATTTTTTCTTCTAGAAGCAGGTTCTTTTGCTTCTATATGATCTAAAAATACTATAAATGAATTTAGATTCGATATGAAAGTCAATTTTTCGAAGAAATATGGACTTTTTTGAGGGGTCGGGTTTTGATAAAAAAGTAAGGCTATAGGCTTAGGAAAATCGACGATTTATTTGGAAGTTTTTTTCTTCTAGAAACAGGTTCTTTTGCTTCTATATGATCTAAAAATACTATAAATGAATTCAGATGTGAAATGAAAAGTCAATTTTTCGAAGAAATAAATACTTTTTCGAGGGGTCGGGGTTTGATAAAAAAGTAAGGCTATAGGCTTAGATAAATCGACGATTTTTTTGAAAAATTTTTTCTTCTAGAAGCAGGTTCTTTTGCTTCTATATGATCTAAAAATACTATAAATGAATTTAGATTCGATATGAAAGTCAATTTTTCGAAGAAATATGGACTTTTTTGAGGGGTCGGGTTTTGATAAAAAAGTAAGGCTATAGGCTTAGGAAAATCGACGATTTATTTGGAAGTTTTTTTCTTCTAGAAACAGGTTCTTTTGCTTCTATATGATCTAAAAATACGATAAATGAATTCAGATGTGAAATGAAAAGTCAATTTTTCGAAAAAATAAATACTTTTTCGAGGGGTCGGGGTTTGATATAAAAGTAAGGCTATAGGCTTAGATAAATCGACGATTTTTTTGAAAAATTTTTTTCTTCTAGAAACAGGTTCTTTTGCTTCTTTATGATCTCAAGGTACTATAAGTGAATTCAGATGTGAAATGAAAAGTCAATTTTTCGAAGAAATAAATACTTTTTCGAGAGGTCGGGGCTTGTTAAAAAAGTAAGGCTATAGGCTTAGATAAATCGACGATTTTTTTGAAAATTTTTTTCTTCTAGAAACAGGTTCTTTTGCTTCTATATGATCTAAAAATACTATAAATGAATTTAGATTCGATAGGAGAGTCAATTTTTCGAAAAAATATGGACTTTTTTGAGGGGTCGGGTTTTGACAAAAAAGTAAGGCTATAAGCTTAGGAAAATCGACGATTTTTTTGGAAATTGTTTTCTTCTAGAAACAGGTTCTTTTGCTTCTTTATGATCTCAAGGTACGATAAGTGAATTCAGATGTGAAATTAAAAGTCAATTTTTCGAAGAAATAAATACCTTTTTGAGGGGTCGGGGTTTGATAAAAGAGTAAGGCTATAGGCTTAGATAAATCGACGTTTTTTTTGGAAATTTTTTTCTTCTAGAAACAGGTTCTTTTGCTTCTTTATGATCCCAAGGTACTATAAGTGAATTCAGATGTGAAATGAAAAGTCAATTTTTCGAAGAAATAAATACTTTTTGGAGGGGTCGGGGTTTGTTAAAAAAGTAAGGCTATAGGCTTAGATAAATCGACGATTTTTTTGGAAATTTTTTTCTTCTAGAAACAGGTTCTTTTCTTTCTATATGACGTGAAAGCACTATAAGTGAATTTTAGATGCAGAATGAAAGTCAATTTTTCGAGGAAATAAGGACTTTTTAGAGGGGTTGGGGTGTGATAAAAAGTAAGGCTATAGGCTTAGAAAATTCGACGATTTTTTTGGATTTAGATAGGGAATGAAATTGAATTAGATAGGGATTGAAAGTCAATATTTTGAAAAAAATAAGGACTTTTTAGAGGGGTTGGACTTTGATAAGAAGTAAGTCCATAGGATTAGAAATACCTTAGATTTTTTCTATTTTTCATTCTTCTAGAAATAGCTTCTTTAATTCTTTACGTTTTGAAAGTACTATAATGGAATCTAGATGCGGAATGTAAGTCAATAAAAGGCTAGAGCGAAAATCACAACTTGAAAGCTGTTAAATCGACTAATGTTCCTAATCCCCTACCCGAAGGTCAACATCATTAATGTGTAATACCGTAAATTGTAAATTTGCGGGGCTGGGTCACATGTAAGGCCGCGGGACAATGTTGTTGTGTTGAAACTTGTGGATAGGGTGAATCCACTACAGCAACTGAAGTGACATTCGGTAGGACAGAGAATGGCAGTGCATCAAGAAGTTTTGAATGACTGTAGTTTCTAAAAAATTATTTTGTCATTGCCAAAATCTTAAAGTTTGATTTTATAACTACAGCGGAATCCCGATTCAACGAACCCCGGACATAACGAACTTCCCGGTATAACGAACTAAATGTCTGGTCTATAGGATTCTGCCTAACTCTCTACAAAATCTCCCGGTATAAAGAACCTCGGATAGAACGAACTCTCGATATTACGAACCAAGTTTTGGGTCCCTTCATCATAATTACCCTCGATATAATGAATAATGTTTCACCATTTTTTTTTGTTATTTTTAACTATTTATTTTGGATGCTCTTTGATCACTTTCTTTCGGGGAAAATCATTATTGTCATCGGCAAAACCTGCTGATGATACATTGCAAGCCCTGGCTGATAGGCTCAGAGCACGGGACGAGAGTTTGATCGCGTCAAAGATTAATGCGAATGAGTACATTGACACTACCGAATACCTTTGTTACATATGAGACATTGGCAGTGAGCTACGATAAAACTTTATTGAGAGACCCAGAGAGAGAAGCAAAAAACAAATAAGAATGTGAAGTAATCGAAGACGCCATTCAGCCGCCAACTAGAAGTGAAGCGATATCAGCTTTGCCAATGCCTGGGTACCAAATTGTAACAGGAGCATTAAGATCTTCATTTTCCATTTTCGATGACTAACAATTAGTAATATTTGAATTCAGCTTGGTTTTTTTGGAGTAAAATGTGCACAAAAATTGGGGATAGCCTAAACATGCCCACCGCAGGTTTTTAGGTGTGAACTGCGAAGACCTAAAAAATGTTTTCACCCGGTTTAGCGAACTCCCGATATAACGAACTATTTTCTGGCTCCCTTAGAGTTTGTTAAAGCGCGCAACATCATTTCATTGATCAGTCTACGAAAAAGATACCGTTCTTACTGCAGCGAGAACACAAGAAGTGAACGTCCTAACGGGCTGTTTGGCGGAAGGGACAGCACAGAGACATTATCTGTGGAATCCCAGGTTCACAAACAGCACACATTGCTAAAAGCTATGGTTTAAGAATGATTCAGATTTGGCAGCATTGCTGCTAGCATCAAGAGTCTGCACGCAGGCTAAGATTTCATGGCCTGTCATTTTGTCAAACACTTCGCTTGGACGATTGATAACAAAATCCCTCTTACACGCAGACTGTCCCGCACAAAATGTTTGTTTACGGTTAGGTGACCCAGCCCCTTTGAAGATAAATGCTGACAATGCATCTTGCAGGAGTAAGTCTGCTTATTCTTTATCTGGTAGCTATTTGAAAAATTTGACAGTAAAAAAACTGGGAATTCGAATATCATTCGAAACCCTTTATAAGGATCTACTACAGACGATAAATGCTCTTGGATATTCATGTCTGAACAATAGTTGCTACCTTTGTCATAAGATACATTGAAATAGGAGTCATGACAACATCTTACCTTTAGGCCACTGGGATCGTCCAGGGAGGCTTATCTCTAAATCCGTGGTAAACCATCAAGGAAACATTCCAATCTCATATTTAGAGTACAAATAATAGGCCTGAGCCTGTACTGCGACCTTCCAAAGAACCAAACGCTGTATTCCTTGATCTCCCTAAAAGAAAATTGAATAACAAATGCTATGACCTACTTTCGAGTGGATGTCTTTCATCTCTTGAAAGCATTTGGCTTACACTTTTCTATATCGCGTGTAGGTATTGGAATCCTACTGGTTTTGAAAGAAATGTAAAACATGGCTCCGCACAGTAAAATGTTTCCCAGTTGAGGATGCATCCAAGTTATCCCAAATGAGTTATTTTACATGCCCATGAGTGTTTCTGACCACAAAATTAAGGGGAAATATGTCCTTGGGGAAGCTGCGATTCATACACTTTCTGAAAGAAACTTTCCTAGGATGTCAGGAAGCATGGTTCTATGCAATCCAAATGGCGACTTCGGAAGTCGATTTGAGTCTATTTAAAGCTCCGAAGGATTGCGGAGAATTTGACTTGTTATATGTACAAGCAGGAGCGATTTTTTGGAAAGGATCGAACCAACTGGAGTAAATAGTTGAAAATGATACCCTGTTCAGCAGCATAAACAAGGAATTAGGATCTGTTGAACTGGTTATCTATGTTTTAAATCAAGGAGCGAGAGAGGGGATCAAACGTCCACAGAGGCGTAAAATAGCTAAGACAACAGCACCATACACAAACCGTTCGTCTTGCTCTCTGTGACCGTAAGGGTCAATGCCCCCAACCCCCTCAATAGTAGAACGGTATTTAAAGTTTATTTGATACAATGACCTCCCCCTCTTAATTGTGGAACAGTAAATTTAGCTTACATAATACACTACAAAAGTAAATTATCTATTCTCGGAGTGATGGTTGCAAAAATCACTGTTTGTTAATTTACAAAACAACGGTTACTATTCAAAGTTTTATCCAACTGCACTTTTTAGGATACTTTGGAGAGACTGAGTATCGACAAAAGGGCGCTAAACAGTATGACATTTTTTGAACCCCACCCAGTGATAATCGAAAGAGTCAAATCTTACTCCCTTGGAAGATAATCACGATTCTTCTTATTTCGAAATTGTTTCAGTTGTCCTAAAGCCAGTTTCACAGGATCAAGACCAACCATATTGCGATGCAGAAACAAACAAAACACGATGAATTAATTCTTCATCCTTCATTTAAACATCGAGGGATGGGAATCGAATCTGTAAATTTTAGACTTCGATTGAAATTAGGTTTTTAAATTTAGTAATGTAGTTTTCTAGTAATGTAGGTACTCATTTGCAATTAATAATTGTTCTTTAATAAATTGTAATCTTTTAATGGAGGGCCCCTTGAAAAACAGCTTGTGATTAAGAGTAACCTCCTAAAAGAGTTCAAATGAAATGAATTGTAACTTCAGCGAAGCGCGCGGCTCATATTTAAATTCCTCAATGGATAGCTGTTTTGTGTAAAACGCAAGTGCCAGTGGTCTTAGTTATAATTCGTGACTGGTTGGTTTCTGCTGGATTCATTCTGGTGAATCACACTTGATCGAGATAGCACAACGCAACCGAAAGTATCTCAGAGCAGCTTAAATGATTTGTATTTTGCGGGTTGCAAACCCGGGATGACGTACATGTCGTTTTCTGCAAAAAACCTCAGTCGATGGATTATACTGATTATCAGAGAGACAGTGCCACAGTATATGCTTACATAGCTATGTGCACAATATTTCGACTGACCTCAAAGCAGACAAAACCAAGCAACTCTGACAGGGGCACAATGGCTAGGGTGGGGCAAGGTGGCTACACAGTCTCTCTTGAATACGAAATTCTGGCAAGCGCACTGCTTTCGCCAAAAAACCATCTAACTCCCACTGCGCTCCTGGACTTCGATAAGCAGGAAAGTCGTTTCTGATATAATTATGGAGGATTAAAATGTTTTTGTTTTTATTTAATTCTGGGCTGTACCAGCCAAGGTCAGATAACTTGAGATTTTGGGAAATCAAAATGTTTCTTAGTCTAAGCCCGTAGCCAGGCCTGTGGAGGAGGGGTGGCAAATTCACCATGTCCAGGAAATCAGGCGAAGTTTAAAGTGAAATTATTTGTAAGTATAAGCAATGTGAAATTTATTTTGAGGCCTACATGAGTAATACGGTACCCCAATGAAAAAATTTCCTTTTGCCAATAATGTTAGCTTGACTCAAATTTTCATGACAATCAAATAAAACAACAAAAACGCCATTGACAAGATTGGACACAAACGTTTTGGGGATGGCAAAGAGCCGGTATTCTCGTGCTCCAGGGGCCCATTGCCACCGTACTACAGGTCGGTCTTAGTCCAGTCACATTACACATCTAGCGTCAGAAAATGTCAACCACATGCAACAAACCCCATTGTTTTCAGTCAACTGATATCAACTAAACATTATTTATGTTTCAAAACCCCAGAGGCAGAGGATTAAAAAAAGGGCTGATGGTTAGCTATAAGAAATTCTAAGGAAATACTGTATTTTGGTACAATATCAACAAAAGTTCATGTCTGTCAAATGCCCTGGGGTCTACTCTGGTACATTTCGGAGGGGTATGCTCAGGGTACTTTTTGGGGATTTTAAAATTTAGGTTAAAAGTACTTTTTTGGAGCAAACCTTTTGGTACTTACTTGGGTTCATAAAATGCTGGAATATATTTTGGAGTCTCAAAGAGAGATTATAAAAAAATAAATTTGATTGTAACCACAATCGAGTTTATCCACCAAAGGCAACTTTGAATTAGGTGTAACAGAAAAATCTTATAAAAAATTATCACATGGTGCAGCTGCCATTAAACCGATACTGGTGTCTACACACATGAAAGCTATCATGGAAAACACTTTTCTAGAACGTAGATCTATTTATTTCATCATATAATTTAGCTTTGCAATTAAAAGAAAAATACTTTGTTAGGTTTACTTCCATCCCAAAAATGTTCTTTGTGTTGAAACTTATACTCCAAACTATGCCCCTGTCCTAAATACACCAGAGTACCCCAGGGGTCAAATGATGACAGAAGTAAATACAACTCTTAGTTAAGGAATTAAGACATTTTTAGCAAAACTACCCGTTTACAAGGCAATGACAACGAAGCATGTTTAAAAACACTTTCAATGAATCAAATACATCTAATATAAGATACATATCAAATACACTCCTAAAAGCAGATTTTTAAATGACAACATAATCATCCCAATGCAAATATAAAAACAGGTAATGGCATGAATCTTTAGTCAAGAGTCTTTAGGGAGACAGTTGACATAAAGATGATAACATGCTAGAAATGATTCTTAACCAAGGTTATGGCCTATAGAGTTTTAGCAAAATATTATCCCAGAAACAAAACCTGAGCCTTAATTACTAACCAATTGCCAAATAATCATTTTAATAAAACATAATAGTTATCGGCTGGTGGATTATTGTTATAGTTCAAGAGAATTGAACACAGAAGTGGATACCATTACTGCTTTAAAATAAACGGTAAGCTAAATGCAAATGAACATGATTGCAGCTTTTGTGAACAAGAATTCATAAATTGGTCTATCTTTAACTGCTTTACATATCAGCAGTCAGCTAATAAAGAACCAAAGTCCTGTAGACTTTCAATATCTTTTCCATTGGGTAATCATGGGAGGGATAAAAAATAATTTCTCACAGATGTATTTACAAAATATAACACTTTGATACTAAATACATTATCTTTGTTAACATCTATTTTATTACAAAAGGACTAAGGAAGACATTCCCACTCAAATGTCAAGCAAGGGCATTCAAATTTCACCTTGAATTATTGAATTGGTCTAGGTCACAAGAAAAATTTGAACATAAAGGCAACACAAAAACCAAAAATAAACACACTTATTAAAAACCTTAACCAATTTTTAGAAAAAAACTGTAGGGTGTCTCTGTAAGGGGCCTGCCAGAATGAGACACTATAAAAGAATATTGTCATTTTGAATAACTACCAAAAGTAGTCCAAAGTCATCACTGTACAAAGCTTCAGGACCTCTAAATCTACCGATAAAACAATATACATATAAAACCACTTTTATGTGGCTTATTACATGTATATAATGCAATCTGTAATCAAATCTACTTTGAAAAACTTTCTTATCTTTTCCTTTCTCATTAACAAAGAACAGTTAACCTATTTCAGTCTTATTTAAACTACATATAACTGATCTAACACCCCAATGATTCCAAGAGCTACTTTCAATGCTGAAGCATCATAAATCTTTTGTCAGCCTAGCCAGATTCTAAGTATTGCAAAACAAAATAACAAAAAAACAGAGATTAAGAAATACCTTAGTTTACCATAAAAAATGTTTGCCATTAAAACTCTTGGAAACATTTTTTTAGTTTGAGGCTCCATCTCTGAGTACAAAACTAACAGGAACAACAAAAGTATTACCTAGACATAAGTTGTTTGCTTGTATCTGGCAGCCTCAAGATCCACTTTCTCATTTGAAGAGCTTTCATCTCCACTGTAGCCTGTATCACTGTCAGATTTTGTAAGCAAATCACGAGTTTTTGCAAGCATAGCCATTCGTACATCATCAATGTCTTTGCTTCTTAGAAAATCACATTTCTGTGCCTTGTCAAGAATCTTTGTCTCCAGATGATAAAGCCGGTTGTCAATGGCAATTAGTTCTTTCACATTTTCAAAGATTGCAGTAGCTTCGTCAAACTTCTTGAGAAACATATTATATTCACCTTGGAGAAGAAGCCCACAAATAGTTGTTCTCCTTGATAATTTGACAGGCTCAATATCATCAAAATAATGTAAATGTTCAGAAATCTTGTTTTCAAGGTCAGGCATTTTACAACCTGGTGAGCAAGCAGACTTTAACATTGCAAGATACAATTTTGCCATCAAGAGATGAACAGCACAAATATAGTCATCTGTTATCATATCAGTTTTATGATTAATACATATATCAAGAGCACTTTGAAAGTTTTCAGATGCCTCCTGCCACAAAAACTGTGACATTTCACTTAGCTTTAACCCAAAATTCATCATAACAATGCCGTGAAGTGTCAAACTGAATGCTAAATCTTCTGTAGATAGCATTTGATCAATTTCTTTTTGTACCATTCCAAGGCATTCTTGTGCTGTGCCAAAACTACCATCATGTATGTGAATCAATGCCAAAAATAGGTAAGCCCTATTCTTAATTGCTAAACTATTAACAGATTTGGTGGACAGTTGGACAGCTTTTTGTAGCAGTCTCTTGCCCTCTGCTGGATTTCCTTGATATGAAAGACAAACACTTTGTTCAAGCTGCAAAGCCAACTCTTCATCAATGTTAGAAGTCATCTTGGCTTGCCTTTGGAATTCTGAGCACTGCGCATCAAATTCTTCCAATTTTCCATTGTCCCGGCAGTACCTGACCTTTTTTACTAATTTTACAACTTCTTTGATTTCAAAAACATTCTGCTTATTTGATAACGTTGTTTTCCTTTTATTCTTTTGTTTAGATTCTTCTCTTGGTTTGTTTTCAAATTGAACATGGATTTCATCCAGTTTCTCTAAATTACAAAAATCACTCTTCACACCTTTACTTTTGAAAAGGAGATTCGACCTATATCTCCGGTTAACTTCAGCCGACCACAATGTAAAGTTCATTGTGAAGACACTTCTTGGCCCAAACATTCGGACCCAAAACCCTGCGACTTCTTTAGGCACACTTGTGTCGCTGACCGTGTGATCACTCAGTTTGGCACAAATTATACTTTTATTGTGGAGACTAGTCTCTATGTCAGTGGTCCCATTTGGAGATTCTATTTGTATTTGCTCCAGTTTGAGGAAATAATGCATTTCATATGGATTATGTAGAATTTCTTTCTCCAAACTTTCGTCAACATTGATGCCCGCTGTATCAATGTAATGGAGTTTCATCAACGTTTCGTCCTTGTCGAATATTCCAAGCAAAACACATTTGTCATTGCTTGGATCCGGGAAGCGATATCTGTTCTTGCCATTTAACACATTGCTCTCTGGCTTTGATAAAACACAAAGTTTGGGATGATGTAGTTTCTGCAACTTTGCATTTCCTTTCTGCCTGGCATGTTTTGAAATTTTAGGCCGCGGTGCTCGGAGAATATCCTCCTTCATTGATTCCTGAATAAAGCTACCAGACAAAAATCTTTGTGCAGCAGGCATTACAACTAGAACGATGATATAGAGTTACGCTCTTCACTTTATTACAATCGACCACTTTCGTGGACTTCCGAAACAAAACCATCACTAATAACAAACTCTTTCTCAGTGATAAGTGCTCTTGCCTGTCACAGAGCACACGCTGAAGTTGTTTAAATTTGACGGATTACAAATTAAATAAGATATCGGCAAATTAAAACCAAAATCTATGTTTACTCAAACAACGACCAACTCTCACCGTCCTCAGCATCCGAACTGTATCATTTCAAACCATTCACATCTCAGAGATGTGAGATTATTTTTCAGTCTGCGGGTCAATGTCGGGTAATTAGTATTATGTTTCTATTGTGGAGAAGTATTATGTTTCTATTGTGGAGAAGCGAGAAAAGAAAAAAGTTCGCGGGTACCCGCGTCAGTCATAGCAGCACTCTGACTTGATGTACCTATTTTTCGGATATAAAATATTTTTTGCTGCTTGCTTCTAGAACCTCTACTGCTTACTATCGGATAAAAATATATTTTATTGCTTACTTCTAGAAATTCTTTCTCTGAAACAGAAGTTTACTTGATCTGATATTTAGCACGGTTCCCGATTTTGACAAGGTCTACTTTTATCCTTTATGCTAAATTATTCTAAAGAGGCGATTTATTGCTATTTGCTGGTGTTTTGCTGTTGAGAATATTTTTAAGTGATAAAATTACCTGGTTTGGATATGCGAGTGATACATTGACAAGCAAATAAATTTCTACTGTCGATAACCGCAAAACCATGGAGACAGACCCAGGGCTGATACCAGCAGTGATATATAGGGGGGGCGGACAACGTGATATTTCCGACGATATATATATTCAATGGTAGAATACTGCGCATGCTTACCTGATTGTCAGTTCCCATTTGCTAGGTATTGGTCTAGTGGCCTACTCTGCAACCCAATTTGCTATATTTTGGATGAAGATAGATTTTCACAAGGTGTAGTTGTCTTCTTACCCCCCCCCCCCCCCCCCCCTACTGGTGCGAAAGCATTTTTCTTTAAAATTCAAAAGATTGCAACTTAAAGAAAAGAACATTATCAAAACAACATGATAGCAAGAAAAACATGCTGGAGAGTACAATAATGCCAAAAGTCAGATCTTTTCCTCTCTTTTTCATTGCTGCAAACTCGTCTATTACTTCGTCATGATCGATTTCGGTGTTTTTGGTGGGACTCTCTCTGCGGAGGATGTCCATCGATCATCTTCTTCTACGTTTATAACAATGAATGATTTATAGAAAGGCTGGAAATCTTGAAATTCTTCGATAGTGTCTGTGACATTGACTTTTCTCTAATACAGTATAATCCGGTTATAACGTACTTTAAGGGACCAGCGTATCAAGTACGTTTTATCCGAAGTACATTGTAACGAGGGTAAGTAAAAATTGATTAAAACCAAGCACACCTTTTTCCGGGACCAAGCACACCAGTACGTTATATCCGAAAGTACGTAATAACCGAGTACGTTATAACGGGATTCTACTGTAACATTTCTTTGCGATTCTATATGAGATCTTGCCTCGTCATCAAGGATTCTTTTGTGGGGTAGATATCTGGTGTCACGAGTGCTTCAGCATTTTGCTATTTGCTATTTGCTTTATCCTTCCCACTGTAAAAGATTTCATGATCAACCGGAAAAATCCCGGAGTTTCTCGCAAAAGGGGCCCTAAATATTCTGTAAGGAAAAACTTTGAATTTTTTAGCCAATTCAACATAAAATAATCGATTAAAAGCAAAATTGCTAATAATAAAATATGGCAAGATAAGAAGACTATCATCAGCCAGAAGTTGGGATGTCATTTGTGGAGAGTCCGAAAATTTTCCGACAAGCATTCAGATTTTCCGACAACAACCTATAGGGGGCAACGCGCCCTCCCGTGCCCCAAATTGGCATCGGCTCTGGATAATCCCTAATGGAAAGAAAATTCCAAAAATCTCAACTTTACCATTATACTGATGTAAAAGCCACTCTTCAGATGAATGAGTCATTACCAGTTTTGAAAGAAATGCGAAATTGGGCAAGGAAATAAAACATTTACTCATTGACGTAGTATGACTGAGATGCAAGGCTTTTCAAAAGAACGGAAGGGAGGAAACAATTACGAAGCTCTTGCTTTTTGAAGTCCTTTGCAGAGAAGCGCGGAGGCGTGACTACAAGCAGGGACGTAACTATTGGGGGGGTTTGGGGGGGTGTTTCACCCCCCCAATCCTGAAAAACAGCATTTTGCAGGGCAAAGCAGAAGGAATTAGTAGTTCTCGCAGGGCAAAAGAGATTAGAAATCAAGTTTCACAAAATATCTTAATTCATTTTACTTTCTTATCAAATCCAAAACATGTGTTAGTTTTTCCGATTTGTTGTGGTATTGTAAAGTGAGTTTCTTATTTCCGTGCCCCTCGCGAAGAAAAAGTGACACTGCTTGGATAAACTGTATCGCATCATGGCATAAAATGAAAAGTGGCAAGCTTGCTCAGCATTTTTCTTCTGAAGCACACCAAGCAGCATTGGCTGATTTTGCTAGGTTTTCAGTCGAACAAGGACATATTGACATTCAAATGAATAGGCATCTGAAGGACTTCATCATTCAGGAGAAGGCTGACGAAGAAAAATGCAAATCGATAATGAACATTTTGCTTGATATTGCTAGAACATTGGCAAGGCAAGGAATTGCTTTCAGAGGCTCCGCAGGAGACCAGAACGGCAATTTTGTCCAGTTTGTGAATCTTCTGTCCAGGCACTGTCTACAGATGAAAGAATGGCTTGATAGCAAACGATTGAAGCCTTTCAGTACGAAATACATGATTCTAGTTCACAAAATGAACTTTTAGAGATCTGGGGGGAGAATGTTAGAGAAAGAATAAAATATGACATTGAGTGTGCTAAAATGTTGTCGGTTTCGGCCGATGTTAGCCGATGTTAGCAATAAGGATCAAATGGTTGTGGCTGCAAGATATATTGGTGAAAATGGAATTGCGCGCGAGAGAGTCGTGGAAATGAAAGAGTGCAATGACAAACATGGAGATAAGACAGCAGAATGTATTCTCAAGTGTCTGGAAGCAAATGAAATTAATGTGAATTATCTCTGCTTCCAAACATACGATTTCGTAAATAATATGTCTGGGAGAATTGCAGGGGCACAGAGGGTTCTACAAGATATTCTTGAAAGACCAGTCCCGTACATTCCATGTCAAGGGCATCGATCTAATACTTTCAAAGAGCATTGTGCAAAACAAAGTGCCATAATTACGTCGATATACGATAATCATAGTACTCCTTGAAACTCCGCAACATGTCTAAAACGATATGGGTCTACTCTTCAGAGTCGATAGAAGCAGTGTGGCGAAGTTTACAAAGCATACTCAAAGCAATTGAAAAAGTTGTCAGTGACGACAGCACAGAAATGAAGGGTAAAAGTGACTTGACTTTCTTTTTGCATTGATTTTCATGAGATTAATTATGAAGAAAACAAAGATTTTGACGATGCAACTCCAAGCAGAAGAGCTTAACATCCTAGATGCGATGAAGTTAATTGAAGCAACAGTAGAAAATCTTAAGAAGATTCGCATTGATAACAAGGCTATGGATGAAGAGTTGGATGCTCTAAACGAGTGCGCTAAACAGCATGGAATAGATTCAGCGGCTGAGTTTAGTGGAAATATCGACTCAGGTTGCAGCCAAGAAAGATTGACAACGGTCCAGAAACATCAGCGGAATTTAAATTTAATTCTTTCTACAGAACAGAAATGTGTGTTGTTCTCGATTCTCTGATAGCAGAGTATGGTGAAAATATCAAGGCATGCTTAAAAAAAATTGAGCCATTGGCAATGGCGTTGCAGCCACCACTCAAAACGATAAACCCAGAAACAGTCCACGATCTTTGAAAGCTTTTCCCACCAGGCTTTCATATTGAAGCAGGGGTTATATTATGTGAGCTAGATGTTTTTAAGTCAATGATTGAACAGCAACAGATCCAGCAAACTTCCGTCAAAGAGGCTGCCAAATTTTCATAAGAAAACAGACGACTTTTCCCAACGGTTTACAAATGCTACAGCCTTCTTCTTACAGCACCTGTGTCTGTGGCTAAAGACGAGCGAACCTTTAGCAAACTTAAGATTGTTAAAAATTTGCTGCGATCAAGGATGAAAGATGAACGATTGAATGATCCCATTCTACTTGCTTGTGAGAAAGACCTAACAGACACTATCCCACTTGATAAAGTATTAAAAGTATGGCATGAAAAAAAATGAGAAGAATTTCAATTAAGTAAATTAGTGTGAAAGTAGACTAATTATTGACTTTTTTTATTGCGATTGTTGGTTTGTGTTGCTTTTTGAAAATAATATATGTACTTATGTAATATATGCATAAGTACAGTACATCTATACTTCTTTTACAGGAAAAATTTTGCAGGGCAATAGTGTTTACACCCCCCCCAAAAAATTAGTGAAGTGACGTCCCTGACTACAAGTCGCCTGGACAGAGTTGCAAAGCAATGACGTCGTTAATAGGACTAAAATTTGACCATTTTCCTTGTCCCATTCCTTGAAAATAGCACGTAAAAGCGGAAACATGACATGTCAAAGTATTTTTCATCCTACACTCGTCAGAGTACAAAGGTCAGAGTATAAGTAGAGGCATACTAAGGATATTTTTCTCGCCAAGCTGACAGTCTCCTTCGCAGTTGATATCTTTCAGTCATTCTCCCTGCCTCTGGTAACAACTGAATGTCGTAAAAAATTTATTACATTCAATGGCATCAAAATATGGCATAAAATACCATTACAAATTCGTTCTATGCAAAGTAAAAATAAATTTAGTAAAGTTTTTTATAAGTGGTATGTAACATTATTAAAAATCACGAATCTTCATTCAAGCACTCAATTATATCGTGAATATTAAGCTTAACCCCCTGCAATGCAAACCATTTTTGAAACTAACTGCAGTGTCCCCTCCCCTATGTTTTCTACCGTGTAAGCTTCTAGTTGTTTTTTTCTTTCTTTTTCATCTCTATTTTTACCCCCATTTTCTTATTTGTTCCGTTACTGTTTCTTATACTAAAAAATTCAAATCACGTAAAAATTTAGATCTGAATATTTTTCATGTAGAAGTGTATTACATTTTATAAACCAAGTTATTTTGTATTTGTAATCAACCCAGGAAGGGAACTGGGCACGAGAACTTTTTGGGTTTACATCAGTGTCCTTGGCAACGTTTAATTGACTATCCTAGCATTGTTATATAATTTGTTATATATCTATTATAATCTTAGAAATTGTATACCTTTAAAACTTGTACGTTTGTTGCTGAATAAAAAGTTTTGAGTATCTTTCACCACAAGAGCTTGCACTTTTTGCATGAATTCAAGAAAATTTTAAGCCCTTATTGCCTCGCCTGCGTGTTGCAGAGAGTCAAGCTCTCGGTATACGCAAGAATACAAGTTGACAGAGAGTCAAGCTCTCGGTATACGCAAGAATACAAGTTGACATGAACAGTATTTTCCTCTTACTTCCAAACATAGAGTTAGGAATATAAAAATAACTCTATGTTTTATATTCCTAACTCTATGCTTCCAAATAACTGTTGCGGAGGAGCATAATTCAATTCAATACCAAGCAAACAAATAAACACGCTGTTCAAAATGGCGAACATGTCTTTCCAGAGGGACGAAATAGATCTTCGCGATGCGATCGAAATTCATAAAGGAAAACAGCTTTTCCTGAAACATATTGCAAAGATGGTAATACTGGTGCAGCTTCCTACGCTTAAAACTCCAGGATACAGCATATCTAACTGGGAAATAATGGAGAAACTAAAATCTTCGATTTGCCCAAATTTATTTTCATACATCAAGGTCACGAAAACTTCCCTTGAGTTCTTGCACTTTGAAGCTGAAGCCGAATCGAAAGAGCTATTGCAAAAATTTATTAACGTTCTTGACGGTAAAGGGATTAAACTAAGTGGAATAGCAGAGCCACTGAAGGTGAAGGCTGGCAGAGCAAAAATTCCATTTCCAAAGAAGCACGACTGGATAATATTTTTTAGAGACTCAAACTCTATGGACGAGTCAAAGCCTGGTGAGCGCCCAGACACGATGCATGTAAAAGGGCTCCCTATTAAATGGTTTGCTAACGAAAACAAAGGCACTAAAGAAGTCCCCGTAAGGGAGACTGTTTGTGAATGTTTTGAAAATTTTGGACCAGTTCGAAATATTGACATTCCTATGTTGGACAAATACAGATCTAGGATGATGTTACCAAGCAGTGAAGATAGCATGGGTTTCAAAACTTTTAACTTTGGCTCAAACCTTTATTTTGATGTCTTTGTTCAGTTCCATGACTATACTGGATTTGAAAAGGCAATGCTTGCATTTAAGGGAAGAAAGCTGGCTCACATTCTAGAAGATGAAAAAATTGCAGCAGCAACATTGATTGTTGACTTTGATAAAACATGTCATTTAAGTGAGAGGAACATTAGTAGAAGAGAACTTCTTCGGAAAAGATTGATACAGCATGATGAAGAACAACAGAGGCTTGTAGAGAAAGAAAGATTGGAAGAGGAGAGGAATAAGGAAATGGAGAGACAGAAAGCAATTGAAGAGGAAAAAGAAAGGCAAAGAAAAATTGAAGAGGAGAAACAAATCAAAAAAAGAAAAGAAGTCAGACAGAAAGAAAAAAGGAAAGTATCAAAATTAAAGATTAAATTTTTAAGAGAACAGAAAAGGAAGCATTTAAGATCTTTGGAAAAACAACAGCGCCTAATCAATCTAAAGATGAAAAAAGATGCAAAAAGACTTATTATTACATTACTAAAAATAGTTTCTGAGAAAAAAAGCCAAGAAAAACTTGAAAGTAGAAAACGTAAAAAGGAACTAAAGATATTACATGAACTAGAGAGAAAGAGATTAAAGCGTGAAGCAGAAGAAAAATTAGCCATTGAGGAAAAATTTAAACAAAGAGAAGCACTGGAAAGTAAAGAAAAAGATCTTAGAGAAAAACTTATTAAATCTTTACAGGAAATTGAAGAAACAAAGGAAGAATTACAAAGAGAACAACTTAGAAGAAAGCTTTCAAGTGGAAATGAGCAACTTGTCTCTGTTGTCAACTGTACAGCAAATGAATAAGTTACAATATGAGCATTTTTGAAGTTTAACTTAGCTTGGTAAATCCTTGGCTATTTATTTACAAATAAATTTAAAATTCAATTTTACTTCATTGTTTTGTAACAATTCAGGAATTCATTTTATTTGTCCTAGTTGGAATGTGTCTTCTCCTTGACTAAAGATAACAAACTAACGGTGTTCAAGATATTAGGGTTGGAAATAATTTCAGTTCATATTGCATCATATAAAAATGTGAAAGAATATAATATTGCAAACTTTTTTCAAATATATATTAATATATATGATGCTACATTTGCTACAAGTTTTGCCAACACGTTTCACAGTCCTTTTCTGGCTAAAGCAATAAAACTTTGCTTATAATAGTTGGTCTGAGAGCTAAATTTCATTTCACATGACCCAAATTCCACTAAAAGGCACATGTCCTGATGCATTTTGCTGGCAATTTGAATTTCCCAGTAGACCTTTTGTTATGTACAAATTGACAACATAAGGCATTGTTTTCTCAGTCATAAACATGCTGCAAAGCTAATTGCTGATTTCTGAACAATGGACTAACGAGACATAGTGCCTCAAAAAACCATTCACTTTTGAGACAGAATTGTAAATAAAAAGGAGAATGAAAATGGGAAGCCATTTTTTTAAACAAATTTTGATTGCATATGTTTAATTTTGTTTAGCTTGCAAACTGTGGATTAATGAAAGAGATTGGGAATCTGTGGTTAGATTGATACCCTTTCTGTGTTCCTTAGGCCCTTGAAGGCTTTGAAAGCCATTGCTTTAAATAAACTTGACACATCTGGTATCAGGCCTTGCCCGGAAAGGTGCTCAATCGAGCGCGCGCGCCTAGAGCGCACCCAAAAAGAGCCTTGGAGAGCGATTTATAGAGCCCCTCAAAACGTAAAAACAATATAAACACGGAGCAAAATATATTTCTGGACTTTGTTGAATCAACTTGATCAAGCATAAACAATCTTCCCAACAGACCGCAATATTATGATTTGCGTAAGATTACCCTTTGAGAAAAAATTCAGCAAATTCGACGTTGGGTTTTCGATATCATTTTTAATCTAATAACCCTCTAATAACCAGCAAGGACACAGGCCATCAAGCGTATTCTCCGGCAGATTTATTTGATTTTCGAGCAAGCGTTAATCTTCTATTGAAGTATATATTATTTTCTGTTTTTTTTTAATAACTTAAAATCGCCTGTGCAAATCAGCGCTCACGTTTCCGTCCAAATTATCGCATTGCTTTTCTTTTTTCATTTGCTTTTGCGATTAGTAGATGTTCTAGCGTTTCTTATAGAATGGATAACATGAAAAAAGGTAACAAAGTTGAATGTTCGATTTAAAGCCATGCGTTTTGATGAAGCAATAAATGAAGCTGAACATAACAGTAGTGATACTGACACTGACAAAAGCTCATCGAATGATGGCAATTTACATCTAGAAAAATCTGATCATTTTGAGACTTTGTTTTATTATATTTCTATATTTATATTAACATAGTGTTTGTTGCATGTTTTGTTATTTCATATTATGGTGCTTTTTGGTATCACCGTTGAATTTCATATTATTTAACATTCTTCCGAAGCTTTCGATATGAAGCTCTCGATCTCCTAAAACTCTCGAAGGACTGGAAGGATGCTCTCAAGGACATTTACTTAGAGGTGCGAAATAAAGCACCTAGAGTTTCTAAGGGGCACTTTTTATGGAGCAGCTTCATTTTACTTAGAGCAAGGCCTGCTGGTATGATCTACCAATCACTAGAATAGGTCTGCAAAGATTTGCAAATCGAGTGGTAACATTGCATTCAATGTAAATTTACTTGAATTTGAGTTGCTACGAACTCTCCTTGCTAAATCAAAAAAAGTTTTTTAGACCAAAAAACAGAGGAAAAAAACAAGAGCAATACTAGGGTAATCACAAACATCATCTTAAAACCTCAACTATAAACTAAGAGCGGAACATCTTACACACAAATACCTTCTTTATATAATATCTTTACCAGCTTATGAAAGAAAAGGTTAAAGCAGGTGTTAAAATAGGTACATGTAAAATAAATGCGTTTTTACATACTTGCACTACATTCAAATTAACTGCTCATTTGAATCAACTTGAAAGGTTGTCACCTCTCATCTTTCAATGTCACTAAGAACTGCTGTGAGGTAAACCATTGACCATAAAGATTACTAAATATATGGATAAACTTAGCATTTATGTGTAGCATCCTGATCTGATTCAACATATATTTGCATGAAAGGAAGTACCTCCAGAATAAAACTTCCTAAGCATAAAATCTCATTAACAAGTATAATGTTCTATGATTTTAAAGACACTAAGATTAGCAACAATTCATATGAAATCAAACTACCTCCGCCTATTTTGGTGTTGTACAACTAGCAGCTGCATGTCAAAAAAGTGAAATAACAAAAGGAGAAATCTGATTCTAGACAGCTCTGCTTTTTCTCAACTGTATGCCTTCAAATTTTTGTAAAATTTTAAAACTTATACTTATATAAGATGACATCATCAGTTTTATACTTTAGCTGTTCAAGTTTGATTTTGTTCAGAAAGAAGAAGCAGGACCCAGTGGAAATCAAACATGGGTATCCAATATCATACTCTCTAAACTAACAATCCCCTTATTCATCAAATGTTACCTACAAGTTCTATGCAAGGTACAGATCAAATGGTTACAGGGTACAGACATTAACACTAGACCTGTTCTACTTGAATGTGTGCGTTTGATGCATTTAGATGGTAAAGCCTGGTAGTGTTCAAACAGCATTTGAAATTTCAAATAATTTATTTCTGTGTCTCCAGACAGTAAAGTATGATTTCATGTGTCTTAATTGAATTCTTTTTATAGACACAAGCATGCAATGATGGCCTTTTTGCAAAGTGTCATATCAGTTCAAGACCACTGAGTTTCTATCAGTGAAAGCAACTACACTTAAACTTAAATGTTTGTTCTGGTGTAATTTCTGACCTTGCATTTAAACATGTACAATGTCAATCATTCTTCTTTTGACTAGCTTTGCTCTCATCATCTTCTGTCTCAGACTCTTGATCATAATTTCTTGCCTTTTCACCAGGTTTAAGAAGCTTCCCTACTAAGTCATACTTCTCTGTGAACTGCATTTCCCATTCTTTGAGTGAATCCACCTATGTTCAAATAATATGTAACCATATCAGAAACAGGTCGTTTAAAATCATGATACATACACTCTCAAGTAGGTTTGCATTACAAATAATCCACCCAGAGTTTAAACTGAGTTAGTAAACTGGTGTGAATTGCATACATGCATGTGTGTACCTGCATGTATGTACATTTAAACAGGTACTGAAACCTGTGTCAGGCACCCCAGAGTCAGTGGGCTTGAGGGTTGTAGCCTCTTAATTTTTTAGCTGAAGTATGATATTAAAGTTGTGGCATCAAATATAATGGTTGAAAACTACCATAAAAGATTGCCAATCTGTCTAGAGCCCGCTCACCCAAAACTCGGTTCTGGCGTCTCTATATGTTTGTACATATTTATGACAAAAATGAACCAAAAAAGTTTAACATTGTGGAACATATAGAAAGGTTATCTCTGCATTGGCTAAGCTAGGCAGGTTAAATCACACTGAGTGATAAACTTCACCTTGTTTCACACAACCCATTGTATAGCCAGGTTAACTAGCATAGTGTAAACAGGGCTGTAAAGAAGTCTGTCAATAGATGAGTTAAAAGAAAAAGTGAAATTTGCAGTAACATCTTGTCTTATTTAGTTATTATGCTTATAATTACCAAACAAAAAGTGCTATTATGAAGAACTACAGGTTTCATTTCTACAAGCCAGTTTCCTGAATAACTCACTCTTTTGTGAAAAGCTCAATATAAACATAATTATACAAAGTCGGGCCAGAAAAATTGCAACAAGGGATCAGAATTGGGATAGTTTCAAATAATGGATGAAAAAAAGAGATTGTCATTGCTTCAGCAAGGGATATACAAGTTTAGCTCAATAGGCACTTGTTAGAACTGGTTCTGTATCAGATCAAGCTGTTAGCTGCAGCCAAATTCCTGTTCTTTTGTGATGAAACTTAGGTTTTGAGGTTGCAATTTGCTACTTGAAAGCTCTGAAAGTAAATGTGTACAATTTCATTAGTTTCTTCAAATTGTTACTGGGTTTTCTCATTGTGTGTTTTCAAAAAGCTATTGTAGGGTCTTCTTTGCATTTTCAAAAGGTTTGGCAAAACAAACTCTACAGCTTTATAAATTGCTTTGGTGGTTTAATTTCATAGTGAGAATTGACCCTGTTAAAACATCCATGTGAAGTGGACAAACACAGATAAAATCAATGCAACAAGAAAAATAAAAACAATGTAACAATTTATAACATTGCGATAAGAACAATACACAAATTTGACTTACAGCCTCTTTTTGGAAGTTTCTCCAAACTTCCTTATATGACTTTTTTAAGCTCAGATTTGGTTTTATCACCATAATTTTAGGCCGGATACAAGTTTTCATATTGTTTGTGTTTGTATTTAAGATTTTACAGAGAAATGAAGTTTGAAAACTTGAGAGGCATTTGATTGCAAAAGTCATTCTGCGTGAAACTTTACCCCCTAGTCGCCAATCACAGTCAAATCAGAAATAAAATTTTTGTCTTTATGTGGTCATAAAATCACTATCATGAGAAATACCATGATAAAAAATTCCAAGTAGACTAAAATCTTTGCTCTCAATCTGAATCTGATGTCAAAAACTTTGTACAAAAGAGTTTGAAGAATATTTCAAATTGAGGCTGTAAGTTGAATTAGTGTATTGTGCCAAGGTGAATTAGACAAAATACACTGTAGGGAGAGACAATGTAAGCAATTGGCTTGCTGAATGTTGCTTCTCTGTCTCTGTATATTTGCTTATCATGCTTATCATGTGATTTGCTTATCATGTATATTTTATTTGTTGTTCAATATTTTGTTCAGCTTTGCAGTAACAATGCAGTATTTGTTACATGACATTGCCCATCATATTGCATTATATAAGGACTCAAAGAACAACACAGAAAACCAAGATTGAGACTAAAATATAGAGTAAATAATTATAGTTGTTCAGTGTTATTGAAAATGCAAATTATAGTTCTTCAGTGTTATTATTCTTTGCAAATTAGTTCTATTGTTTCTAGTATACTTTCTTTTAGATGGAGAAACAGACAGACAATGGATGGAACTTGGCAGGCCTTGGATCTCGTCATAGCAAGCTAGCCTTGTAACCTACAGCAATTTGCGTTTACACATCCATATAGTTATTGCAGCATGGTCCTTGTGATACATGCTTCATTATATTTTAAAAACGTGTTAAAATACAAAGAGAGTGTTGCCAAAAAAGATTCAGATGTTTCAATGTAACATAATTTTAGAGAAGATAAATCAGAGATCTCTAACTGCCTTCAGATAAAGTAAAACTGCACACAAAGAATGGTAGTTTTTGCTGAAAAAATTGAAAGTAGGAAGTTTAAAGTAGGGAGTTGAAAGTAATATCCCATGCCCAGTTGAATCATGGATAGGCTGTTTAAATCTAAAAAAACATAATTAACATAAAACATAAAGTGAAATATACCTGCATAGAGTTCAGGTCACTGAGGTCATCATATTCATCTTTTAGGGCTGCTCCGTCAACAGAAAAGGTTGCCAGACCACGACTTGCATCTCTGCCAGCAAAAACACCATATGGACCATCTAAAGGACAGAAATCCCAAAACTCTTAACAAATCCATTGATATAATGGAATTATCAGTTAATACCAGAACTAAGTGCTTGATACTGTAAGTTATTAATGACCTTCTAACAACAAAACAGACAATGAAAAGTTGATCAGACAGCTATCTTATGCAAAACACCACTGGAAATAATAAAATCAATCAAACTGATTTGCATTATTTGGAAAACAAAATTATTATTTCGCCAAATTCTAAATAAAAGATACAGATACTTTTCATGTTTGTCAAAAGGTTTCTTGGGGAACTAAGCCATGTTGAAGACATGAGAACCTCAAAGCTACCTGTTGCATCTATCAACTAATACAAAGTCCTGTAGTCAAGTTTATTTTGATACCTTCAACATCTTACTTTATCAGGCCTTGCTCTAAGAAAAATGACGGTGCTATATAAAAAGAGTTTTTTAGAAAATCTAGGCACTCTATTTGACACCTCTAAAAAAGTGTCCTTGAAAGCATCCTTCGAGAGCTTTGGAAGATCGAGAGCTTCATATCGAGAGCTTTGGAAGAGTGTTAAAGAAGAAATTCAATGGTGATACCAAAGGCACCATAACATGAAATAACATAACATGCATCAAACACTATGTTAATATAAATATAGAAATACAATAAAACAAAGTCTTGAAATTGCTCAGACTTTTCTAGACATATAACTTGCCATCATTTGATGAGCTTTTATCAAGGTCAGTATCACTACTGTTATGTTCAGCTTCACATATTGCTGCATCAAAACGCATGGCTTTAAGTCGAAAATGGAATTTTGCTTCCTTTTTTATGCTATCCATTCTAAAGACATGCTAGAACATCTACTACTCACGAAAGCAAATGAAAACTGAAAAGCAATGTGATAATTTGGACCGAAATGTCATCTCTGATTTGCACAGGTGATTTTAAATTATCAAGAAAAAACAGAAAATAATATATACTTCAACAGAAGATTAATGCTTGCTAGAAAATCAAATAAATCTGTGGGAGAATACACTTGATGGCCTGTCTCCTTGGTGATTATTAGAGGGTTATTAAATTTAAAATAGTATCGAAAACCCAATGTTGAATTTGCTGAATTTTTTTCTTAAGGGGTAATCGCATGCAAATAATAATATTGTAGTCTGTTGGAAAGAGTGTTTATGCTTGGTCAAATTTATTCAAGAAATGTCAAAAAATTATTTTGCTCTATGGTAATATATATTGTTTTTACATTTTGAGGGGCTCTATTCATCCCCTTCCAAGGCTTTTTTTAGGTGTGCCCTAGGTGTGCCCGCTTGATTAAACGCTTTTCCGGGCAAGGCCTGCATATGTGCACATACTTGCAACAAAAGAAATATTCCCTTCATTTTTCAAAAAATTTGATGTTTGTTAATATTCCAGTTTATTGCCTACTTTCCCACTTCCTTACCTCATTTCATCATTTCTTAAAATTTATGTTAAAACTAGTTTCACTTTAAAGGCTGAAGTGAAATACAAGATCAGTTAACTGACAGATTTAACAGATTGCAGAGATATTGGTCATATCAAAGGTAAAATACTGTTCTTTCAGCAGTCAGTGTAGACAATCTGAATGTCCATCATCCTTTGAAAATGTTGTAGTGGAGACCCCTTCTTTGTACTTCATATTTATTTAATCATGTGCCAGCTGCATGTTAAAATATAATATCTATATTGGCTTCTTGGGGAGGCAAATATTTTATCAGCACAAATATTAGTGTGTTCCTACTTTAAAACCCTTTTTCTTTCATGGTGATTATGTAGCACTATGATAACAACACCAGGCAGTGCTCACAAAAATGTCTTCAAAACAACAGCACTGTGCTGCACATCCACCAATCCTTTTAAAATGAGTGCTATTCTTTAACTACAGCTGCAGTAGCAAAGTCTAAGCTGACTGCCATCAAAACGAGGAAGTATCATGGTAGCTTATCAGTTTTGAATGGCTGTATAACTGAAAAATACTTCCAGTTGTAACTGATCAGGCTAAACAGATCATGTATTGAAGCTTTAATACAGGTTGGTTTTCTCATTAATGAAATTATATTCAAGAAGCCCTAGACCAGCTATGGTCAAGATAAAACAATCAACAAGGCAGATAAGTATTATGGAACAAAAATTTCAACATGATTGTTGATGACACTGGGGACTTCCGCTGGGGAACAGAAAATACAAAATAATTGGCAGTTTAGAGTTATTGGGCACTCCAATTCTAATATAACCTTCGACACACCATGGTTGGTATCCAAAATTGCCACAGAGTTCTGATTGTACTTGTCACTATTTTATTCTCAGTACCTGCTGTTTGATTCCATGTCCTTCAATTGATTCAAACTTGCAACAACAAGTTGAATAATTAAGGGAAGTGTTAAGATATGCTCAGGGACAGAGGGTGGTAAAACCACAATTATTAAATGCTTATGCTTGACTTTCAAAAAACAAATTTGCAAGAAAATTTTGTGGATGTCTTATTTTGATAACAATGGTTTTAATGAAAGCTTTTCTTTGCTTCAATTCCAAATTGGTTGGTAGGAACTTTTTTGAGTCCATCAATTCATATGTGAAACAGACACCACACCTGAGTCTAAGCTTCTTTTCGAGAAATATATCCAAAGTGGATGAGGAGATTTTTCAATTATTCAACTACATTTAAGGCCTAGAGAAACTATATTATATCGGATTAATTCTCACCCGGTCCATAAAAGTTTGATCCGCGAGTGACGTCAAACACTTTAGCATTAACTGCTATCAGTATTCGAGGATTGGTTTTACCATCGAATTCCTTCAACTGCTGGAGTGTAAAGTCCCTTCTTTTCATGGGTTCTAGCCTTTCAGTTGGTTGAGGCTCCTCTTCTGGTACCTCAGTTTTAAAGAAATATTTCTTGACAACGAACACCGCAGCAGCCAAGAGAACTGAAGCAGCTAAATACTTGACGATTGTATTTTCTAATATGTCATCCATGGCATGCCAATTCTTAGTCAAATCTTGAGACTGGAGGGCGCTTTAGATCGTTTGATCTTTCTTGTCACATCGAACGAGTCAAATCTACCATTTCTACCCTTCTTCTGAAACAATGCCCTAGCCTCGTTATCGTTAAATGTTACGATGCGTTTCAAAAGGCCAGATCGCCGCCTTTTTTCGTTTGCCCTTTGAAGGGGGGGGGGGGATGGGTTGGTCAGGGAATAAATTAAAAAAACTATTTTAGGAAGCTTTTTAATCTTTTCTATGATGTAAACTTAAGCAAAGATCGTCAAATAGTCATGAAGAAAAAAGGACAACAATTAACCTCTGAAACAATGCTCAAAGAAACAATGGCAATAAGTAGAAAGGGCTGATTTTCAATATTTTTGCATTTATAACGTAGCTTTCGATGGTGGACGTTAGGACCAAGAAAAACAATGCTTGTTGAGCAATGTCCTGGATTTTCCTCTCGGTGTAACCTCGTGAGGACCCAGTCCCTACTTTGTTAAATCTCCACTTTTCATTAAATTTCTTCTGAGAAAATTGGAAGAAAGGTTGTTTCCCAAATGGCTTGATATACAAGTACACACTAAGTAGATTTTGATAACAATGCAAAATTACACTCAATTATAGTTTTGTGAGTAAATTTTGAAAAATGCTGTTTTCCAAGTTTAATCACATTTCTTTAAAAAAAACTACGTCATATCAGAGACGGCGCCACAAAATTTATACTGGGGAGGCTAAGAATCAAGCTTAGTGACATAGGAGAACCCACTGGTTGGGTCTGGCATGAAAATTTTTGAAATTAAGCCTTCTAGAATGACTAAAAATGCATCTCCCAGACTAAAATTTAACAGATTACTATACTGCTCAGAATAGACAATTCGATGATTCTCAGAAAAAACATTGATTATTGATTTTTAGGAAAAATTTGGGAGGGGAGGAGTCATGCTAAAGCGCTAGTGACAGATGTTGGGGAAAGAAAGAAAGGGTGACCTTTGGTTCAAAGTGTACATCGATGTGAATAACAAGAAGCTGTTGCATTGATTAAGATAATTTTACTTTCTGAGCAGAAATGTGCATCTTCTTTGTCTATTTTCAGTAGGCCATGTTCACACATTCAAAATGCAGATATTGCAATGATACATAAAATTGTCTACTGAATTAATGCAAATATAGACAAATAATAGAAATATACCTCCTTTAATAAGAACAATTCTATAAGAACAGGAGTCTCAAAATTGGTAAAAAGTTAAAAAGAAATTAAGAGCAAGCTAAGGCTGAGCTACTGTAAAATGTCTTTGTAAACAATGCTTTATCTGAAAAACGAGGATTTTATGCATGCGTGGGTGCTTTTTCGGTGAATATTCAAACCTCTCGGCAAACGAAGGTTGTCTCACTCACTTTGTTGGCAAATGAGGCCTTACTAGAGCGAAAAAGCAAGCAATTTCACTGCTTACACCCTATTAGTTTAAGAACAAATTAAGAACAATTCAGCCTCAAATTTTCGAAAAAACTAAGAAGAGTGTATGTAAACAGTTCGTCCTCTTTTTATTTCATACTCTGCCTTAAAAATGATAAAAAAGACGGTCAAAAAATCTTCATCTCTGAAAAAGTATGGGGGCTTCAGCTTCAGTGGGGGCGCCATACCTGCACATGACATCTGTTTACACATTCTACCGTACATTCAGGCATGTAAAAACTGGGGCTATTTCTATATCACAATCTAGAGACTTTTTCCCAAAACCTCTTCTGTTCAGGGCTGCCGAGAGGGGGCAAGGGGTCAAATTGCTCCGGGGCTTCGAGTTCTAGGAGGCCTCTTAAATGACTTCCATTTTAAGAATTAAAGCAACTAAATACAACAAAATATGCCTAAAAATAGTAACATTTTAAATCGATTGCAAAATTTGACCGCAAGAAATATTCTGAAAATTATTATAGTCTTATGTGAAGGGCGTGGCTGCAGACTTACCGTACCGTTTTGCCCCAGGGCCTCCGCAACCTTTAGGCGCCTTTGGGTTCCATTTAAGTTTACAGTATAGTCCTCGAAATAATTTAGATACCTAGAGATCAGTGGCGTAGCGTGAGCGCAGAACTTAGGCATGCGGTAACATAAAATATACGGCTATGTTGAATAAATGTAATAGTAATTTCAGTTTCTAAAAAATACAAGCGGTAATTAATGATAATCGTGATTATAAATTTTGATTTTGAAAGTAACAAATCATTTGTACTCTAATTCTAATCAATCAAGGTGTCTATTCTTTGCATCAGAGGCTCCGAAAGAGGTTGGAAAGAGAAGGGGGGCCAAGGAAAAAATTATCACCCATGCGAGAGTTTTTGTAAAAAGCTCAATTGTTTAGCAAGAATTTTCAGAATAACTCCTAGTGCTAAAACTGCTTCGCAAAAGATATTATTCTTATTCATATTCCTCAAGAAAAGGCATCACCTAATGCCCACCTAATGTAAGAATTTTTCATGCTATAATGAAGCTGGGGATTCCCGCAAGGAGGAGCTCTCCACATCGCGAAATTGTTAACACACTGCAGAGCCTAAGCGAACAGGAGCAACAGTTTCTGCTCATTTTTTACTCTCATAGTTAACGAAGATGAAAATAGTGAGCTGTGAGAGTTGTTAGAATTGAAGATGCTTCCATGTGTAAAGTTTCAGAAAGTTAGTCCCGGCAAATCATCATGTATTTTGCAAGGCTTGCGCTCAGGTCTACCGCATGCCCTGGTCCGTAAATTCTGACTATACTGGCAAGCCTTTTGACTTGAATTACGGAATGCGGATCATGACAAATAGACTCTGACCCCACTTTGACGAAACTTTTTCTCTTTTCAACAGTCACAAAGTGAAGAAAGGAAAATAATTGGATTTGAAATGATGTATCACGCAAAGAATATTCGCAAAAAGCAGCCTATAGGTAGAAAAATGTTGTGAATTATCAAATATTTGGGAAGGCTTGCGCTCAGGCCGACCGCAAGCTCCAGTCCGGAAAATTCTCACTTCTCTCAGAAGCTTTTCTCGAGTTGCACTGAAGCTGCACTGGAGCATCACATGTTTCTCTTACTTTGGACAGGCAAAAAGTCTCGCATGGGTGATAATTTACGCTTGCGCCGCAAGCGTAGCATACATAGACGCTACGCCACTGCTAGAGATCATACCTTTGCAGCTAAACATACAGCAACTGAAAACTTTTCAAAATATAGCGTTACTGACAGGGACGTAAATTGGTGGATTCTTTTGGGAGGGTGAAGAGCACAAAACTTTTGGTGGGCATTGTATTGTTGAGCTCTTTATTTGTAGGGAAGACTGACATGTTAAAGATGACTAATCTAGGGTTTTGGGGGGGGGGGGTGAGAAGTCAAATGGAATCAAAATCGAAGGCCTATGGCGAACATATGACGTTATAATTGGCTCATGTTCAATGTTGTCTTGTTTTCCTGGCAATTACTGATTTTTGTTAAAATTTTCATCCATTCAAGGTACAATAACACAATTCGTCTTTTTGATCTGTTATTCCTTTCATTTGATAGCCTTTGAGCGCTGTGTTTGTTCATAATGTATGCTTTAGGAGGTAATTTGTAGCTTTCATCATTAAACCTTATCCCAATGAATACGAGGCTGGCTACTTGTTGTCTTTTCCCCACAAAATCGAATGAATTTAAATGCTTGAGTAATATATTCTACCTGTCGTAAAGGGAAAGCAATATGCAATCTTAAAAAAGCTCTTACTATCATGTCATTTGATTGGAAAATCTGATACTGATTGTACGGAAGTAGTTAAAAAAATTTATTATATTGTATAGATGGTTAGGCTTTAACTTTAACAGCTATGGATTTGGATTTTTATCTGGGATGGGATGAAAGCCTTTTCAACAGGCTGATTTGTAGTGATAATTAGCACACCAAATAAAGTGCACTTTTCAATTTGAACGCTTAATCTATTGAGACATACGTGATAAATTTTAGTTTCGTTGTAAAAATGTAGGGTCGGAGTGAACAACTTGTGATATGAAGCGTCAGTTCGGCTGAATTGACACTAGACGGATCACGATGCGTCACATCATAATGCGTAATTTGGTGTTACGTAAAAAACGCATTAGAGTGTTCATATCTGATGCATCATCGTGCACAATTTCTTCATGCATTTCTGCTTGTTTTGAACTTGTGAACTCGATTCATTTCTGCTATTTTGCTGGCAGCCTTAAAGGCCCTTTGTATAAAAACCATTGGAACTGTAGGATTTCAAGGATTAAACTTTCTCTATCGAGCTAATGAACAACAAACATAAGCTCTTTGTATCGCATGGAATTTTTAAAACTGCTTCGATCAAACGTTCCTTGTTGATGTGTTTCGCAATCATTTTTACGCAGGTCAACCATTGTTCTGAAGCGTATCATGACGCATCGCTAAAAAAGCGAACCTTATATGGGCAGGGCAAAATAACGCGTCTAGTGTGAATTCAGTATAAACATTTTCAAGGAGAACAGATAAAATGTGGATCACCATATGGATCATTTCTACTCAAGAATTCAGCCTTCATTGGCCTTTATTCACCTTAAAATGATGAAGAAAATAATCACACTCAGAAACAAAACGATCAACTGGGCGCTTAAATAACTGTCCTTAATCTATAAACATAACTATAATTTTTGCATACGAAACAAATTGAATTGCAAAATCTCAGTACTTATATGGCTACGACATGTCAGGCAATTTAAGAATATACAGAAATTATAATACGATCTCAAACACAATCTGCGAATCTTAAATAACCAAAAATAGCCTTTAGAAATAACGGGGTTTTGAAGTCAGCGATGTGATGTCATACTGAACATATCGCCCATCAACCAACCCTTTTCCTATACCGACCCCTAAACCCACTCTTCATTAATATGTCACAGTGCTGACATGTCTAAAACTGCCAAGTGTATTATAGGTTTAAAGCAAGTTTTAATAATCAACTTTCATGGGGAATTTAAATGGTGAAAATTGCATTGAAAAATATTACATTACACAAAGGCGCCTCTAACGGCAAGCCCATTGTTTAAAATAACCAACCACATGTATAGTTCCTGCAAACAAGATCTAGCATTTAAACTCTCCTATTAAAACGTATCAGAATCAAGCCTATTATAAATTTGGGTTGAAAATAGTACAAAAATCAGACAACAGGGACTGCCAACCTAACCACACTTCTTTTATTGATGTTTCTAGAATTGAAAAGCAAGTCAGTCAATTATATACAAGTTTTCACTATATTTGATGCAAGATCCATCTTCATATTTTGAATTGTCTTGACAGTAGGCACGGATAAAGAAATGTTTCTTCTCGATATTCACGAAGATATTTATTCCAATGATATGTGATCTATTGGTAGGCCTTTTTCGTATCTTCGCCAAACTCTGTAGAACAGCGTCTCTAGATCACGAGCGTACTTCTGCGTGTCGAAGAGTGACGAAAGTAAGCGACCATCCCAAACTTTTTTCTTTATATTATTATAACTGTAAAAAAAGAGATTATGAAAATGTTAATATGCACATAAAACTGACCAATGAAATTACTTGCATATTGTAGTTTGTTTGCCAAATGGAAGATCATATATTATTCATAGAGTCCCAAAACGGAGAAAGGAAGGGGCACAAGAAAGAACAGAGCCCCCCACTGAAACACTTGTGTCGTCGGCCTACATTTGCACAAGAAAGAACAGAGCCCCCCCCCCCCCTGAAACATTTGTGTCATCAGCCTCGAATGGCCAGAGTGGTTGGTCGTGTTTCAAAGTGTTATTTTACCAATCAAAATCGGCAGGGGAGTATTGTATCAAAGTGCTACGTGCTTCTCGGTAGACTTGTCATACATCACAAACATAATGACAGCACTTGAAAAATCCTTGTAAATACGAAGCGATAAGAAAATTGAAGGGCAGCTGATTCTCCAAAACCTCTTTAAAAGACAGACGAATCGAGGCAAACGTTTGCACATCTGTAGAAAAAAATGAGTTCTTCAAAGTACTTTTTATCCAGCAATTTACAAATTTCCTTTATGTACGTCAAAAAACCACTAATTCAAAAAAAAGTTTCTAAACCTTGCCTTTACAGCAAAGAGTGATTCAATTGCCAACCCGGGCAGAATTTCTGTGCTAAAAAAGCTCCCGGGCCATTATAGGAGTGTAAAACTCAAAACCTGGTGAAGTTTTCCAGTTTACAAACCGGCTAATAAACAATTTGTCTCCTTTTTTCTTGGAAGGTTTCTTAAAGCATAATATCGCATTTATATACACTAGCAATCTCAAAATAGCAATCATCAATAGGCGCTTACTATTTCTCATCTCTGCCAAGTCTAACAGCTATATCTTCATAGTCTTTTCTTGATCTTGCAATAAGTTCTGGAATACCTATGGCTGAAAGTTGTGAAGATGCAACTCTTGATGCGAAGGTATCAAGTGGAAGTGTAACCATGGGACAACCTGCCCAGAGTACATCCATCCCAGTTGTATGGCCATTACACAGAGGTGTATCTAGACACACATCCGCCAGCTGCCCTCGTCTGACGTGCTCCTCCTTTGGGGCAACATTTGAGAAAACAATTCTGTCCTGCTCGACACCGAGCGCAGCAGCTTGAGCTTTGACGTTGGCCTCGCCAGCAGCAGGAAAACGCAGCAGCCATAAGACACTGTGAGGAACTCTTTTCAGGATACTACACCAAGATTCAAACGTTTCCGGGTCGATTTTGTACAACTGGTTAAAATTGCAAAAAACAAATGCATTACTTGGAAGCCCATAGGTTTCCCTAGTCATGGCGGGAGTCACTTCTGGGACCCTTTCTCCGCTGTCCTTCGTTCCAACAACCTCCTCCTTTCTTTTTTCTACATTCATGGAGATGAACCTTGCAACTGATGTAGTGCATGTAACAGAAATATTCTCCGCATTAACTTCGCCATTGGCTTGCTCCATTGCATACTGTTTCAGCTTAGCTTCGTTGCGCTTGTCGCCAGTGACATCACGAATGAGATGGGGAAACATTTGCTTGTGATCGCCCACAAAGAAAGAATGGGGCATTAAGGCCAGCTTCTCGGCATAGTGATCACTGAACTGGACCGGTGATGTTACTCTGTCCGTTATGATGTAATCCATGTAAGTTGCTCCACTTGTTCCAGGGTAACCAAGCCACATGATCTTAAAAATGGAAAGAAACATAAACAACTGACCAGCTGCAGAATAATTTAACTGAGTTGTATGGTTCTACTTTTTGCTTTTGTTTGTCAGAGAAAATTATTTATCAATGACAAAATTGCTATAATTTTTTTATTTAAACCGTTTAATTTCTTCGTCAAATATTAAAAAAGTTTGTAAGTTACCTGCACTGGTGCTGGCTTCAATGCGAAGATTTCGTTTCGGGCTCCTTTTGTGTAGCCGTTCATATTTACGAGGATGTGGATGCCATCTGAGTTGATTCTATCTGCAGCCTGGCCATGGCAAGTGAACTGAGTGAGATCGATAAAGTGTTCAGCTTCCTTTTCAACTTTCTTCCTAAAACTTGTGTTGTCATCATTGGTGAGCGAATAACAGAAGATCTACAAGAAACAATTTATTTTGTGATGATAATTTATGTTTATGACAATTTAAAAGAGAAAACTGGGTGTCTATGGTTCCGACCTAGGGCCAGTGGTCCTCTACCTAAAGCCACAAAGAACAGATGATTATGGTATGTCGAATAATGTACATAGCCCTTACTGCTCGGCAAAACATCTTTAGCATTTGTAAATTACAATTAAAGAATATATTTAGACTGTAAAAGAAACTTTGCATTTTTCTCTAGCCTTGTTTTTCAAAACTTGGCCAAATCTTTGCCCTGACAACTTTCGAGACCTTTTCTTTTATTACTACCCACAGGATGTGCGACCAAACGACCTAAACACACTTCTCACTTGTGAACCATGAAGATTAAAATGAGTACAGCAGTTTAGATCCTTACCTCCACCTTAGATCTGTCATGAAAACCAGGTATACTCTGCATCAAATGTGAGGTCGGATGATTACAAAAATCGCTGCTCACGTAACCAACTCTTAGCCTTCCACGGCTTGACTTTGTGTCGCGTGGGTGATTGTAGGCTGGTTTGTGCAGTAAAGCAACCTGAAGTGGAAGACATACAGTTATCATACCCCTATCTACTGATCTCAGCCACTTAAACAAGGGCACAGTTTTTGGAAGGATGGGGCTAAGTGGTTTATTTATCTTATATTTCGTCAAACCGTTAGCACAGTCAACAAAACCCTTCTTTTCTACTTCAGCTGCATCGCCAATTGAATCAACATCAACAATATACCCCCAGAAAACAGTTCCTGAGAAGCACGGAAAATAAAATCAAGTCACATAAATGAACACGCCAAACTCTTTCTTAGCAGTAGAGGTGCTCAAGAACAGCACCAATTTTGCGTGGCTGCACTACAGTTTCAAAATTAGATTACACCAGAGCTGAAATAACTGGTTCCCTCTGTATATACTTGATATGTACTTGGGAAATGCTGGATAAAAATCGGATCCATGTTTTCAATTGAGTTACCTTTAAGACACTTACTTTTTAAATTAAGGTATTACTCGTTAAACAGAAATTATCAAGAAATTATGAGGTCAAAGGAAGAAATCCAGGGGCAAGGGGACAAATCAGTAAAATTGAAATTAATCCTGTACCCTTTCTATCAGATATTCAGATACCTAATTTATTTCCATTGTGGGAGAATCAAAATAAATTAGGAAACACCTACCTTATCGACACAAAGATTGCCATGTCTATTTGCTATTGCCTTTCGTTGGTAAGCAGATAACGGGTACAACATTGTGTGATGCGGATGTACTGATGGCAGTCGATTTCTTGAGAGCTGATCCTCAACAATTGCTAGAAGCTTCTTCATACGTGATTTGTAATCGGCCCAGTCACATATTATTTGCAAACAGTGGGCTAAGTTGCAGTAGGCATCAGGAAATTCCGGTTTCAGCTTTAAAGCTGTCCTGTAAGACTGTATTGCTTCCGCGATGTTACCCGAATCCTAAGAAGAATAAGAATTTTGAGCTTCATCAAGCCAAACCTTGTCTTAGACTAAAAATTTGAGTTTTCCAATAAAATCTAGGATTAAAAACTTTCTTACCAATCAACACTTACCATTAATATTCGAATTACCCCCCTCGCTTTGAATAATGGCCCACCCTCGAGAAAATTTTTTCAGCCCTAGCCTTAACATGCTTATTTTCCAATAAGCAGCATTATTACAAGAAAAATAAAATATTCAATGCAAGATGCATTTTGTAAACATAGATCAACAAAATGCTTCGTTGTTCATAATAACTTGAAAACAGTGGAAAAGCTTTGACACAAGCAATATGTAAGGTGTCTTTCGAATAATTCCCCCCCCCCCCCCTGCCTTCGAATTTGTCCTCATCTGCCAAAAATAATTCTGGATATACGGTATGAGATTAAAACCACAATCAACATGAATGATAAATGACTTGTTTACGTTAATTGGTTTTATCATCGTTGAGGCTGCAATTTATTCTATTAAACGTTTTATCCGTGTCATTATAAATTTAAAAGGTACCTTATATACAGATGCCAAATTACTATGCGCATCAGCAAATGCTGGGTTTATTTGGATTGCCCTCGTGTAGCACTGGATGGCACCGTTTATGTCCTGCATTTCTTTCAAAGCGTTTCCCATGTTCGAATAGGCATCGGCAAACGTAGGGTGGATCCTAATGGCTTCTTTGTAGTGAATGAGTGCTTCGTGCAGTTTTCCTTGCTGCTGTAAAACGCTTGCAAGATTTGAGTGAGCTGCCGCAAATTCTGGGAAAACCTATGGAAAAGTAGAGTTTATGTTAACAGCAGTTCCATAACTTAGGACAAATAGGGGGCGTATCGAAAAATGGGGAAAGCATACATCTTTTAAGTAACTAAGTGATAATGCAAAGGTAGATAGACGATTATAAAATAACGAGCCGAGCCGTTTCAAAATAACGCATTATGCAGTGTTTTACATTGGTCACGTTAAAATTTCATATCCATACTTTTCCTATGCAATCATCCTTGCGAGCAAAATACTGCACTGTCATTGCACAATAAAATTTTCAAAGAATTTTTTGATGGTTGCATCAAAGTGGATTTGGATAGACACCAATAAAGATACATCTTCTCACAGTAATCACGCCTCTCAATTCTGTCCTATCCCTTTGTAGATAATAAAAAATCGCGGGATATAGAAGCATATACACTTTTTGGTTCTACAACCAAGAGGAGAAAGAAAGTAAGTAACTTACTTCTAAAGCCTTGCAGTATAATCTTATTGATTCCTCGATCTTTCCCTGTTCCCTTTTGATGTTTGCGAGATTGTTCAGTGAATCTGCATGCGTTGGACATAGTTGCAAAGCGGTGTTATAGCACTCTTCTGACTCTTCAACCTGAAGAACAAAACATGTTTTTGCACTGTTTACAACGCCCTTAATGAACATTTATTGCTTTAATTCATTAAATATATTATCTTGATTTACATGATAACGACAAACGTCTAAAAATTTAGTTACAACTGTTTAGCTTTATTATCAATTTTATATTGCTTTTAACTATTCTCGTTAACAAGAAACAAAATATAAAGATTGATATAAAATATCGGAAATTCACTTATTTTAGAAAGCCATTTTATTGCAAGCTTTTAGGAATCTCGTTTAGAAACCCAGTTTATGTAACTGAAAGAGATCACGGTTTAAATATAGTATAAGGGGGTTCTAAGATTTTCCTGACGTTGACAGAATTTGAACTAAAGGCTTCCTGCAAAGTCAACTTTACAAGAGTCTTACTTTAAAAGTTCTCCTGCGAGGCTATGAATAAGGATAACAAGTTTAAAGCTAGGCATTTTGATTGATCGTAACAGTATTCCGAATTTTCGACTTTTACTATTGGTTTTGCTCTAAAAATTATCATTTAGAAGCTCATGGGAAAATTTATTGTGACGAAGACTTGACTTCTAAATTAGGGCATGGTTTTAATTCATTTGCACTTTCAAATCACCTCACTGTATTTCCTCGATTTTGCACCACTCCGTGCAATCTGGCCACATTTCAATTAGGTTTTGGAAACAAACAAATTTGCTTATAAGCAACATTTCAGAACAACTTATTAAATCTTTCACTTGCTTTGAAAAATTGAAGCTTTATGAACGTAGGTAGGCTAAATCGAGGAAACAGACGCCTAGAAGGTTGGGCCTAACGGATCAGAGTCGATACCGTCTGTTTCAAGTGTATCGAGAACGAAAATTTTATACTAAGAACTTGCTTTAAAATCTACAATGAAACTGAAGTGCGACACGTATTGGGACATTAATAAAAAACTGATCTTTCTAGAGTCTAACAACTTTCGGGACCGACTTACTGGAAGAGATTCAATATAGTAAAACTACTTTTAACGGAAACCTCTGATAACTCGAACTTTCCTTAACTCCAACTTTTTTCATTCCCCTTTAGCCTTTCTCAGTATGTTCGAGCCACCAAAAATTGAACATTCGTTAGCTTACACCATTTTCGTCGTTCCCATGGAGGCTCCAGTTAGTGGGACTTCGCTATGTAAATTTTGATCTAACACCTTGACGAAAGCGTATTGCGCTGTCTTAAAGTCTCTATTTGAAAACTGTGTCTGAATGGTAAGATTTTTCCAATTCCCATGTAGATAGTGCATCCAGAGTATTAGACGTAAAATTGTTATCACTTTTCGAATTTCACACTAAGATTCGGATCTCATACTTGTTAAAAATAACTTTCTATTGAATTCAGGTTATTAGTCGATTCATTCACTGATAAGCGGGCTAGAAAAAAGATAACAAAAGACCCCGCCCTTTAGATTTCTACCAACAATATTTTTTGCGCTTGCCTAGACAAGGACCATTCAGCATTGATGACGTATCTTAACAACAAGTGTCCACGTTCGATAAACTTTCAAGGACGGGATCTGTTAATGAAAACTACGCAAAATCAATTTATTTGAAACCTTAAACCCCGCACGCATCAATGTAGAATTTAAAAGTGTTAATCAAATTATTTTTATGTTTAGAATAACATTTAAAGCAAGTTCTTGTCTTCAGCTGCGATAAATATGATCAATGCAGTGCAAGATATCTAGAAAAATGGGGGCAATGGGGAAAAATGACAACAGCGGACTTGTTTCGCTACACCGTTTTCTAAAAAGCAATAATACAAAAAATAACAGGAATAATTGCAATCAAATAAAATCACACTGGTGCACTAAATACCCAAACTATGCATATTTATCACAGCTGACTAACGGAATTAAATTTTCGCTCTAGTACACTTTAGGCATTAGAAAGGGCAATACCTTTCCTTGCTCTTTTAACGCATTGGCAAGGTTGCAATAAGCGTCCGGGAAATTTGGTTGTAGCTCAATGGCTCTTTTGTAAGTATCAACGGCAAGATCAATAAGCCTAGGGAAGACCAGATGCATATGAACAAGGCAAAAAACGTTCATAAAACAGCTGAAATTGAAGATTTCATGAATAACTGCAATGAACGTAAAGTCATATTAAATAGCTAATTGGCTTATTCCGTCAATGGTTTAGCTTTATTGCATAAGACGGTTGTGTATTCTTACCATCTTTCAATCAAAGTAAACAAAATCAAACGAAAGTGAAATAACTACAACCATGATAATAAGAGCGAAAAAATATCTTGCAGGTGATTTATATCTAAAACATTTTTTTGTTTTCTGATTTGCAGAAAAAACCTGAAAGCTAATTCAAAAGGTAGCCTTCTTGACAATAGTTATAAAAAGTTGCTTTTGTTGGCTAGAGTAATTCTTATAGTTTTCATTTAGAAACAGTCTGTCCAATGTTAATTCCCTGCTTTAACAAACATTTATTGCGAAGAATCCCAAATTGGCAGCTTGGAAGGTCCTTGACTCTTACTACCAGAAAATTATTCTTTCGTAATGTCATTGGCCACGAAAAACGCCATATACAAGGGAGGAAAAACATCTTTTAAGGGTGATTTCATCTTGAAATACGGCAAAGCTTTAGAAAAAAATGAAGCAGGTAACATCGATATTGTTGTCATTGCAATGGAACACAAACAGGATTTATTTGCTAGTTAAATGCCTATATGTATCTTGACTAACTGAAACAGTGGTAAGTAGAATAATGGAAATGAGGTGGTACAAAAATGCACCAGATAGAACAAGCATATAGATACATAGGAATTACACATTACAACTTAATCCGATCCATGATATTTGGTTTCATTGAAAAATAAGTTGGAAACAAATGTGAGGTTATCTTAATCAAATGAACCTTGAAGCAAAACTTGTAAGCTATTAGAACCCTTTGCATATCTATACCAACCAGGCTATCAAGACTATAATCAGATTTTTATTTGATATGATTGCATAATAATATAGAGATATTCTGGCATATTAAAAATTTTGAACAACTTCAGAGACCAAAAAGTAGGCCTTGCAAATTCTTTTACAGATCATGGCAGTTGACAATAACTCCTGTAATAATATATACAATTAAAAAGAAGTGCACACCATTATGAATTTATCTCTGTGTCAGTACAAAGGGAGATGGTTAAGCGGCAACAAGCCCAACAGGTTAAACATTATAGAAAAAGAAGACCTTAATTACACAATGACAAGAACATATGAAAGGGTCTGTGCTGAATGGAATGGTTTAGAGATTCTATTGCTACTGGAAAGAAAGTCCCTTCAAGTTGTGCCCCCAAGTCCAGTTGTGCTAATAGAAACAAAATCACTACCTTGCTCAACTAACAAGTTCCACTTTCCTACCCAAATGTTGAAATATATTTTTCTGCAAAAAGTTCTTTGATTGTTTCACCCTCATGTTACTATCCATACTTTAATTCATTTGAAATAATTTTCATTTAAAAGCATGAACAGCAGAGCACACCAGCAGATACTCTACATCTTTTTAGCACTGTTTATTGCTTGTTGTTCGAGCATCTCAGGACTTCTAATACTCCACTAAACTTGCTTCCATTTTCAGTGCAGAAAACTTTTCATAATGGTGCACACTTACCTTGAATTGGTGCTATATATATATATATATATGTTATATCCAAAAAAGCACCAAAGAAATCTTTACATACCCTTGCTCATAGTAAACACATGCAAGGTTACCATGGACAATAGCATGGCTTGGACTGATGGCTAATGCACGTAGATATGCTGTGACAGCCCTAGAATATATATATATATATGGAAATTAGCTGTATATATATAGATATATATATATATATATATATATAATTGTAAAAAATTGCATGTATACAAATATCTACCTGGAGACAACCATGTAAAAGAGTGAACATAGAGCAAAAATGTTTGCAGCTGCTGTGCAAAGAGCTTCTGCACCTGCAAGCTGTGGCAAAATGGCGATGCGCAAAATTTTTCCTGCCAACCAACCATGCCTCCTGGGAGTTGCAATGTGCTGGGGTTTCGTGTCACCACAACCACAACAGACCTGAGCATGGCCAAGTGAATTGAAGCCTGATCGACTCATTTTAGATACAAATATTTAAAGTTTGAGGAAGTATACTTAAAAATTTCAGTTCTACAGAGAAATAGTTCAAAATTTAAATTTATTTTATCTCAAAAACGGCACCATGCAGCACGCTGATTTCTTTAAAGATTTATATATTTTCATGACCCGAAAAAAAGATGAAAGTGGTCGGCATATCTGGAAAGTTGGAACATGTTGATAATTTTACTGCAAAGATAGTTAAAGTTAGGATTGTCAAATTAAGGGGGCGATATTAATTGGCATATGCAGTATATTCATGAATGTTTTTCGTTAAAAATAATTGGTCACAAATGGAAGTAGCTGTTTTCTCCTTGATTATGAAATCACTTTGGTATTTTTGGTATAACAGAAGGAAACTGAACAGAGGGAAACTCAACAAAGCAACATTTGGCAAGGGCAACAAGGGAAGCTTTGTTCCATATTTAAATTAACCATTGCGGAAAATTTCCACCATGCTGCATCCTGAATTTGTGTATACTTTTAGTCAAAAGTTCAACTTCTTTGTATAATGTCTCCTTCAGTGGCAGAAAATTGGAAAACGCTCTGAAAGTTACTTTTCAAATAATTCATATTTCCTTCCTTGCTTAATACTAGGCCTAGGGATAGGATACTTTAGTTTGACAGTAAAGCATAGACAATGAAGAGATTAATAGGTACTTTTAAAGCCTTAATTTAATGATATAAATGTATCTTAAGTAGACAATTTACCTATTTGATTCCATAAAAATAAAGTAGAGGAGAGGTTAAAATTCAAGGTTTGTTTCCTCATATATTTTTCTTTCATTCCAATCGGGACAGAACAACACAACTTTCGCAGGCAGGCAAATCACATAAGCATGTGTGCCCATAAAAATGTTATTGCTCTATTTTGTAAAAGTGGGATTCCCCTAACAAGGAGTTTTTTTAGATTGAACAGGTTTTGTAGTAATTTTCAGATTCTGCAAACATCCAAACTTACCTGTCAAAAATTCTTGCTTCCTTCAGAACATTCCCAAGATTTATATAGGCATCCAAAAAGTTAGGGTCAATTTGCACTGCCTAAAACAAAAATATCAAGGATTACAACAAACCCAATAAAACCCCAATAAATAACAGACTCTTACCAAGATAGCTAGTTTTTAAGAAAAAAAAACAGTTATATAAAATCTAAAACTCTTTTACCCTCTTATACTGCATTTATCAAAATGTTTTTCTTTCTTTTTATCAAATGAATGACATCATTAAACAAGAAAAACGATGAGGAGCAATCCAATTTAATCAAATTTCGGTTGAAGAAAGAAAAAACTTAAAAATAAGATATAGCACATATTTTGCCCTAGAATATTCAGCCCTGCTTTTATTTTATGCTTTATAACAATTCTTTAAAAGTTCCATTTTTTAAACACCAATATTGCAATTTTCATGGCATACAGAAGTGGCAATTTCTTTCTTAAAGTTTAGTCATCATACTCCTAGATTTATTTCATCGGAAAAAATACTAGAACAGTATAAATAGGAAAAAGATAACATATACAGAACTTACTTTTTCAAAATGATGAATAGCAAGCCAAATCTCAGCTTGTGCATTGAACACGCATCCTAAATTACTCCAGGCCACAGCAAAGTTTGGCTGTGTCTCAATTGCTTTTAAATAACATGCCTGAAATTCAAAAATATACATAATACATAATATACATAATATGATACAAAGTATACATAATATATACATAAACTAATTTTCCTTCCTAAAAGAATCTTTGTCTTTGTCTTTGTGGTTCATTTATGTCAACACTGCTTGCAAGACCATTCAAAAATCTCCACTTAACAGTAGAGAGATAATGAGACATAATGATAAAAACATGGTTTTTAAACAATGCTGGTCACATCATGGTTTAAACAGAGCCTTCAAGCAGTGGTCCCACTGTGTTATACGTGTTTTGACATACTGTTTAATTATATCATGAAGGTTTATCATGTCTTAAATGCTGGTGTTACCTACCTTTGCCTCTTCCAATCGGCCTAAAGCTTTTAGTAAATTGCCAAGGTCACTTCTCACACAATACAGATCCTACAAAATAATTTCAACCATGACTTTTTTCACAAACGTCACTTTAGCAGAATCAAATAAATAATTCTAAGATCAAGAATACATCTTTTCTTTCCTCATCAAACAAAATCCCTCAATATTTTAAAGCTAAACACAACTACCTCACGAGCTCTTGTCCCCTTTTTACAGTTTTAATGTGAAATTTTGCCAAGAATTATCTACGGAGTCTGGCAAATGCTGCCATAAAATTTGTTTGGAATTGGATCAAAAATTTCAATTGTTCATCAACAGAGCTGAAATGATGATGCATGTTTGAGGTTTTATAAGGTTTAGTCAAGAAAAGGTTTACTCTGTCAAGCTCAATTAGATAGTTTTTTGGTACACAGGTCATTCCAGCCAAATTCAAAAAGTTTGTGCTGTTTAGAGGGTCCTTTAAATGGCTATGAAATCAGACACATAAAAGGCAACAGGCAGAAATTTTACCTGGGTATAATTACTCTCACTAATACTAATATATGGTGTAGATTTGAAAAAAATCTTCAGGACAGCACAGAACCATTGTTGAATTTGTCTGGAATGACCAATTCAAATTACTAGACATACAGGGTTATACTGTAAAGCTGTTGCATAGGCTTGGACTGCTCCTTCTAGGTCTCCTGCAGCAACAAGGGCAGCAGCCAAATTGATGTAGCCATCAATAAAATCTGGTTTAAGCTTGACTGCATGTCTGTAATTGTTGAGAGCCTCTTTTAGCTGTCCTTTCTCCTTTAAGACATTGCCAAGGTTAGAATATGCTTCAGCAAGCATTGGATTCTGCTTTATAGCCAAAGTGCTGAATTGGGCAGACCTTGATGAAAGAAAATAGATTGTATGAATGTCAAGTTCATTGAGCTGAAATAAGTTCAAACTTACAGGTCAAAAAGTGTAGTTTCAAAATTTAGAGTACCCAAAAATCCTGACAGCATAACGTACCCGAGATCTTCTCTAAGGCATGTGGAATTGAACAGTATTTTATTTAGAAATAGCTTGCATTGCTTTTACATATTAGTAGAGAATGCTCGTGTTAAACTAAACACTTTTATAAAAACCAAATAATTGAGGTTCAGGCTTGATGTTCTAGCTGGCTGACTTTTTTGAAGAAACGATTAGGTTTGATTGATTTTCAATTGTTGTTAAATTGTAGCAGGGCAATATCAGGGTGCTCAATCAGAAAGGGGGGGTGATGTAGCCTTTCTTTAGCTCTTGCATGTTTAAACTTAATAATTATGATTTTGGCTACTCAAAACTACCAATAAAAACAAACTTTTAGCTGCAACCTGCAAGAGAAGACTTCTGAAGTGTACCAATGATGTTCATGACTTTAGAATGATACAAATGACTCAATTTATATCATGGACCAGGTGTGAGCACAAGAAATTGAGCATAGCTGTGAGCATATACAAGTTTTCAAGCCTGGAGTCCTGTAGTTATTTATCAATCTATGATACCTCTCCCTTATGAAACTAAGGGTGTACCCTATGATTACCCTCCCCCACTGCATAATCTGCAAAGTACTGCGTGGGTATGTAAATTATTTCCAAAATGGCAAGGTGCAGTGAATTCATTGACATAACCCGTTTCCAGTGTGAGTCAATATATCAAGTCAACACTTCTGTTCATTGAAAAAACCATATTGAATAAAAGATAATTTACAAAAAAAAAATAAAATAAATTAGAACAGTCACTTGAAGACATGAGAACTTACTGATCTAATCGACGACACTGGAAATGGATCGACGACAACAACAACAAACAGCCAGTATTTTCAGGTTCTCTCCTCCACCACTGAATACACATCTTCTCTGCTCGGTCATAATTTCCATTCTGGTATTCTCGATGGGCTATTTCAGCTAAAGACAGGGTCGACACGCTATTAACTGTAAATGGAAAGCATTGAATGCATATCAGCAGTGAATATTTGGGCAGATTACCACCTTAACGTGGCTATGGGCAAGTCTCACAAGAGATAAAGTATATATTTCATCACAGCCTACATGTGATTTATATTACATTAAAAGTATCAAACAATAGAAGAAACTCGGAGATTTGAAGAACAATATATTCGAAGCATGTCAACAGATATCATCAGGAGTGTCCCAATCAAGGAGAATAGTGTTTCGAATTAGACGATAACTGCCTAACACATCTGAATAAAACTTGAGTCAATTGATTTAGTTTTGGGTCATCAAAGACAGACAAGACACCAAATGTTAAATCAATAAGGATAGTGTTCACATCTATCTGCATATGATTATGAATAAGATGAGAACTGCAATAACATGTGAACCATTATTAATAACAGAAACTTTTCTTGCTAACAAACTTGCCTGGACTATCCATGGTTGTCGTTCCCATAACCATATTTCATTTGGTCATTTGCTTAAGTTCAAGCTGAAGACCTTTAAATTCTAATCAAAGGTCTATCATGTTTGTGCTTCAGTGGCGTGCACGCTTTCTCTAGCTCCTCTAGTTTAACAGTGAGTACATCGTGTCCAACAATCCTGGTCGGTGAACAAAGCGTAATTATGATAATTATATGCTAAATAAAAGCGAACTATCCATTGCGCACGCACATTTGGTAGAAAAGAAGAATTTCCTTTTTGATCAGAAAAACTGTATAGAGAATTTTGTTTCAATGCTTCATTTTCTTATTTCACTGCAAATGTAGATTTACACTTCTACATGGCTATGGAGGGAAGAAACGGGTATTGCGTATTTAGACCTCCGTAAATAAAAGAGGCAGTGCTAAAAATGCTGCTAACGTCAATCAACATGAAAATTATTTGGGGAAAGTACATAAACTGAGTAATTTTTAAAAATTTGAAAGACATAAACAAACAATAAACGAGAATGGCGAACAAGGTCTCCGTCGAACTTTTTGCGAAACTTTTGTTATGGGTCTTTAATTTGCCCTTGCCCCCTACTTTCCAACTTTCTTCGGAGCCCCTGGCAAAGAAAGTATTTACATCAGTGGCGTAGATAAACGGGATTCAGAGCAGAGTCAGGAAAATATTACAGTCGCACGGCAACTGACCGGAGGCAGGCACCGTGCAGCCATTGGGCTAGCAGGGGCTATACCCCCCCCCCCACTCTTTTGCAATAATAGGCTACAGATTTTTGGAAGGTTTACTCTAACGCATCTTTGTATAGTTTACTCCTATGTAGTAGCAGTTCTTCTTGATTGGAAACCTTTTTTGTTCTTTTTTAGCTGTTTGATCTTGTTTAATGATATGATGTATTTTCTAGCTTGGTTAGCTTGGTATTTTGTTACTCTCAAGCTTATTTTATCTATTTTATAGTTATTGATAACTTCTCTGAACCAGACTGTTTATAAAAATTGTATAGAAATGAAAAAGTATTTTCTAAAAGGGGCGTTTTCCGGCGTTCTTGAGGACGTAGCCTCAAAAATTTTGGTCACACCCTTTTCAGCCCCTCCACTTTTAGACTGATGCGCAGTCGAGATAACTCCTCAAAAGCTCAAAATTTGAAAACAACAAAAAAAGTGAACATATTCACATAGTAAATAGTAGTTAAAGACGTGAAGTTAGAAAATTTTTTGAATGCATTGAATGTAAGGTTTCCTGACATTTTAATAAGTGACGTTCTTAAAAATGTTTAAATTGCCCCTCCCCCCTCTCTTCCCTAAAAAACGAGCAAAAGTCATATTTTGTGCTTGAACTTTCTTGCATAGTTGACCTTTTACCCTTTACAGACCGACCAAAAGAACACACCTACCTTTATCATAAGAATATTTTAAATCTTGTATCTATATGGAACATTATATGGAATGTATTATACAAATACCATAAACAATATTCCTACAGAAAAAAAAGTGTAACAGGACAAAATTGCAAAACTGGACAAGCAAAGCTTGACGCCAATAGTCTATCAGGAAAAAAGACTGTCCTTAGAAAACCGTCCCCGGGTTCATTCAGAAAAACGCCTCAATTTTCCTCCAGATGAGTTTTCTTCAAAATTTTTGTTGTATGCTTTGAGTAAAGGTTTCTTAGAGTCGGGAAACAATACCGTCTTAAACCAATCAGTGTTGCTGGGTCAGTATTCGTGCAACGGTTCTGGCTGTGACCAGATAACTCTTGAACTTCCTACCAGGGCTTCAAGTGGTAATGCGCATGTGCAATGACCCTGAAACGGGGGCTAGGTAATGTCTGGAAGAGGGGCATGATTCATCTCCCGAACAAGCACAGTATAAAATTCTTTTCACTAAATATACTCTTGTGAGGCTATACACGGCCTTCCTCAAAACTATTGCGTCGTTGGATACCCTTCATCCGGCTCACTGCCGGAATGATTTCACTTTGCAAAAATGGTACGGGAAGTATCATATTGATGCGGAGCCGTGTAAACGCAACCCCTATCCGATATGAAACGCAATCCGATACACGAGTAAGCCGGTATCGTGCAAACAAAGCCTGTTGCACGCTGGGGCCAAAACATGGAATATCAGAATGAGCCCCACAATTTCCATGTTTAAAAGAAACTTGAAGAGATTCCTACAAAGTTAATAAATTCCCAAAACAAAACACGTTCCCTAGGTAGAACAGCAACATCTTTATTTTATTTATATTAAAAAATTATTTTGTAGTAGAAGTAGTTTATTTGTATTATAGCTGATAGAGAATTCGTGAATAAAGATTTTTAAAATGAAATGAAAATGAAATGAAATGTTGAATTCTCGATATTCTGGAAAATTCAGTGCCGTCGGAATAAAATTCATATTTGGGGGGGGGGGCTGCCCATGGTATTATTTCTCATTCAGGACACTGTTATAAAGGAAATTTCTTAAAGATTGACAATTATTGGAGAGCTGCAGCAGGCCCCCAGCCAGCCCCGCTCCCGACGGCCCTGAAAATATCGGAGATCAGGGTTGGTATATTGACCATTCTTTGGCCAAATTTGACTGAATTTGCAACTGAACTGAACTTGCCTGGTCAAACCAAAAATTTGGCTAAGTGTTGGCCAATTTTTAAAATTCTTAACTAATAAAATTTTTTAATCTTTAAAGACTTATCTTCACCCCCATGAAACAATAATTGATGATAGTCTGCATCGCAATGGCGGATTTAAGGGGGGGGGGCAGCTAGGGGTAGTTGTCCCTCCCTCGACGAGTTGAAGCAAGTCTTTTGAAGAATAAGGATCAGGTGAAAAAGTTTCTGAGACCGATAGGTTAACTTGCTTCAAGGATAACCTCAAGGTTATGTTGTTTATTCCGAAAATGGATCTCAAAATGTTGTAAACAACGTACTCTCGTCACCAATTTTTGAAAATTTTTCAGCGCTCCCACTACCAACTGCCCCTCCTTCAAGTTTGCTCTGGATCTGCCACTGCTGCATCGCAATAGCCTGAGCCCCAAACTCCAAATACTTTTAGTTTGGGGTGTAAAACTCAGGCTACATCGCAAACGCCTCGCCGTGCAAATTTTAAGGCCTTCTCTGGCATTCTCTTGCATTGGTTTTCGGCAAGCAATTATCTTTCATGAAAGAGAGGTGCCTTCGAAGAAATTAAATCTCGGCTATATCAGACTAGAAATCTCATCTTTGTTAGAACACAGGGTTCCCATTCATTGCAGGACATCACATGACAATTGCATCTTAGGGTATATAAGGGGTGGCTTTATAGTTAGGTTCAGTCTTGCCGTAAGATTGTCGAACTCCGTGTGCCTTGTCGCTAGCTTGCAGAATTGTGTTTGTCGTTACATTGTCGCCGTTAGCCGTGTAAGATATTTTTAGTCGTTTGCCGTGAACTGATGAATTAGCAGAAGTGTATAGAGAATTGGATAACAGTTTTTGCCGTATTTATCGTGTACGTTTCTGCGAACGACCTACGAACTCACATTTGTAAAATCCCCTTATTAAGTGGTTTTACATCTTGAACAAATTTCGCCCAGAGATTGTTCTCAACCAGACCATACTATTGTTCTTCAACCATCTATCTATTGTTCTATGACCACAGTGCCTACGTCACGAATTTGAGAGAGGGGAGGGGGCTAACAAAAGAAGGGGGCCAAGGCTTTTCCCCTTTCACTACTTGCTTCACAAAAAGGGGGGCTGTGGCCCCTCTGGCCCCCCGGTGGCTTGGGCCCTGGAGCATCCGTCTATTGTTCTATTTTCAGTATTCTTGGCCAGTATTGCAAGACTTCTAAGGGAAATTTTTAGGTACCAAAAACAAATGCAGGTCAAGTAAAGCCATAGAGTTAGCTCTATGAGTAAAGCAGACTAAGTTATTTGTTGTAGTTGTTGCTTGTACTGTTGCTTGTTGTTGCTGTTAATTAATTAACTTCTATTTTGTCCACGTTTGCGTAAAAAGCTCTAATTTTTCATTTATATGTAAAGAGCTTTTTAGGTATTAAATGTACGTTAATTAATTAAATTGATGATGATGATAAAAGACATGTCGTCGGATACGAAGATCATGACAAACCAAAAAAGTGACATAAACAGGCCCCCTACCCCTTGGTTGGATACTTTCTCGATTGCACTGCCTGGTCTATGTTATATGCTACTTTTGGCAACTCAGGACACGTCTCTTGGGAAATGTGGATGGTCAATGTCAAAATTCGCACGTATAAAAATGACCAGGAAGCTTGAAGTGGGGAGAAAGGATCACCGAGGGGAATCTCCATTTCTGTTTTCCATTCCAAGCCTGCATGTCAATCCTCATCTTTTTTGTTTAGCACTTCTATCACGTGACAAATTATTGTCTACCTGTCAATTGTCTGTGAACAAAATGCAGATGCAGTCATGCGTTTACCACTCCCATTATTTTTAAAAGTGGAAGAGACGACCTAAAAGCTCATTCTGCTTTTGGCTTGCCATTGGATAACATTGTCAAAAAGGTAAGTGGGAACTTCCACGACGATTTGTTTTATAAAACTGCTGCTTCTTTCAGTTGTAATTTTTGTTAATGAATACTTCATTACTTTTGGCTTTTTTAATTTTGGTTTCAGGCTGGTAACAAAAAAAATTTCCAAAGATGTCTGACAAACCAGATCTCGAGGAAGTCACCAAATTCGACAAGACTAAATTGAAGAAAGCAGAAACCAAAGAGAAAAATACCCTACCATCGAAAGAAAGTAAGATTTATTTTGTCTGTAGGTTTTTAAAATAAATGTTGTAGTTTTTTATTGCTCTCCCAATTATTTGTTTTAATTTAGGCCAGGTCCGTTACACTATACGTTTTACACTCTAATTCCTCAAAATCCTTCAAAGCTGTACGTATAAGCACACTACTTTATTCTTTTTAACGTTTCTTTGGTTGTCCTGAAATCGTCTAGGAAGAAAAACGACTTAATTTTGTAATCCTCCCTACACGGAAACACGTTAGCTTGAAAGGTGTGGTCTTGTTGTGACGCTTTTTGTCTTCGAATCATTCAGAATTGTCTACCTTGCTGTTCAAAGCTATAGAAACGCAAGCAGCATGATTTTTCTCGTTTTCAAAGCTTTATTTTAGCATAGATAATACACTAGTCATTCTAATAATCTTTGTAGATGCGGCGCTGTGAAGTTATTTTAGTCATGGTTTGACCTCAAAAAATTATAGTCGTGGTTTGTTCAAGTTATTAAGTATGTTCCTATCCCAGCATCTTGTAAAATAGCGAGAGTTTTGTTTGTCCACTGACAATTTTTGGATTTTGAGATTGTAATAAGGTAGGAAGAGATTGAAATTTTCTTAATCTTCGTCGATAGGCTATCCACATGGCGTCTTTCCATTTCCGGGTTACGCCAAACACCATTCTACAATGTCCCTTTTACAAATTGTGAGGGTTTTTGTGATATGCGATAGGAAAATATGTGTAATCCGTTAATTTTTCCTAATTATTTGTTAATATTTTATGTCTGAATCTATTTTTTTTATTTTTTAGCAATTGAACAAGAAAAGAGCGGATGAACCAAATTTTGATGTCAATGTAATTATGGGAGATTTAAAGAATTATCAAGTTTGAGATAACATGGATTTATGCTGTGAATAAAGTTGCCATCAGTGAATCCTACTCTTGAACTCATTTCGTCTTTAGTGTTATGAGCTTAAACTGTTTATTTTCATGAGTAGACAATAAACGACAGCGATTGTTTTTCTCTTGTTAATTACTCTTTTCGTTGCTTTCTTGTGTCCAAGAATCTACCGTTCGAGGACTGTTATACTTGCTAAGATACTTGGAAAGCAAAGCAAAGCAAAGCTTCTTAAGAATTTGGCAAGGCTTGAGTCTCACGGTGATTGCCCGCAACTCGCGCGCGAGTGAAGGGCTTATAGTCTGCCCCGCGTATAAGTAGCATATGGAAGCTTCAGTTCATGTTGTCAGCACTTTTTCAGCAGATTTTGTCACTTTTCTGCTGCCATGACAACTGTCAATCAATTTCATTGTCAATCAATCGGCTTTGTCGAGGAGGTCGTTAACCGCCACCTCTTTGCGCGGAAGGGAATTATCTTCGGAGCGTTGCTCTGCCAAGACTCTGTTAAAGGCCTTCGGTTTTTTTGGCATGAAAACGCTGCTGCATCACAGCTCGGTTCTCCGCAATGGATGGAAGTTTTGATTCGAAGTTTTGGGAATCAAAACCAGTCGAATGCCACACTTTTCTCCCAAAAACTCGAGACCGTACGAGCAAAAGTTATGATTGTCGTGATTATCGAAAAATAAATGTCAAACCCTCGAAAAACTTCATGATTTTCAAAAGGGCGTTGGACTTAAATCAAAGGCAAACTGAAAACCTGAGCTTGATAAAAAGAATAGTTTAGCTTCAACTAGAGCAGCTGTTTTTATAGAATTGTGAAAACCCAAGATGGTGTCTTCTTCGAATATCCTGACCTACATTTTCAAAACAATCATTATCAAGGAACTAATTGTTTGCGGGCAGTACTAGCAAGAGCTATTTCTAGTTTAGGATGGGCGCAAGAACGATTCGCATCATTGCCCTGGACAGGGTTATCCCCCAACGCCGCAGAAAAACAGCAGCTGACCCGGAAGAAGAAGTCGTATTATGTGAAAGACTCTCACATGGAACAATTAAATCAAATTCTCTCTACACTTCAGTTTTTCTAGAAGTTCCAAACGTCCATTAGGTTTCGCGATTTTTAGTACCATTGTACAATATAGCACTTAGTTGTTTGTGACGTTTTTTCTTGCATGGAAGTGCGATTCAAAAACTCGTGTATGTCTGCTGACTGGCGGCTATCATGTATTGAAAGATATTACACGAATTGCCAAGGGAGTGGGTAGTTGGAAGGGGTCACACCATCCGAAAGCAACAATGCCATGAGAAAATTCCTCCATGAAATCATATGTAATCATATCATCAACAGAATAATTTAAGTCTTCACAGATAGAAATTTTTGATTTGGTTTTCTATCAAAGCATAAACTTTTGAAATACTGTTCTGGGGTGAAATACTGCGAACGTGAGTTGTTGATGTCCTGGGGACACAGCCTAGCGCATTTTTGCCACTCTCGGGTTCGAAAATCATCGTTTTCAGCCACGAGCACGGCCGCCGACGAGGGGCAATTCATTCTTGCAAATAGCGTATGAGATTTTCCCTAAAATAAAAGGATTTTCACAAAAGGTGTACGGGATTTTCTTGGAGTGATTTGCCCCTCGGCCGCCGATAGGGGGCAAAGGGACAGAGGGCCTCGGGGCCTTATAAAGCAATGAGTTTCGTTTTAAAATGGAATTAATTGAAATTAACCATTTTGTGCCTAAAATAGCAAACAATTGTAAAAGAATGAAAGACTTTAAGCTAATCTAAAGGGCGTAGTTGCAGAAATTTTCTGCTCGTTTCGTTTGCTGAGGACCTCATCTTTTGGTTTTGCCCCAGAGCCTCCAAAACCTATCGGTAGCCCTGGCCACGAGCCACTTTTTCAAGATAACAATCTTTTGTTATGATGATGATCACAATCAATTATCGTTACCAACCTTCATTATCGACATATCCCCATATGGGCAAGAAGGGTGGCCATCGAAATTTTACAAATCAGACAGGACATGAAGGGTAATAAGAAAATAAGTCTACTAACTGTCACAAAGTAGTCTGATTATGTGGTGTAAGAGAAGATGGATCAAAATCACTGGCGCTGTATTCAGGGTATACCCCCGAAACAATCTAGATATAAAGCATAAAAATTTTTAATAGTTCTGTTTGGTCGTATAGTCTAAATATAAACTTCACAACATTTTAGAATTAATCATTTCTGGCCTCTTGAAGTCTTAAAAGGCACATTACCCAGGCGTTTTCTCAAATATAACTTGTATAACTTTTCAAACTTCAGTTTTCGTGTCATCCTCTCTTATTATTTGCTGAAGTAAAACAGTCAGAATTGGACTTTAGACGAAATTCTATCCTTTTCATAGACAATCTTCTTTTTGCTTATTCATGAAGCAAAATTGCAAATATATGTCTCATTCCATTATTGCAAATTTTGGAACAGACACAAATCTCACAAAACCAGGGGCGTAAAAGCCTACCAAAAAGTGAGAGGGGGCACTACAATAGAAGCGGAAATTGAGAAGCATGTCCATTGATAAATTAAAATTCGTTGTTTAGCTTCAGTACCCATTGAGCGCATAATTAGACAAGTAGATCACATAAAACAAGCTTTGAGTCTGCTCTGAGAAAAGAGAAAATTGGTAAAAACCAGGATAAAAAACCATCTCACCAAGAATTTACCAAAATATTGCTTGCGACAATCTTTGCGCTGCAAAAAGTTTTTTGCAATCTTTTTCTATATTTTTTCAGCTCTTTGCTAACGAGAACACAGCATTATCAAGTTGTTGTATCTCCATTCTGTCATACTACTTCTACTCTCCGCTGAGCTGAGAATAATCATTCTGCTGAAGCAGAAGATTGTGGAGCCGAAGCGTAGATTTTAGGCACTTTGAAAACTTCTGAGAGATATCGTTATAAAAGATATTCTGAGAGAATTTTTGTTATAAAAGACAATTTCTACAATTTTGTCCAATGATGTTACACCTATTACTTTAGGAGCCAAGTACTATTTCTGGAAGAAGTTCCAACTGTGGTGTCAACTGAAAAAATCCCCGCCTGTTTTGTATCCATCCCTCACTTGCTCGCTAATTTCAAACTCTCGACCATTTACAGCATCCAGAAAAGCTTTTTCTATATAGGGCATACGATATGTCATCAAATATTCTACCTATTTCTACAAAGGCATACAACAACAGTCTCAAAATTTTGCAATCGGTAGAATGGTTTGACATCCAAGAATGAAAAGATGGAAACAAAATGAGTGTAAGTTTAGTAAGTCAGTTTAGTAAAATGGAGCAATGACGTGACACGTGTTTAATCTCAAGAGGGGCACTTCCCCTCATCCATAAAAGGAGCATGCTTCAAGTTAGAAAAAAGGTGGGGCACGTGCCCCCTAGGCCCAGTGGCGACGCCAGCCACTGCAGAGTGGGAGGGAAATGGGCGTGACAAACGAGACCGCGCCATTTTGCCTCGTTTCAGTACTTTGTACCAAGTGAATTTTCCAAAGGCAAAGATATTATCAACCCATACTTTACTCTTTTTGATCCATTTATAGAAGAATTACGTGGACCATGTTTTGACAAAAGTGGGGGGGGGGGGGTAACTAACCCCACATCCCCTTGGCGCCGCCACTGCCTAGGGCCCTGGGTCCCACGCCACTGACCAAAATCGTTATTTTCAAAGTCAAAATAGACATGATTTTAACCAACAATGGTACGCGCTACCAAACATCTATTATGTGGTTTTCAATTATGTACAAGAAGTTATAACAAAACATGCTTTAGATAAGTTGCAGAATAAGATTTTGCCTGCTGAAAATACCAACATACCACGGTAACAATTGGGGTTTCGTAAAAGGTAAACATTGCAAATATTTTCAATTCGGAGAAAAGTTGACATACAGAAAACACTTTTGGGATTGAAAAAGGCAACTGACACGATTTCTCGCGGTCAATCTATGAGGTCGGAAAAAGATACGCTGGTTTTGCCCATAGAACAGGCCTTTCTGTCAAATGTGTAAATTTCTATGCCACTCGCTTTTAGCTTCGGTTCTTTTTTTCCAATATACAGACGGTTCAAATCTTTATTTGAGATACATATGCTTTTTCGTACTATTCATAACCATTCAAATGTGGGATAGAACGGAATGGTTGCATATTCCGGAATATGAAAATCCCACGTCTAATAACGTACGGAAGAGAAGATCAACTAAGATTCGAGGTCTTGTAAAGCGAACCCGGTCATAAAATAACTTCACAATAAAATCGACACCAGGCCGGCACATTTACTCGAAAAAATAGCAGTCGTAAGCCAATATACTCTAACGACTTTCCTTTACACAAGTTACCATCAGGTCAGAAATGAGAACTAGAAACGACAACGTTTCTTCCAAGTGGACAGCTGACAAAAGCATAACGGATTTCAGTTATTGTCTTTGAGGATGTGTCTATGCCATCATTCTGCAGTTTCAGCTGTCCATTGGTTCGATTCCTGCTAAAGGTTAAAACCCCAATCCATCCAAAGACTACAAAATCACATCCAGAATCTAAATTGACCCCTTTGTTTGGGGAAATCACGCATAAACATAGTCTTTTTTGAGAAAGCAATATTTGTTCAAATGATCGAAAGTCCGAATGAATGGCGGGGATTATCAAAGTGGGAAAACGTTTCCCCGTCGACAAACAACAAATTCGAATTTTTAGGGTTCTGACTGGTACTTGGAGCAAGTCTAAACCATTGGTCTGAACAGGTGAATATCATATAGCTCCTTTGCAGAAAACATCTACGACGATGGTTGAAAGGGTCTATCTTCCATGTAGCCATGTTACAATCTCTACGAAAAAGCCATGTTTAATAGTTTGGAGGGTATTTCCTCTAAGGAATGAATACTGAAACATTTCTGCAACGACTTAACATTCGCAAGATTGTATCACATTACATTCACGAGACTTTTTTACTGAGTTGAATCAGGAAAATTTTGGAACAATTTATGCAGGAAAGACAGAAAAGGAAACCAATTCTTTACCGCAGACGCATGAAAATGACGCTGATGGTTATGGTAAGACAAGGCGGATTGGACTTCAAATTCTATTAAAAGTTGTAATGAAACTAATATCTACCTTGTCAGTATTGCTAAAACATCTGGCTATATCAGCTAGCTTCATCTCTACATAACCCATTTATCTACATCAAAATCCATTTAAGTCTTTACCGCATGCACATGATGCAAAACAGCGGCCTAGGTTCCCGCTGGAGTGCCTTGATAAGCATTAGCAGAACCATTGGCATATGGGGCTCCCAGTCCGAAAAGATGTCCACAATACTTATCATCGTCGATGTTGTCTTCAAAGAACATCTGTAAAAATAGAAAATTTGATATTATCTGCTGTGTATACATTCTGGTGGTTTACAGACGGAGGGGGGAGGGGGATATTTCAGGTTCGCAACTTGTATGAGAATTTAGCTATTCTATTTCGGTAGATTCCTGTCTTGACGAATTTTCAAGGTATTAAATAATTTGATAGGAAATAAGATAGAGTAACTATCAATGATAGTTGGCATTAATTAGCGAAACATTAAACGCTACGTCAAACTCAAGAGATTAAAATAAATTATAAATTAGCTAATCAATTAAATTATTCATAGACAATTAACTTTAATAACTCTATCTGCATAAAACTTGAGACAACTAATGAGAAAATGTCTCTATTTTCCTTGGGGACAGTCCCTTACTTTGTTCCAATCTCTTTGGGTAGAGAGCATGACAATGAGATGATAGGCTCAAATACAAAATTGAAAGGTTATGAAAAATCAATGTTAGTATAATGAAGAAAATACTTGACAATCAGGGACAGTATATTGCTTTTTGCAGGATACCATGAGGTTCGTTAGAGTTGGTAATGTGTGAAAGGGTTCATTTTAAGCCTTCCTTATCGTTAAGGTAAAGAAATACATTTAAGAATGGAGAAAATGATACAAAACGAAAGGAATTTTAAGTATCCAGACCATAGGTATTAGGGACATCAATGATTGATTTTGCAACAATAGGGTGGTTGTGGAGATGGAGAATGTGCCAAGCAATTCAGATGCCATCAAAGCATCGTTGAAAATGGCGCAAAAATGCAGATCCTGACTGGGTATGGCTTCCAGAAAAAACAACATATCGACACATTCAACCTTCAACAATTGACAGCAAACCCCACACAAGCAGATTGTATTTGCGTGCTTATTGTTTCACAATTTGCTTTCAGAACACCATTATCCTATGTCTAGTTGATTAAGTAACAATTCAAGGAGTTGCTTAATTAAACTCACGCGAAGAGCCTAGAAGAGTCGAGTAAACTTAGAGGTATGAAGCTGACTTGACAGGTCAAAGGAAACTTCAGCTGTTATGAAGCTACTGTTAGTCGATTGATTTGACTATTTTATATTATCCAGTAGTAATTGGATGAGTAAAATTGAAGTTCTTTGTTTGTCAACAGAATAATAAGTGTGATAGAGCTTTTAAGTGTCACCATGGCATGTAAAACGGTTTGTTGAACGATGAATGAGCTAAGACAGCTTAACTCTGCTCAAGTCGTGCCCTAGATTGTGGTTTTTGAAAGAAAATATAGAACTCTTTAGATGATTTTTGAACACAGCTAAATGGGCAGAAGTACTCACGCCTCTTAACAAAGAATCTAGAATGACCCGACAGTGCATTGAAAATCCAACACCACTTTATTCTTGCAAAAAACTTTTTTAGCATGATAGAGTTTCATTAGGCATGTAGCAAAGAGTAGGCAAGGATCTGGGCTCTGCTCGGATAATATGGCCATATATCTGTCTGATAGCTTCTGTATTACGAAAAATTATGAAACGATTGTTAGACCAAGGAGTTTACCTTTACTAGGGCTTACCTGTGAGATGGTTACTCGGCGAAATTAAGTACATAATACATTGCATTGGCTTAAAACAAATTTTTGTGTTTTTATATGAACACGTGAGCTAATTCGACATCTCTGTTAAATGGAGGTGCGCAGGCTAGTCAGATCATACTATTAACAAACTCAAGAACCATAATTTTCTAGCTGATGAAGAATTTGCTTTAGACAAGACGTCTTGCTGAGCGAGTAAGACAGGTGTTTCAAAAAGTTGCGTTACCTCTCTCATTTTAAAAAATGCAGCACCTGTCAGCAAGCTGTCGCTCCCTGCTTGATGCTGGGGTCCGATTCTTTCGAGCTAGGGATCAAATGATAAGGTTACTATCACCAAAGATTCGCCTCTTGACAGAAAAATTACCCTCTTTTTCGAGTCCCCCCAAAACACCCTATTGGGAGCTAATAATGTGGCATCCTAACGCATCATAGGCAAGGCAAGCCTTATACCAGATTTAGACCAACTTTTCACAACACGAAACACAGGAAACCAATACAATACAACACAATTACAATACGACACGAGACGGTCAATATAATACAAAACGATACAGTTGCGTGCAGCGTCATCATATCATATCATAGAATAAATAATCATAGAATAAATAAAGACACTATGAATAAGCATAAAAAAGATTATTTTGAAATTAAAAAAGTGGAACTACATTTAGCTGAGAATAATAAAAATAAATGTTATACAGGTCTACCATTTACTGCCCGATGCGGTGAGGACAGAGCTGTACACGATTTGATGTATAATAGAACAGGATGGTTTAAAGTATAAAACAGGACTACGAATTATACGCTTTATGTTTTCATCAGGCAACTGCTCTTCCTAATGGCAACATTCAAACAACAGACTATAGTTGAAATTATACTAGTAACAAAGAGGCAAGAATAACCCTAACATTGAATGCTAAATGAATACATTCACCGGAATTCTTACAGCTTTTAAAGTCAGGGGTCCACTCACCTCTAAAAGTTCGGCCACTTCCTGCAGGCCGCCCTTCAAGCTCTTGCAGCTTTTCATCAAATATTTAATGTCGTAAACATTGTTAAAATACAGTCTTAGCAAATCGAAAAAATCGGACTCCTCCACTGGCAAGTTGGAAGCTGTGAGGACCTTCAACAAGTACCCAAAGTCATACGCACTGCAAAAGACAAACCATTTCACAAATACAGTCTTTGGTGAGTCAAACGCGAAATAGAACTAAGCAATCGGGCCGGGGATATGATAATACTACCAGCCTACAACACTCCTAGACTAGTTAACAACAAACTTAAGATCTTTGATAGCATTTCATTGCTATTAGTGAAAATCAGCAAGGATATTGAAGTGCAGTATATTCTTAAGATGCTCTGGCAAATATTAGAAAAAATTGAAAGAGACTTCAGAAAATTGTACAAAATCTTCTCATTTTATGAGGAAGGTTATAACAATCGTAAAACTAGTCTATATAACTAGAGAAAGGAAAGCTGACAATGTTTCCCGAACCTTGAATGAAAGGTTAAATGAAAGGTTAAACAAAAGGTTAGGTTAAGATAAACAAAAGGTTAAGCTTAAGGTTAAACCAAGGTTATATTTCACGGTTAAGGTTACGGTAAACGTTTTGAACACGAAAATTGATTTTTCCTTCCTAAAGGCCAAACGGCTCAACGAATCTGGATAAACTATATATCATTCGATGCACAAGATTATGGCGTATCTAGCCAGATAAAAATTATTGGCAAATAATGTTAAATGTTATTTTCCATGCGAATTTACTGGTCAAAAAGTGTACCATCTTCAAAAACTATTATGTACCCTTGCGTTTGAGGTAACAAAATCTGACTTAGACCAGCAGGAAGTGCAGGTCCTTAGCTACCAAAGTGTGTCTCAGATTTTTTAAATTCCTCCTCTTCTAGAAACTATACCCTGTCAAAAATTGGCAAATAATTTTTCCACCCTCCCGCAGCTGTATTTGGGTATAAAAGACGGACCAGAGAAAATAAAAAAATTTTGAGACACACTTTGTTTGCCCAACGTCTGCCCTGGCCGTGTGCAAATTTTCGAGCCATTCGATTGGTTCCTTGGGTACATAATAGCTTTTTCGTACCTGCATTTAGAGGAATTTCGAGTCCGGAGAAAACGGGATTTTACTGATCGCACTTGCAAGATACACTCGTAAACCACAGTGTAATCCGGGTCAAGTCACTTGAAGATTTAAGATCAATAAGTCTGTTTAAATAAACACGGCTGTACATGGGATACATGGATGTGCCATGCGATATTGTAAATGAGACATGCGACCACAACCGCAAAGCAACGATAATCGGCTTAACAGGTCAAGAGATTTTCAGGCCTCAACTAAAAGTTTTGATAAAGAAATTACGGAAACCTTCGTTTACATGGGATTTTTTCCACTTTCAAAATTTCTGTTTGTTTCAAATTTGGTATCATTGTGCGCCTTGAAAGTTCGGCTACTTTAATGTGAAAAAATCGAAAAAATGATGTTTTCATCCAGAAAACGTTTACCGTAACCTTAAGACTAAGCGCTCATAATCTAGAAGTAGAAACTGGCCGTTTTGGAAAAAACCCTATCCCTAGAGAAGAACGACATTGCAGTTTCTGCTTAGCGACAGGTTTAAGGGTTTTAGGACACGAATTTCATTTACTTATGGTGTGTCCCGAATTCGCTGATAAAAGGTGCTATATCTTAAATAAACTCCAACGAACAGCCCCTAATTTAAAGCAGCTAACAAGTTGGAATCAGATTCATCTGGATATTAAGTCAAGAAGACTTAAAATGTCTGAATTTAGTTGCCACATTTCTATACAAATGCTTTTAAACAAGATTGAAAGAACAGTAGAACAATACTGATTCCCAATATGTTCAAACCCCGGATTCTAATTATTAGTTGATTATATAGATTTTTCGCTGTAAAATAGCTTTTTGATATTGCGTATATTGAATTTTTTCGTGCTTTCGTAATTAAAAAATTGTACTATTTAAAATTGAGTTGATATTAACGTTTGACAAGTTGTTGTAGAGGTAATTCTATTAACTTTTATTGTTATTTTTATATTGTAATTAGGTTAGAGGCCATCTTGGCCTAGATACCTTTTTAATATAAAAAAAATAAGGTTAAACTAAAGATTGAGCCTAAGGTTAAACTTAAGGTCAAATAAAAGGTTAAACTAGTAGTTAAATTTAAGGTTAAAGCGTAAGGTTACACTTAAGGTTAAATGAAAGGCCAAACAAAAGGTTAAAGAAAGGTTAAACTAAAGGCCAAACAAAAGGTTAAAGAAAGGTTAAACTAAAGGCTAAACTAAGGATTAAATGCAAGGTTAAAGTTAAACAAAAGGTTAAAGGCATCGAGTCATGATAAAATGTATTGGGTATACAGTGTCAAAATCTGCTGAGTCATGATTTCCATGACTGCGATGCTATTGGTTGACCTGAAACTGGTCACATGAACTCACCTCGTACTGATTGACAAAGCAATTTTCATCAATAGCAAGTTGTCAACAACGGATGCAAATATCACATGAAACAGCAGCGATCACGCCGAAACCAAATGACCCCCTATAGAGAAGGCCTATTTACCATGACTCAATGCCTTTAAACTAGTAGTTAAACTTTAAGGTTAAATGACAGGTCAAACGAAGGGTTAAATGCAACGTTAAATGCAGGGTTAAATAAAAAGTTAAATAAAAGGTTAAGATTAAACTAGTAGTTAAATTTTAAGGCTAAACAAAAGGTCAAACTAACGGTTAAACTTAAGGTTAAGCTTAAATTTAAACAAAAGGTTTAGAAAGGTTGGAAGATAGAATATACCAAAAGTATTCGTAAAGACATTCTGTTATATTTAACAGACTATAAGAATAACTACCTGTGAAATGATAACCATCTTATGTCATCAGATAAAATAATCCCTGACGTGTATAGCAGTTCTGCAAACCGGTTTACATCAATGCCTTCATCTTCATGTCGCCGAAATTGAATCCCAGAGTCAACAAGTAAGTCGATAGAATCTTGTGCATACATATCTTCCCTGCAAAAACAATTGTGTTCGACTTAGGAGAGCATGCATTATGGATAGAAATTAACTTGAGTATCAAGCATTTACAAGCCACTGACTCGTCATAAAAATGGATCCATTTTCTAATACTGAGCAACGTCTACTATGAATATAGGGTGCCTATGTAACAGAAAAATATGTCCAGCAAATATCTTGCATCGCTTTGTACATGACAATACCGCACTCATAGATAATCACCGTATGTAATTTACTTGACGCTGCAGAGCTGTGTATGTTAAAAGGCAGGTGCTTAACGGAAAGATGGTAGTAATGACTGACACTGGAATTTCGGACACTGGTCATCGTGACACAGTAATGACTGACACTGGACTTTGTTATTGTGGTAGGTGATAATGAATGATTGCAAACGATGATGAAAATATGAAAAATGATGATGTTTACAGCTGATCATCGTGATTTTGATGATAAAAGCAGCAATACAACTATGGCTGTTCCAGGATATCATTGATACTTATCACAACCATGACAGCTATGGGTAATCTATAATCACGAGCACTGCTTACGTTAGATTGAACTTGAAGTTAAACTGCCAGGTAGATCCTTCTGGGGGCTGCTCGCCATTTTCATCATAGAATGTCAAGCCTAGCTGGATGATTTTCAGGAGGTCAACATTACACCGCAACAGCTGATACTGGTAATCAGCACTGCTTTTGAATTCACCAATTGGTCTTGCAACCACCCCTGGAAACTCAGTGTCCTTTGGCAATACAGAGGGAGTAAAGAAGTTATGAAATAATCATTGGATAATTTTTTACAGTGCACACAAAACAGAAAGGAAGCTTGTACCTTAAGAGGCAGCTGCTCTCACAACTTCCGCCCAACATTTCTTATCTTTTTAAATTGCACCTATACAGAACCTATTCCAAGTTCCAATGTGTCAACATTAAAAACAATATATATATTAGCAGTAAAAAATATAAACATGGCTTTGAAAAATCCACACTTAAGCTGGCTGACGCTCTCAAGAGTTCAAAACGTCAGAACACTGATCGCGTTGACTGTTCAGATTTTCTGATTGACTAACTTCACTCTTGAAAAGTGATACAAGAGTAGAAGAAATACAAATAAAGAAATTGTATGAGTGTTGTGTTGAATCAAGCTCTCCCTCAACAGATTACTGCCTGAGTCGTTTTTGAGACAAAACCTGATGCACGTGAGTTTTTAAAGGGTCCTTGCTTGTAGCATGTAGAACTTATTTTGTTCCCATCCCAGAAAAATGTAAATCGTTTTTAGTTAAAGATCCCATGCAGACACCTAGATTCCAATCATATGATGTTGTTTTAGGATCTAATCTTGTCCAGGTCTCTTGGAAACAATGTTCCACAACTTGTTAATTGTTCGCCAAAGAGTCAACCCCCCTCTTATCTGCATTATTTATCAATATTTAGAGAAATTCAAACCCCTGTTTATTTTGATTCCCATTTACTATGCACTCAAGAGTAACGGAAAAAACTTGCAAAATAATGAAGACAAACAATTTAATTTCATGTTTCATTTGAGCTACCATGATAAATATCAAAATTAGTTTTTAATCATCACTCAGAAAAATAGAAATTATTGTTTGATTGATACTGCTCATGCATAATTTTCAGTGCATACTAAGGTAAACTTTTAGTCTGTCTGTTAATTTTTAAAATAACTTGAAAACATACATGGTCACAAAAGGTTAGTTATTTAAAAGGAATAGACCAAAAACTTACCATTGCAATATAATTATACTTTTTAACAATTTGTCTGACATTCTTAAACTCCTCCTCCAAGTTGGACTCCCATGTGTCACGTATCCCAGACTCTCCTATGCCAGAAGGCATTTTTGATAGAATTTTTCACATCCAAATACTATAACAGAAAACATGGGAACTTTAACTCATTTTAAAGTTGTTTTGATGCAATTAGATAAAAGAGAATATGTTATTCTAAGTCAACTTTTGTGGAACTCTGCATACTTTCTTAGGCATAAAGACAAACTCTGAAATCATATTACTGAAATACAGTTAGAAAATACTTTCACTGATGTATAGATGAAGAAGAAAGCTGAAACAGAAGTACCAAATAATAAAATGTAAAGACTATATGCAAGCAGGCACTCCTGGGAATAAATTAGCACAAGTGTGGCATTTGCACTCCTAACCTGTGCTAGGAGTGTGATGCAGTGCTTTGATATTTTGTCTCATTTCAACAAAAGTTCAGTTACATAGTGTATGGAGCCATAAAAAACCTCATTTCTTACATCATTTTTTCAGCTCTCCCACAACCTTAACAAAAGAATATGCATGGTTTTAACTAAAGCAAGGTAACCTGGAAGAAATATTGAAAGTAGTGTGTGCCAAGCTAGTAGCTTTCCTTTATTTTGTATCAGAAAGATGTGTCAGGTAGTTGATCATGTCATGATTTTTTTTGTATCTTTAGAAAAGTGTTTGAATAAAATTTGAAACTTATCAAGGTGTGTTAAGTTGAAAAAGGGCCTCTTTGATGACGATAACTCTTGTTAAGCCTTTGGCAAGCAGACCCAAAGTTCAGAGTTTATGGTGGACTTATTTTGTGCTGGGCAGTTCTCAGGGCATTGAACTTTTCAATACTTTGTCTTTGATAATTTAGCATTTGCTAATGAAATGTTTGGTCCAAAAAACTTTCCCTAAACAAAATGTAGAGCAGTTCAAGTTCTAACTATGCAAATCTTGTGAAAGCTCAAATTCTGCATTGCAGTATGTTGGGACAAAAGTTTTGTCTGCCAAATTCACTGAAAACTACTTATGTAACACAGAAACAACAAAAGATTCTGCAGTCACGTTTTTCAAATCAGATTTCCAATGAAAGAGTAGTAAAGGTGCTTGGAATAACTGAAAAGATATATGCCACCTCAAATCAGAGGGCAAAAGATGTGCTCGGCCTAGCGAGACTCGAAAGCTATTTTTACAATTTCTAATTTGGGTTACATAACCTGAAAATCTCTAAATGCGTGAAATGAGTTGATTTGTTGTAAACTGTCTGAGATATGGCAACTTGAACACAGGCTCTGTCCCCATCAAATCACTGTAATTCTGTCTCTGTTCTAAATTTGATGAGCCATGCCAAAATAGCACAAATATGTTGATTGGCCTTAGCTCTCCCAATTAGCAACATACCTAACTGATATTGCATATTTAGAGATAATTCACGGTGTTGTATTAAAGGGGCAGTGTCACAAGGGACATCCCCAGTGGCAACACGCCAGTTTGCGAAAGTTGTTTGGGTGAAACAACCTCCGTTCAATAGGAAAACCAATACAGAATAGAACAGTTTTTTGTATCTGTGCTCATTGTGCGAACTATTTAATTCTTTGGATGTTTTTTTGTAAAAAGGGAACAAATAATAAAAGGTTCTTTCTTCAGTCTTATCATAATATTTCTTTGGATAAAGGATGGCAATTACGAAAAACAAAGTCCACTTTACGGCTAGGATTCCGCAACTCGCAGTGAGCTGTTTATAAAAATTGGCCGAAATGACACCAAAAAACCTACCTTACTGATGAATAGTATAAGCGAAAAACATGACTAAAGTTTGTTGGACAATTTTTAAGCAATCATTTTATTGTAGAATGTTTAATTCCATCTGAATTCACCAAGACAAATGGAATATCTTCGCCATGATTGAATGAAGCTTCATTTCCTTAGCCTAGACCAAATTAACATACACTTAGCATTTCGATTGTTGGTACATATGCTGAAATATAGCAATTGTCCATTCCATGTTCTGTAAATTCGCTCAGAAAATACAATTTATCGAGCTTATCGATGCACCGGAGCACCATCCACCATTATCCCAATGTGCAAGTCAGGCTAAAAACCCACAATGTCCCGTGTATTTGGTTTGTTTACAAAACTGTGACTTTAAGAAAGGTGGTACAAAATAAAAAGTTTTTAAAATGTATTTTTATGGTGTCAGACTTAGAAAACTACTCACCAATTCTAAACTTTACGGAAGTTTTGAAAAGTTTCAAAAAGTCTTGAAACTAAACAAGGGAAATTTTTGAAACTAAACAAGAGAAAGTTTGAATTTAAACAAAAGAAAGTTTTGAATTTAAACAAGAGAAAGTTTTGAATTTAAACAAGAGAAAGTTTTGAATTTAAACAAGAGAAAGTTTTGAATTTAAACAAGGGAAAGTTTTGAATTTAAACAAGGGAAAGTTTTGAATTTAAACAAGGGAAAGTTTTGAATTTAAACAAGGGAAAGTTTGGAATCTAGGCAAAAGAAAATAAGACTTAATTAAGCAAGGCAATGCCAAAAACAATTTACTGAGCAAGTTGAAAGTGAAAATAATGGATGAAGGTCATTAATGCATATAAATCTAGTAATATTGAAACAAATTCTCATCCATTTTGGAAGGAATTCCAAGCAAATAGAAGGAAATTTCAGAAAACTGATTGAGCAAAAAGTAGAAGCACTGCAGTTTAAACATAGTAAAGATATAATTAATTCAAAGTCATTCTGTCACCCTATTAGTTCTCTGCACTTTGGTAGAAAACAAACATATAATTATAAAACAGGTGTGCGATAAAACACTTCCTAATGTGGGGAGGGACCAGTGTCTTCAGAATAAAATTCATATTACAGGCCTCTCCGTTTAAGGCGCGCGCGCGTGATCGCGCGCCTTGGCACGCTCCTGTCTTTGCCGAGACGCGCAATAAATCACGCGCCTGGTTTATAAGAACTCTTTAAATCGCGCTCCTTGTGTTTTGGTTTTGAACAATTATTATACAAAGAGCCTTGCGGATTCGAAATCGATTGATATCTAAATAAACGGTTGCTTCTTTTAATCCCTCTTTCGAGGAAATTGTCAAGTTAAAGCAAACACCTCTTGAATATATTTCCGGTCAATAACCAATAAACTGTCATTGCGATTCCTGATTGTTATAAGTTTTTTAAATGGCCAGTAATTCAAAGGGTCAAGCCATAGAGCTATCTACTTTTCGCAAGTATCGCAAGGACGAAGTTAGCGGACCAAAGACCGAAAAATGAAATGGGAAGACAATGATGGTTTCGATTTGGTGCAAAGTTTGCAAAGAACACAAAAGCGTTATTTTATCAAATCCTCTTTGTAAAGGAAGTGCCAGGAAAGCAATTGAATCGTACGTCAATGGAACGAATTTTGATTCTTCCACTTCTTCTGACTCCGATTCTTCATCGGAATTTGAGCTGGACATTGACGAACTGCAACAATAATGTGTTTTTTTTGCTTTAGTGTTCTTTAAGTAGTTTTTTTTAGATATTTCTAGATACAAAGTATTTACATGCCGTTTTTGCCTACTTTGACGTTAATATATATATTTGAGCACACGCCCGCTAAAATGCTCACGGAGAGGCCTGATATTAGGGGGGAGGGGGTGGGGCTGCCCAGTGTATTCCTTCTCAGAAATATGTAGCTTTGCTACAGCTACTGTACAAAACCTTGTGAAAATCTGGCAGAAATTCAGGAACTTGTTAAATGCCTTTTCGAAGCAAAACAACCCCAAATTACCATAAATTTTCTATTATAGAATGCTAAGCCTCACACACAGTTTGAATTGTTATCAAATTGGAGCCCTTTTTTAAAACTTTTACCATGGGTGGTAAACTTTATGCGATGACTACAAAATATTGCTGATGTATTCAAGTTTTACATCAGCGCAATTTTGCATTTTGGCTTTGCAAAATCTACACGTGATATAATTTGACATTACAAAAAACTTCAAATTTCTAAGTGTGCATGATTGCAAGCTTGACCTCAAATTTTCAAAGAAACTTGTCCATGCAAAAAAAGTTTCCATTGTGGCATTTGGTTGCATAAACAATTAAAGAAAAGCAAGGTACTGAGAAAATAGCCTTGTTGTATACATAATTGCATCTCTAAAGATGGAAGGTCATACCCAGCATGTGGGGCAAGCACCACCAGGGGCGGCTAGGAGCAGTATTACATTATTAGACAAATAACAAATATTTTCAGCAAAATCTTCTGGCCATACATCTTTAAAATGAAACTAGAACTGCAAAATCCTTGGCAAAAAAAGTTTATTCAGATAGCTACCAGATTTCTTGTCATTTTGCAATGATATGACATGATATGGCCATGTTAAAGTGAGCAGAAGCTGTTCTCTTGAAACTGACTTGATCATTTCAAGAAAAAGATCTCCCTTTTATTCTTGTCACAACACTGATTGTGATGTTTTCATCTGACAGCTGCTAACAAATATTACAGCCACAGCCCTGAAATATTGCTGTTAGGTTGCGAATTCTAATAGCAACTTTCTTATCCACCTTTGTTTGTTTATTCTCAAGCTCTTACGTTATTTTCATCAAAAATATAGATTTGCACTTCAATCAAGCAGAAAAAGCATGGTGCTTTGGTTTTGTATGTTAACGATGATTATTTATCAGAAATCTTTGTCCTTAGAAAAGAGTATTTCAATGTACTTACTTGCCGACATGATTTTGCTATTAAAAGAGGGCTATTAATAGCAACAAAAAGAGGCTTTAGCTATGGACAGAAGGCTTTTTCACTGTAAGCTTATGGTGTTTATCTGCATGCCGCAGGCCCCAAGCTTTTGAAGTCAAAGCCTACAGTTGAAATTGAAAGACTGAACGTGTAGGCATGACATTGGAACTGGATGTATTCCAACAAAGGTTGTTATAGTAAAAATTTGGAAGAAAAAGGCCTCTGACTTTTATTCAGAACCAAAAAAATTGTTGCAACTTTTCAATCTTTTAGGGCTTAGCATCAAAATTACTTTTCCAAATAACATTAAGATAAGTCTGACAATGGGTCATGTTACTCTGGAGATCAAATATACCTCTACCCAACCCCATTGATTTTTTGTTCTTCTCTTTATGACTATCCGATAGAGAGTGTTAAAAAGAAAATAAAGGCGTCTTCGATTTGCAGCCAAGGAAATCAAGATACTGCCATGAGGTAGAGCATAGAAAAACAGTGCAATGTTGAAGACAACCCTATTAAAGAGGTTGTGGTTGGAAGAGGGTGTGGTTGGAAAAATACAGCAACCATGCTTTTCTCTAGTAGCAGTGTAACATCTCTTCCAGCCGCCCTTGAGCGACATTAATGACAAAAGCTACCCTATACCAATCATGAATTTACGCTAATTGCATCATATTTTTGCAAGTGAGGAATCATTTTAGCTTACATTGGAAATATTCAGTGTGGATTAACGATTTTCCACTGTATTTCTTTTGTTTTTTGGCATATATATTCCAAGGGCTTCACATGAATTCCAGCCTGGAAACTTCCAATTTTGAAAAAAATTTAATTTGCAAATCTTATAGCTGCTTGCACGAAATCATGAACACTTAGAAATTTGTAGTATCAAAAATGTTAGAATCTTACAAGCCAACTGCGAATTTGCTCTATAATTGACCTCCCGCGCCAAAATCGAGGAATGCAAACTAGTAGGGCCTAAATAATTGTCTCGGATAAACTGTCTGGTGGACAATAGAGGAAGATTTATATTGCAAGGATTAGATATGCATATATATTCCTATTCTTTTTAAACGTCTCTCTAGTTGTTTAATCTCTGTTTCAAGTATAATTTTTCCTTTTCAAACTAAAATATAAGGGTGCTTCGGTTCGGTGCAAGAACTTAGGTTTTGGCCATGATTATCAAGGGAAGTTAAAAACAACTACAATTGGTAACGATAATAATCGATAATAAACGATTACGAAATGCTAGGGATTATGGATTTCCAAAAAAACACTCGATCTTACCAAGTTAAGCCTCTGGACTGAGTTTGATTCGAATCAACAGCAACATGGCCGCCATTGTAAGGAACGAGCATTGGAACGAGTCAAGAGTTTCCCCCAGTTCTCTTTTTTGCGCGAACAACGGTGATAATAATAATCATTTCCATCATGCTTGAAAAGCTGTGAGAGTAAGCAGAGTGACATAGCCTAATGTATTAGGAGTTAGGACGACTAGGCTCAAAGAGCAACAAATAAATTCAACGGAACACAGCAAGATTGCTGGCTGAGATTTTCAATTGCAATTTTACCCAATTGTAAAGATAACCATAAATTGGACAAATCATGAAATTAGCAACATTTTTAGACAAGTATAACCTGTTTTACTTTATATTTTGTCGGATGACCTCCAGGATTCTAGACAGTCGTCATTTGCACTGGAATTCACTGAAATAACTTTGCAACGAAATAACTTTGGATACAGGACGAAAAATTAAGGGAGCTCATTTTTGGTCTTAGAAGATTGTTTTTCTTGGAAATTTTTTTTTGAAAACCAGTTGTTTTCAATTGCATCAAGGTCTTGACTTTGACTTTTTAATATCAATCAATTAAAAGTTTTGGTCTTGCAGGTCGCTCGGTCGTTTGCTGAAATTGCAATCAAATCAAGTTTGGTTGATATTTGATCACCCGTCATTCTCGTTCTTGATATTTTTATGTTTTCGGCAATGAAACAAAAACTTTGATATTTCCATATATCACACAAGTTATAATTTTTCAAGAAAAAGGTGGGTCAAAGCTTATTGACAGACAGTTGAGCTACGAAACCTTCGTTGGGCATCAATGTACGTCATGGACGAAAAAAGGCATCAAACCCTAGCTCAAACATAACCATACGCCAGTGCGATTCTGTGCACCAAATTGGAAACTCGAAAAGCTACTTAATAATTCTCCAGCAAAAACTCGCACATGTTTTCGATCTCTGCCTCCTGCAGTTGTCTGATCAGGACCAAATTCTCCCTCTTATTGTTGCTCTAAACTCTTTTTTATCAGAACCAGTAAATTGAATTTCAGGCTGGCCGTTTTTAATATTATCACAAATATGAGGCTGAATTGTTCTAAATTTGTTCTTATATTTTTAGGGTGTAAGCAGTGCAACTGCTAGCAATCGCTTAAGGGAGGTGTTCTGGCCTCGTTTGCCAACAAAGTGAACGAGATATCCTTTATTTGCTGACTAGTTTGAACATTCACCGAAAAAGCACCCCTGGATTGCAAACAAAATTTGTTTGAGATGAAGCATTGTTCATAAAAAATTTTTGCAGCAGCTCGGCCTCAGCTTTTCTTAATTTGATCTTTACTTCTGACCATTTTTGAGGCTCGTGTTCTTATAAAATTGTTCTATTTTGTAACACAAAAGAGTATAGTTGTTAGCTGCTACTTCAATTCAATCGCATTGTACCAGGAGAGACACCCAGGGGGGGTTTGTATGCTTATATACACCAAGCTACATTTTTGGAACAGGCTGTGATTACGGACTACAAAAAAGTAAAATGCATGTGCTTCCACGGCATCGTGCCGAACTGTTTTTCTGCTAGCTCAAAAGGTAAAATCTTAGTTATTGTTTAAATCATACGATGAAATCGATTTCTCTTATGGATTAAGAGATATCATTTCAAGCCATTGGACCGGTGTTCAAAACACCTCTTTTGGTGTGCTCTAATGTCAGTTTTTGCACACTGACTTTCCTACTCCTGTGTTGCATTTTGTTATGGCAGACCTTTCGAAGAACTTATTTTGTAGCCTTTCAGAAAAGAATGATTTTGTAAGTCATATCTGCTCGGCCAAATGTCATCAATTGATTAATTTTCACAAATCTCTAATTTCAAAGCATCCTTTACTTTCGAAGATTCTATTAGATCGAATTTCTGATAATTTTGCAGAATGTTTGGTTTAGTATCAGAGAGGGAGGATTCCCAATACCACGCTAGCATACCTTAAGTGACTTTCTACATGTGCTAGATATGTATTAAGCAACTGGGATTGTGGTAAGATGATTTTCAGTCTTCTAATCGATACACTCCCTTTGAATGATTTGTACTGTTTATCCGAGCACAACCTATCGTCAATCGTAAGTTCTAGGTAGGCCTATTTCGTTTTTTCAACTTGGTTTTTCTAGTTCTATTCAAATAAATGGTGGTAGCTCTGGCAATTTGCTCTGCCTACGAGGATGGTAAATAACAATGAACTCGGTTTTCTCGTGGTGTATATTTAATCCTATTTATTCTGATCCACTCGGAGATGATTTCTATTCCAGCCTGGAAGTTTTCTATTACCTTTCCAAGCTCTTTCGGCGAGAGTGAAACTTCTGTGTCATTAAGGTACAATAAGGTACCTACTCTCCTCCACAGAGGCTATTGGGGAGGGAGATGAGGAATGAGAAATAGTTACTTTTATCCTATCCCTCCCCAATAGCCTTTGTGGAGGAGAGTGCTCAATATCCTCTATTCCATATACTTTTAGCTTCTCTTGTAAGTATCTATGGGTCTACTGTGTTGAACGCTTTCTTTAGATAAAGGAATATCGTGAAGTTTACATTGTTCAGCATTATTAGAGGAGCAAACGTACTTCCTCGCCCATTATTTTGCTCAACCATTATTTACTTTTCAGGCTTCTTCTATGGCTACACTTGCGCAGAGCAAAATGTCTCCAGAGGAAGGTTTGTCCCAAGAAACACCAATCGGATTGACAATTTATCAAAGAAAAAAGAAAATATCAACCCGTCCATGATTTGGACGATCTGGTACCGGCATCTTCGAAGTAGGCTCTGGATGATCTGGTACCGGCATCATGAAGATAAAAGACCATTGAAATACTAAGAAACAAGCATGATATTATCCAATTTAGTAACGATCATAATATATGTAACCTCTTTGAAAAATCGTTTAGTATCATAAAATGTTGCCTTACAAAGTTTTCATTGGTAACGTCCGAATTTCTCCGCATGTGTAGCAAAGAATCTTTAAAACAAACCCTGGTAGCTAATCGAACTGATACAGTCCCTTTCTTACTCTCAAACCGAATGCAGATAAAGGTACGTATGTATGAAAATGTCTAGCTCTGTGGGCCTTCTGATTGCACACAGTGCGCATTGGCAATGCAGAAAAATGATGCATAAATTACTGGTAGGCTCATACCTACGTGTGCAAAGATTATTATATTATCAAAATGTCTAGATCAAACAACCGAAATTGAGAAAATTTGCTGCTAATATCAAATTTGTACTGCTTTCTTTAGAACGTCTTAGTTCAAAAATTGAAGAAAAACGATGTAATATCATATCGAAAATTTTCTCATGTTTTCAAAACGAACCTCGGCCAAAACTATTTGCTCCTTAGAAAAAAGTGTGTATATGACTGGAAGGTAAGGGGATGTCAAAGGCACAATTTTTGTGTTTGCTGGTGAGCAAATCGTTAGTTGGTTAGTAAAATCGCATGACAGCAGATAAAACAGGAGCAGAATGGCTTGCAGCTGTATACACTCCAAGCTTTGAAGGTGCTATAATACACTTTAACAAGATGATAACTAAAATATATAAATAACTCACGGTCCTTTTCAACCTGACTTGAGGCGGAGAGGAACAGAGAGACGCGACTCGTGTCGACTCTAACCAAACTGCCACATGCTTCTACCAAAAGCCTAACTATAAAAACTTCTACAGCATATTGATACATATAGGCATATAAGGACATTATTAATCAATAACGACACCAATCAGCTAAAATCAAGTAAGAGCGAAAATCAATAGAAAGTTTCCTTTAAGCTAAATAGAAGAATCGTCAAAAATCAACAACTAAATGAGTGTCCCGGAGATAACGCCATTGTCAAATATTGTCAATAAGCCTTCGACATTTAAAGTCTTCTTCGACAAAGGTGATGGCACGCAAGTGGTATGATTGTTGTTTTTGGCATAATGAAGCTTAACGTTTAGGGGGGCTCAGCACGGCTCTTGCCTGAACATTGCTGTCTCATTGAGATTTTATTGCTCTGAGAATGGGCCTGAAACTCGATATCTTTTGCCTGATTGTGAGGGGGGGAGGGGGCTGCAGTCCTTACTTTCATTAGATTATAAGACATTTCTCAGCTTTAGTTTAATTCTTAGTTACGAAAAAGCCGAAATGTTACCCATCATGCTAAGCGTTTGTGAACACTGCTCTATTTTTTGCAAAAATGGACAGAAATATGTCAAAATTTTGTTCAAATTAATAAACATAACCCTTCAGGCGAAATATGCCAGTAAGGTGGCATAATAGGAAATCATTATAGTATTCTCTTGAGCGAATAAAACACTATACATAGCTTCTCCAGATTTATAAGAAAGGAAAAATATCACAAATACTCTGGAAATTACATTTCAAAGAATGAACATTCTAAATAAAAATCTTAGAAATGCCTGTCTTGAAAAATTGATTCTGATTTGGAATACCTGACCAAGAAAATTTCGAATCCTCGATATACCTTCCAGCCTCCTCTAAGGGGCTGATTCTAGGATGATTCAAGAATGGGAGCCACCAGACAGAAAGCTCATTTTCAAAGTTCCCAAGAAAAACATCATGCACATGCTTCATTTATTTACGTTTATCGTTTTCAGTTGAATATGTGATTTAACATGGATTAAAATCATGCATTTTAAAAATTTGTGTGTTAGGACGGAGGCTTATTTGAGGGTGGGGTCTAAAAATTTTATTTCCAGGGTGAAGCTAATCCATATGAGGGAGAGGCTTAAATTAAGAGCGGGCAATTTGAGGATTATATCATCTATAGATAGTCTTTGTCCCGTTTATATTCTCTTCTATGTCCGCTTAAACATGCTAAATGGCAATCCATCTATCCCCCACCTCAGGTAACAGTGGATCTGCTACAGGATCTGATATACCTGAATTAAACTAAGACTGCAATACCACGATTAAAAAATCACATGCTATATTCAATGGTTCCTTTACAACTGTTGCGCAGCAGTAAGATGCATTGAAACTTCCAAAAATGTTCAATTCTAAACATTTAAAGTTTAAGATTTTCTTCAAAGTTATATGGCTTTATCTTCACCACTATAAACAAACCGTCATTTGCAGAATATCGTTCGCTTTCCAAAGTGTCATTCGTTATGTTCATAAGTGGATAGAGTTGACCCTCCTGATTACCATCGGGTCGCTGGTAGCACCCAGGTATCTCACTATCTGATCCAAAGTCTGAGAAGTCAACGATCTTCTTGACATGCGCTGGATTGTCATTTGATGTCTGATCCAACAGTACGATTGAGAAATTCTGCTTTAGAGGCCATGGCAAGAATTGGTCATACAAACCAGGTATCATTCTGATGGAGATAATGGAGTCTTCAGCCCTTTTCAGCAAGGCCAAACAGAAACAGTAACCATGCGGACCAGTTGCAAATGGGGGGCTTCTCAATTCACCATGTTGAATAATTCCACTCACAGGAGTCAAATGCCATGTGAAGTAAAGATTTTTGTTTGCTTCAATTGGTCGATTCTGACAGCCAGATTCAATGTTATTGAGCTTCTCCCTGATTTTCACTACGGCTTCTTTTAAACTTTTCATCTCATAGAGTAACAAATTGTCGTGATTTTGTTTTTTTAGATGTTCTTGAATATCACCTCTCGATTCCTGGTGATTTAAACCAAAGTTCACTCGCTTGAACGAAATCAGTTTTATCTAATAAAAAATTCCCTAGTTATCGCTTGCATCTTGTAGCCTGAACCACTGTTTTATCTTTGGCTTATTAATAAAATATTGTTTGCTTTCATAAAGATGGCCAAATAAGATGGATATAGAAGTAAACCATACTACATTTACTACCAAAGGGCTTGAAACAGTGACATCAGCTTCTAATGTTCTCATTCAACCGTACCCCCACACCCTTTAAGCATTTTTGCTTGCTACAAACTAACCTGTGTTAATAGAGAACACGATTGTTCATGTGACTCGTATAACATCTACATAACTAGGGGTGCTTCTTAAATGAGGGAAAGTGAACAACCAACGTCTGCAGAATAATTCCATGAACAAAATTATACTACATTATGTGTTACGCTGAAAGAATCATGTGATTCCACATCAGAAAACTGAGTGCGTCTAATCCCAAAGTCTGCGACTAAGTCTGTGACTAAGTCTGCGACAAAATTTCCATCTGTATCTTCAGAAAGCACATTTGCTGTTTTCTACAAACCTGAAGGAAACTGATAGAATTTCTTAATTGTTTCAAGATATTCTTGCAGGCATTCTAGGTTAAATAGTCATAGAATCAAAAAACTTGTCATGAAGCTCAACTACCTTGCATTCGCATCCAAAGCAAGCCCAAGGACACTCTATGATCGTATTTTTGCAAAAATCTGCCATGTGTTTGCTTACCTGCAAGAAACGCAGAATCACGTTCAGATACCAAGCGTAGGAAGAAGAAGCTGATATGGTTTTTAGCAGAGACACCTTGAGTTTTACAATACAAATTACTGTATCTTTGATGGCCAGAAAACTACTTCAAGCACAAATACCACTTCCTTGCTAAACTGATAATTACAAAAAGATTTCAAATTATACTTGGGAAAAGCAGATGCTAGAAAGATATATATATATATTAATGGTGCAATTCGGATGTTTAAAATGACCTGAGCAAAGATTTCATCATAAAATGCAAATTTTTCCTTGGAAAAACAGTCCGATGCGTTACAAAGATCAGCCTAACTTAGAATCTCATTCACCACGAAGATCAAAAAGAATACACTGATTTCGACTGACGCTGGGGTGATAATTGCTTGCTGGATAGTCCTGATAGATATAAATATTACTGGAGTAAAAACATGGAGGAGCATCTATCTGCCAAGGCCCTTCTTTGAGGAAATTTAAACTAATAAAATATTGCATCAAAATATTGCCAGGAGCGTAGCAGTCAGTGGGAACCAGGGATAGATAAGAAACTGCTTCTGTATAATTGCTATTTACTACGATATGACACATTAAGCATTCTAATATCAAATGTCTAATATTATAAGTATTGATGATGGCAATGGTCATCCCATAATTAGCCCTTTAAAGTAACAGCCCAGAAATTGATATTCTCACATCCTATAGAAGTAAAAGTCTTGAAGTGTTCGCTGGAATAAACAATGCTCGAGGCTTGCACCGATACCAAGACTTACGCCATGAGCTTACGCTACTGCCTCAAGACTTACGACTTACGCTACTGCCTTACTTTACGGATGCATTTCCTAATTCTAAATCAAAAAGATTGGGGCAGTGGGAGTCAGTGGGTAAATTGGCAAAAAAAGGGCGCACTGGCAATTTTCGAAAATGGTTTTTCTTGAATATCTTTGTAGCGTCCTTAAAGTCAGGCAGTAGCGAAACAGAGGCTTGTGGAGCAAGTCTAACCGATACCTCGTATTTATGTCTCGTATCTCACACCAGAGAGCTAAAATTGAAAAGCAGCTGTAATGGGTAAAATAAATGGCTTAGATGCAGAATCTGAGACTGTTTGCTTCTAGATAAGCGTATTCAAGCCAAAGACAAGAAGGGAAGGATAAACAGATGCAAGACCGTTAGCCTTTTGTGGAAGACGATATTAGTTGATGATAACCCGTTCTTTTTCAGAAAAGATTGCTCCCTGAAGGTCACAAAATGTCACAAGAAATCTATTACATGGAAAATTTGGTAAACGTATAAATAAAATAAGAACTTTATTTACATAGAAACTTATTTACATAGACCATAGAAACTTACCAAAGCTCTCACCAATGTTGCACCACAGCCTTCAGGACACTCCACCTCAGTGAATGGACAAACTCCCGCATCATGCTCCTTAAAAACAACCAAGTAAAGGACGGCATAAAAACAAGAGCAAATTTTTTTAAAGTTTAATCTATAAGACAAATTGATAATTAATAAGCAAGATTGTCAAAGTAAAAAGGCATGAAAAGATCAATTTACAAAGGTTACTCAAAATTCTACTTTCGGTCAGCAAAAAAGACTCCTGTAATGTTTTCAAGATGAAAAAACAAGCTGACATGATAAGGCCCTCTTCACCTTTCTCTGACCAAAACATCTTCAGTTGAATAATTAGTCTAATACCAACTTTCAATTCAAATTCAAATAAAAGAAATTTCGTTGTTTATTGTCTTGTTGAGGCTTCCCAAAAATCTTTGCCCATTATACAACCCACAACAGAAGGTTCTGGCTTTTCCGTTTATTCCGATTCATCTTAAATTTGGCACCTAAAGTCCATCGCACACGGCAGATTTTGCCTTTGAAAGAGGAAGACTTTTTAGCCGCGTGCGGATCAAATGGCATCTTTGGATGACAGAATGAGTGGCAAATAAGCAACTAAGCTTTGATCAAACGACGAAATTTGTTGCAACTTGCCACCAAGTTACTTCCTATCTGTGTGGTACACAAACGTTAATATGTCGTGTGGGGATTGTTCAAAGACAAAACTTTCATCTTTCAGGGACAGAAATTTGTCGCTTGCGGATTTTCCGAAAAAAAATCTTTGTCTTGGATCTGCTGTGTTCGGTGGGCTTAATAGTACCTGCCTTGATTATCCTTAGTAAGATTCTCTTACCACGTCAGCAGAGCCAACGAACTGACGATCATACAGTCAGTGGCGGTGAGGAGGGCCAATAAAAAAGGAACTAAAGTACCATGCCAAAACCCCGCTTCATTTTCTTTGTTTTCTGACCTTGAGCTCCAGAGCTTATTGATATTCTTTGGAGGAAAGATCAACCCTTTTCTGAACTCTAAACTTCAGTTTCTATTGCAGGCAAAATCCTTGTCTGTTTGTAGATGAGCAGAAGCTTTTTACAAATTTAAAAGAATATTTTTTATTCAAGACAAATTTCAAAATTACCACGAGTTCGAATGAGTGCATTTTGGCATTACAATCCTCACACTGTACCATGCGCCATCTGCAAGAGCTTTCATGGACTTCCAACAAAGCTTTCGGGAGGATTTCACCACAACCCTCATTTGAGCACAAAACATCGACGTAAAGACAATCTGAGCTGTGTGGCTGTAAAAAAGAAAACTTTGCAACAAATAGGAGCAGAACTGTTGAATCCAAAAAAGGATAACATTTTAACCATAAATAGCAAAAAGATACAAAACTATAATATGCATTGTAAAAGTTCATTTTGGAACTGGTGTTGTTTTGATCAGTGGCGTAGGTTAACGTGCCCCTACCCGACCTAAATGCCGAAACCGATGCATGTAGAATTAACAAAGTAAATTGCTGCTAAACCACATTGTTCCTGTGAGCGCTTCCAACCAATCAGATAACTGATCTTGCCATTACGGGCAATTAGGCCAGAGTAGTGTCAGTTATCAGAGCCAGAGAACTTTTATTTCATCTTTACGTTCACTTTTTTATAGCCTTAGTATTATTAAATATTGTAAATTAGGTTTGATTGGTAAATTTCTTTTGTTACTAGTATTTTAACATAGTTATTAGCTCTTATTTTAATCTTTTAAACAGGTCAGGTTGAAAAACATATGTATGAACCTTTAACCTGTATAAATATCATAAAATGAAAAAAAAAGAGGCGTAGTAGCGTGGAACACGGCGGTGCGCTGAATGTCCAGGGACAGGTTCTCTCGAAAAAGATTGAATTTTAAGGCCGCTACTTTAGCACTAGAAATCTCCCTGGGAGGGGGCTATTATAGGGGGCCAAAAGCCAAAAGGCCATGTAAAATTCAGCCTAAAGCCGCAGTCCGCAAGCGCAAAAAAGTCAGCTTTTATCGAAAAACACAAGAGGCGTCTTCTGCGAAACTTTAATTTGCGGTAAAACCGGGACTCGGGAAATTTCCCGGTAGGTCCCTGAAAACCTTTCATGTGGGTCCCTTGGATGTTTTTCTTTAAGCTTTTATCATTTGTAACATTAGATTTGTGAGAAAAAACAAGTGAAATAAGGCCACATGCTGCCTCCGCGACATTCATTTTCTTGATTTTTCCCAGCCCATAAAAATTTCCACCATGCCCTTGTTGGTTTCTAAGGATTTGTTTAATAGGGTTTTCTTTCGGAATTCGGGTAAAATCTTTAGGTTACACTTTTTTTAAATAAGAAAAAGTTTGGGTCGCAATCTTAGTCTTTGGTTGGTGTATTGCCATCAAGTTTAGTCGGAGTATTCAAAATGCTTAAACCTTTGTTTCTGTGAGATACAAATAGCTCACAATGAAGGAAGAGTTTTTGTGCATAAAAAGTTTTTATCGAAAATAAAAGAACAATCAAGATACATGTTATTTCTGCATTGTAGCAATCAGTGTGATAAAGCGAAATCTGTCATCAAGTGAACTTTCAAAGAACATATCTAAAATATAACTATAGTTCGAGTTATGCAATGCTGGGACTGGGGGGAAAAAGCATCATTCAGTATACAACTACTCAATGTAATTTGACCTGATATTGTGACAGCTCTTCTTTCCACTGGCATCCCCAATTCTTTCTCTCGCAAAATATTTTCAAATTTTGAATTTTTCTTTTAGTGTTGTTATCAGGAAACATCTAGAAATTATAAAATTAGAACGCAATTCATATAAACCTTAAGATAAATCAACGCACTACGTAGCAAAATATCTAAGTATCAAATACTTTAGTACCATGGGTAATAAAAAGTAATGTAATCAGTATTCGGTGGCATATTTTTCAATAGTGGAAGAACCATAACTACTTTTATCACTCTCCTTTATTTCCCTTTTCTTTTATTCCAGTCTTTTTCTCACTTTTTTTATTTTCAATTACCTCATATTTCCTTCATTCTCATTTGATTTCCTTGTTTTCTTCTCCGATCTTTCTTCTTCTGATTTTTTCTTCCTTTCCTGTATTCCTTATTTCTGGACAACTGAGCTTCCTTTGAAGATGCTTCACATGTCAACATACCTCTTTACACCTCAACAACAAGGAAACTAACTCAACATGAAACACCAGCGATGTCCTATAAATTTCCCAACAGTCTAGCTCCTGAATACCTAAGCAGTTGCTTTTCCAAACTGTCAGATTAAAATGTTCAATTTGCAACTTTGACACTGACTGACGTCTAAAGCATGAGTCTACTGTTCTGAACATTGTCAGCTGAGAACGATTGGATTGTCAATTGACATAATATTTCTAATCTACTCTATAAAAAACTATCTGGTTTGAGTCTTGAACAACAACCTAATCAAACAAAGACCTTGGAGATAACGAGCATCAACACTGCGACAGAGAGCTGGAATCTAAATACCCCTGATAGGAAAATTCAATGGACAAAAGTATTTCACTTATTGCAGAGGCAAAGGTTGAAATAATCTTGATTCAGAAAGTTTCAAATCAAGACTAAAAACCTATGAAAGTCTCTAGCGTGAAAAATTCTGTGCTGTTGTCTTTTTCTGCCTTTACTTGGCATTAGGATGTATTTATTTATATATAATCAAATTAAGATTACATTATAAGCAGGTTTTAGATTTTTTTTCTCAAGACCAACTGTAAAACAAAACTTAATTAAAACCCTGTATCAATAGATTTAAAATGACAATGAAATCACCTTTTGTTACCAGTAGGAAATAGCTATTACCCACTCTGCCTAGCAAAAGAAAATAAAGCTTCAAGACTAATGGTTTCAAAACTTTAGTAACATACCATGCTTATAGCTTGTCTGTCAATTGGACAGGATGATTTAACACCAAAAGTCCTATAAACAACATACAAATCTATTAGAACCTTAATCAGATAATCAAATCAAAGTGGAATTCAAATCTGTATCATATTATAGATACTTACCAAAAGGGAAAAAGAGCCACAAGAGAATCATTCATGGAAAGGGATACAAAGATGTACACATTGATCAATTTGTTACTCAAATCACTTTTCAGACTGATAATAATGCAAGTATGTATGCAAGTCTTTTCATCTATCAGTCTTTTCCTCCCTAGTTATTTCATGATAAAAATTCTATAGCATAACCCACCACAATACAACCCCCACTCCCCACTCCCCACTCCCCACTCCCCACTCCCCACTCCCCACTCCCCACCCCCACCACCCACTCCTCACCCCCACCCCCCTACTCCTCCACCCTTTCACCACACAATCCATCCCTGTGCATTATTTTAATACAGATTGCAAATTTTGGCTGATTTTTGCATGGTTTTGCGCCTTTTAGACCCCCATAATAGGCCCTTTCAAATGGCAAACCACCTATGTTTCCCTGATTTTCTCAACTACATCTGTTATTTTACAACTCCTCTAAATGCCATTAATGTTCATTCTGTGCCTTATTGTTCCCTTAAAACTAATGAAACGTACATATCTCTGCATGTCTCACCAAATCTATTTAATTTGTTTCACTAAGCCCCATAGATCAGCTTTAGTTTCTTTGATGTTTGATCTTTGATGTCAGCTTTAAAAATTCTCTGAGAGAGACGTCTGACCTACTGACAGGGGGCTGAAACATTTTTTTTATCACATGCTTAAAAATAAGTTTGATTTTTGACCTTTTGATAAAAGGGGAAGACCAACATCCTCAAATACACCGACTGCCAAGGGATGTACTAGCCAACAGGGTCTCATTTTTAACTGAAAATTCTGAGATAGGATTATATACTTTGTCCCTTTTTCTCACACAATTATGCCAATTGAAAATATCATAATTTCAGAGAGTTATTCTAAGACAGGTATCATGTTGTCAGGATTTTATTCCAGGACAGGGTCAAATAATTTTCAGGCAGGTATTTTCCCTCCCATCATTTTTCTCATAGGTACAATCCCCAGGGCTTAAATAGGGAGGGCAGGTTCATTTTCAGGGCTTCTTTTCTTTTCTTGAGCTTATCTACCATTTCAAAAACTCTAATCTAGCAAATCTATAATAGGCTGTGGAAAGAGCCAGATTTGAAAGTGCACACCAAAACTTTTATTTACACACTAGATTAAATAACTTATGAAACTCTTGATAACTCTTTGCCTGCATGAGATGCCATATATGTACATGGCTTGGCTGTAGCATTATTAGCCGTCTATGGTAGCATAAAGGTGTTATGAAAAAAAATCATATTCAATTAGGCATCGCGCACCAGCCTGAAAGGGGGGGAGCTGAAAAGGGCGTGAACAAAAATTCCTTTAAGGTAAAGTCTTTTAGAACGCCAGAAAATACTTTCCAATAAAAAAATATGTCATGAAACACGATAAAACATCAAGAAAATGAACAAAAAAGGGTTCCCAGAACTGCTTCTTCATCATAGGATTTGTTGGAGTAAACTTTTTAAAGTTGCGTTTGATTGGGTAAACTTTCCAAAAATGTTCTAACCTATTTTGCAAAAATAGGGGAGGGGGGTATGCCCAATGGCTGCACGGCGCGGTGCCTGTTTGGAATAAACATTACCTGAGCAGTTGTCCAAGACAGGACCTACAGCAACAATGGCCACACGGCACAAGTTGATAGGGTTCTTTCATAACCTCTAAGCAAATGCAGCATTTATATTCTTCATGCACATCACCAACAAAGTCATATGCAAAGCCCCCAATGGGTTCATTATCATCTATGCTGTCGATCAAAGCTTGCGCCAAAGGCGACAAACTATCCATCTTTTCGTCCTCGAAGCCAGTTCTTGCCAGGTCGCTCAATCATTGAGGTCGCTCTCCTTCATTCATCCAACTTTCTAGGAAGTACCTCGTTTACAGGATTCGTTTCCAAGCCTCTCGCATGACACGGAGGCGCAATAACTCGGAGGACCAGCTAGGTGTTAATTTGGAAAAATATATAGGGGTGGACGGGCTGGAATAAACAGGAAGCGGATCATGGGCAAGTAAAAATCTAAAAAAATGGCCTTTATTAAATGGGTGGGGAGGGAGAGTTGAGTCTACCTTTTCTTATCTGTGAAGAAATTATAGTGGCAAGAAGGCAACAGCTGTCGTCCGCAAAGTAGAAAATGAAAACTTGACGTAAATGCGTAAAGGCTTTTGCACATTCCTTTACAACGTTTTCGATCCGTTCGGTGCGATCTTTGGCTTTAGGCTGATAAGTAATAAATGGAATTCCAAGTCTTCGCGAATTTGGTATGCCCAATGTTTTTTGGTCTCTTGCATTATCTCTCAGGGGCGAAGCCAATCAATTTATATCAGTGTATTCAACGCTCAGATGGGCTATAAGTTTTATTTCATCCTTGATGTTTAGATGCTTGGAGTTACTTTTCTTTTGCCTTTTTCCTTGGGGACCTTTCCTTGAGGTATTCTGCCAAGGCAATTCTCACTGGGGTTTCTTTATTCGTTTTTTCCATTTTTTTTGTTTTGGTAGAAGCCCACAATTCGCTGTTATGTAGAAAGATGCTCTGAACATATGATTTGACGATATTCCTTTCTTAACTGAATTCCACCTGATAATATATATACACACAGCCTTGCTGTCAACAGACATTTTTAACCTCTTTGTATGAAGCAGTCGACTGTGGTTCTTGTTTTCCGCTGAATCATGTGTAGCTCATCTATTAGTCTTTTAAAAACAAACATTTTCAGTGCAAGTAATGTTTTTTGATACTGGTAACGTGTTACATGACGTCATGATATCAGCAATATTTTTAGTGGCGGAATGGCCGAGGATTTTTTAGCCGGTCACAAAGAACTGAAGGCTGTCTGGTGGGTGTGGTCTGAAAATAGGGCCTTGTTGAATGTATGGATTATACTGTATGAATTCCTGAAATAAAACCTAGCTTTTTATTAAGTATCATTGTAGCACCTCTGTGACTAACTGCGTGAAAACGATATTCAGGGGCATCATTATTAACTGGGGGAGATTCAGCCCCCCAAATATGAAAAAGCTATTTCACAGGACAAATCTGCAATGAAATAGTATGGTCTCGCCTCGCAGGGCAATTCATGTGCTTAATTTAATATCTAAACTGTTCTTTTTAATGTTATCTTGCAATCAAAACATGGCGAAGGTAGATATTTTCCATTATTTGTGGAGCAGCGCTAAGATGAGATCGTCGGCACACTGGGCTGGGCCAGCGGAATCTTAATGAAAGTGGTGGGTGGGGGATGGAAGAAAGTTTAGTTTAACTAAAGGTTTAGTGAAGGCCTCCACCATTGTTGGTGGCTGGAAAATTATTTTTTAGACTATGACAATCTAGGGATGGCCAGAAAATCCCTCGAGTTGTTTACAGTATCGATTTAGACGAAAGAATTACCCTATACAGTACTGATAAGCATCCTTTTATAACAATGCCAAATGAAAAAAATTAGAAGATAATGGAATGTGGTTTTGAAAATTTTCTCTGTGATAACAACACAAAGCAGATTCTACTAAAAATGTCATTAGCTTTAAAAACTATTTTAGGTATGTAACTATAGGAAATCAATGTTGAAATAAGATCAAAATTAAGAACGTGAGTGCAACAAAACATCAGTTTAAAGACAACAGGATTTTTTTGAAAATAATTAGTTCTTAAAAAGATGAGTGTAGTGCATCAACTTTTAAAAGGGAGGCCAGGCAGAGTTAAATTATAGCGACCGGCTGTGGAATCAGATAATCTATATTCAAACTTGGGCCACCAGAACATAGATTTAGACCCATTTCTAAATGCAATTATTAAAAAACCTGTCAATAAAAAATAACAACTAGACCGGCCTAGACTAACCAAGTAAGAAAAGAAGACATGGTCTATATGTATATTTCAAACGATGTGTGCAATTGCATTTAAGTCGACCAGGTTTATCATTCTTCTCCTTTGGCTCAATCACAACCAATGAGGATTGAGACGGAGCCCCTTCAAATTTTTTTGAAAATTTTAACAATTGATGCTGCGTACCCCTAAGCCCCCTCTCCACCACTACATCCCTTTGGGCCCTATGTAACCAGAATAACATTGGCACGTAAAATCATGACAAACGTGATTCTTGTCAGAACGCAGAACAGTTCCAATTTGCTTAAGATGAAATTGAGATATTATGACATCCAGGGCCTTCGGAAAGCCAGGAGTGATTCACACAACTCACAATTCCTCCCCCCCTCCACCCTCAAGGGAAAATTATCTGTGATCACGCCCTTCAGTCTCTCTTAGAACTAAGGAAACGCCCTATTTAGGCAGATTAATTGAAAAGGCCGTTAACGAATCAAGGACGTTGACATCGTTTTTCTCTCTGACAAACTTACAGACAGAAATTCCAGCCTAAGGATAGCTATAATCGGGAGTTTTAAAACATATTCCCACGAAAAATTCGCCTTTGGTCCATCCGCCAAAATTAATCCTTATGTATGTTGGCAAGAATTCGAACCCTGGATATGTGATGAAGTAATGCATTATCCCTTACAAATATTCAGTATTTTTTAGAAAGTCATCATCTTTAGGAAATCCACTTTCTAGCGGAAACTGTGGAAAAATTGACGATTGAGAAGTTTTAAGAGATTTAAGAGACAAACTCGCTGGAATTTATCAGTTTGAACTCGAATGTTCTCAGTTATAAATCAGACAATGATAAAACAGATTTACATTTTGAAATTCACTTACTTCATTGGTGTCTAGTCTATTAGAAATAAAATTTCATAACAGATTCATAAACTTTTTTCCTGAAAGCGAGAGGTTCTGTTTGAAATCGGGAGAACGGGAAAAGTAAGCTTAGATCGGGAGACTCCCGCCCAAATCGGGAGAGTTGGAACCTTTGTAGGGGAGTCGATTCAAGGGTCTTACCAAATGGCTACCAATTGGGGGTATTTCAAGAAGTTGCACGGGCCCCTTCTTTGCTCCCTTTCGACCTCACGCCCTTTCAAACAGATCAGTGCTTTCGAAAAGTGGTGAGCAACAACAACAAAGCAACACCAACAACAGTAATGATAGAACACATTGCTCTCAACGTAGATACAAGAAGTGGTCATCTTTACAATCTAATGAAATGTAAGAATTAGATGCTTAAAAAATTTTTATATCGATTGAAATTGATTTTTTCCCTTTAATTCGTGATTGATACAAAATCCTGTGCTGAGTGTGTGATCTAATATAATATCTTAATATGTTTTTCTACAATATGTAATCTTTTTATTGTTTATTAATGATTGTATCTTAACAACTAGCATGACGTATCATGTAATTTATTGATTTATTGCTGAAAAAAAGTTTTGATTTGATTTGATTTGATTTGAGAAGATCAGCTAATTCCTTTTCATGAAAAACAATTTATTTGGCATAATTACATTACAGTCATTTTATTATTATATTGAGGTAGGGTAAACAGGGGAGGGGGTTATTTGGACAGTTTATCAGTTTTGGCCTACTTTAGCTTAATACACTTACGTTCAAAAAGTATTGGGACAAACTTCGAAAATTTGATGACATTTAATGCAACAAATTTGGAAAGGCTTTTTTGAAATCTTTCTCATTAAAAAAGTATGGCAGCACTTTCCATGAAATTTTCACATGACATTGTTGATGTTTCGAAGCCTTTTATGTACACCAAACAATTAAAAAAACGTCGACCATAAAGTTTCTATAGGCCTTGAGACGTAAACATGAGAGTTCTTGAAAATCAAGAACTGAGTGAAGAGAAGCACTTACAAATTGCTTTCTTCTAAAACAGCGCTAATGGATTCCATGAAATTGTATCAATTATAGGCTGCTCAATGAATGCATCTTTTTTGATGTTTAAAAAGTTTTTCCGTACAAGAAGAGTAAAAAATTTGCAAAGGGTTGGCAGACCGAGGAAGTTTATGACACCAAGGGACGAAAGGTCATTTCTGAGGGAACTGCGAAGTGATAAGTTTCAATCCTTACAAGAAATTATGTCGTCATGTAAAATGAAGCTAAATCTTGGAACATTAGCAAGAACACAACTATAAAAACATAAGAAATATAAATTTTCCAGCTTTTGAAGAAGAAAATGCCCTATTAAAGCAAAAATTAATCATCTCCAACGAGTATAAAATGGCTTTTCTTTGAATGTTAAGCAGTTTTAAAGTAGCTTGAGTAAATGCAGTAATTCAATAAAATTGTAGCATTTACGTTGATGTAATAAACTTTATTTGAAACTTGGAAGTTTGATCTTGTAATTTTTTTAATAAATTTCTTTGTTTTGCAAATGTGAAATCAAAAAGTTGAATTTGTTTGGACATCTCTAAAATTTTGTGAAGGTCATGTGACTTTGCCGCTACTTGGCCATACAACCGTTCTGCATATTTTGCTGTTATGAACAGGAAAATCGTAAAAATCCTATGTTTTCATGGTTATGCTTCAAAAGTGGAAGCCTTCTTTTTACTTTTAATTCCATTTTGGGGATATGTATGTCTAGATTATTTGGAGAAAGACTGCCAAAATCTGAAAAAGTTTCCATGGCAAAACCGAATCCAACACAACGCCATAATTCATTTATCAAATTTGTCCCAATACTTTTTGAACGCAACAGTAGTTTGATTTTTAGTCAAAGATACTAGAAACTTAATGAACAATGCTCATAGAATTTTCTGGACATATGTAGAGGCACATACTCAAGCTTGCACCCCTCTCCTCTCCTCACAAGTCCCAGTTGTTTGAAAATATCAAATTTTAGATTCCTTATCACCAACTTGCCTTGAAGATATGTGATTTGAGCAAAAATGTACACATTCTCTGTGCACAATCACATCTCTGGAATATGCCTGTGAAGTGAAGAACACAAAAACATAATTTGTGGTATTTGCCAAAACAGGTGTGACCAAACTTCCACTCCTTTCTGGTAGTTCCTGCTTTTAGTGACTAGAGGGCTTCAATCGCTCCACCAGATTTTTCGTAACGCTATGTATGACAATGAATAAGATAAAAGGAGATACAGATAAGTTTCCAATTTAGCATTTTCTGTGCTTAAAGATATTTAAGGTTACACTGAACATATATATGCAGGCCTTTCAGTTTAAAGGGAACATGCCTTAGCATGCACCTAGGCAAGCCTAGATGCGCATTTTGTCACAGATCTGCTTTTCAAAAAGTAGTGATGTTGCACACTTTGGACATTTGCAAAGATTATTTTTTGATTAGAAACTGTCTTGTTGCCCTGGGGAATTATCTTTAAGTTCAGCAAGACACAATATTTATGTAAGAACTGAATTTTTTCAGAGATTAGAGTCTTCAATCTTCAATCATTAACTCCTAAAGGCTTTACAACCAATCTGGAGTATTTACTCAAAGAGCATTAAAAAAAAAGGGAAAATTAACTCAGGAGTAGGATTAGTACCATTTCCACCCAGCGCTCCAGTTTGTTGATTTCTACAAAATGTTGTAATTTCTACAAAGAGTAATCAAAAGTATAATCATAATTGCATGTTATTGTGTATTATGTTATTTTTAGGACTGAATTTTGGAAGTCAAACCCAAGAAAACAATGCGAGTTTTGCAAATGTTGGATTGCTGACAATAAACCAGTGAGTATCTTTTTATTCAATCTCACTTATATTCTTGGTTTTTTGCCTACTTCCTATGGAAAAATGTCAAAATTAGGCTTTACTGAAAGTTGTTTCTGTACTGGGAGTACCAGACTGTTGTGCCCAGGTCACACATTTTCTGGGTTTCTATTATCAATATGGAGAAAGCCTCTGTATTTTCTTGGTTCTATTATCAATATATTGTCAAGATGGAACAGATTAGGTGCATTGACACGCTGTCTTTCCTCTATACCTAATCTTTATGGTCACTTTACAATCAGATATCTGGTAGCCCTATTTTTTAGGCTAAGTGTTCATGTTGGTCAGATTATATTTTGATTTTAGTCTGCCAGTTGAATCTTTTGGAAAAACATATCTAATTCAAAGCGCATTCTAATTCTGCAAGAAGGTGAAACCTTTCTTTAGCAAAAACGAAGAATGTCCAACCACCAAGAAGTGGATGCTTCTCTCATTCAGTTTTGTCCATGTTGGCCAGGTTATATAGAAGTCATGTTTTTAACAATGAGATACCCTTTTTTCAAATAATTCAGTATGTTTAAGTAGAGCCTTAGCATGTATAAACAGATCCGAAGAGGCTGTTCCTACCTCCAGGATCAAGGTCCAGATTTTTTTAAAAAACTTTAGGTTGAAATTATGGCCTTAGATATCACTACATTTGTCTGCTAGGTTCTAATCTCAGGCTGCCGACAGGGAGAAATTTGAAATTTTTTGTGTTAATGACATAAATTAAAAATGGATACCTTAAATGTATTATTATGTGTTTTTTAACTTGCAGAGTATAGAATTTCACGAAAAAGGCAAAAACCACCAGGAAAATGTCAAGAGAAGATTGGCAGAGGTCAGTAGTGGCTCAAAAATGTATTCCATGTGTTAGTCTATAGCATAAAATTTTTGAATTGCACATGAAGTAACATCAGACCTGGTTCATATATAGTTCATTGAAATCAAGAAATTCAATTTTCATGTCTGAGTGCATTATTGAGTGAGGCCCTTACAAGAGTAAAATTGCATAGCATTTAAGCACAATTTGACTTATAATAATCAGTTGTGCCTCATTGCATTGGTGGTGATTAATGCCCCTGTGAAACTGCCAAACGGCCTCAATGTATTAGATCTCTTTTTTAATACAACCACTCAAAACCTCTTTGTGTTGGAGAGCTCTGTGTGACGTTTAGTATTTTGTGCTGCCTATCCATAGGTATCTACCTGTGCAGTAAATGTATTAAATCTTGTTTTCTAATACACTGGAACTACAGCTCTGAGAAAGCGGTACCACATTTCATCAAGAAGTGAGTCACTGAAGCTGTTCTCCTTGGAGGAAAAAGCAAGTGGCTGCACTCTTTTAAAGTTATCTTTGGTTTCAGAAATGGTGCATTTTGTTGCATCATTTGAAATTTTTGTTTCTAATAAACACAAAGTTGTTCCTGTTAAGTTAATTCTAATCTTCCTCTTTTTTTGACTTTTATTATGCTGCAGATGATTCAATGCAAATGGCCAAAATGAGTCATATATGAATTATGAAACCTTTTCTGTATTGGTTATCATGGCGCCAGCTCAACCCTAACGACAAGGAACTAGCCCACAGGCCATTAGTGTAAGGATAGTGCATAAAAGAATCCATTTTGCGTGTGATCTTGATGAAATTCGGAAGAGAGAAGTGGAGAGGCAGAACCACATTTTTAGGAAAATGAAAGGAATCATCTTTACCTGCAAGATTTAAGATGTTGCACAAAATGGAAAGAATTTTTATGTTTTTGCAGATTGAGCAAAAAAATATAGAGAAAGCCCTCTGCCCAGAAACAATTTAAAGAAAACGCAAAGGCGCAATTTAAGGGATATAATCCTATTGTTTCGATATCTTTTATGATCAGATAGATAGAAAAAATCATAAGGTGTGCATTTTGCGCAGTGCTTACAGTGACTTTTGTTTTTCCGCATTGTTTTTCTCGTATTACATTCTAACTTAACATTTATTTGGGTGCCTGCCGCCACTGACAGAGGTAGTCATGCTTATCATTGTTTTGTTGTCACTTAAAACAATTTTTCAATGTAGGTGTAGAACTTAATGTTTGTTAGGAAACCTTCTTTGAAGCTGTGCTAACCATTTTCTGGTACAGCCAGAACAAAAATTTGCAAAATTGTATTGCTGATGATATTGTTTGTCAACTCATTTCATAGCCCCAAATAATAGTAAGCAGTATGCTAATTACCAGAAATGGGAATTCTTGACATAGCATTCTATTACAGAAACTGTGTCACTTTGTTGGTTAGTTACTTTCAGGATCCCCCGCCACTGCTTTTGTACTCATTCTTTGTACACAAAACTCAGATCACACATAATATGAGACAATTTAAAGGACACATATTATTCTTTATCATTTATTATTTGGCAGGTTAAAAAGAAAGCTGTTGAGAAAAGAAAACAAGATGAACTGTTTAGTAAAGAATTTGCTGCCATGGAAGCGGTAAAGGGAAAATTTAGTTTTTATTATTGTCAAATGTAGATGAAAAATGTTAGAATGGTGTATATCAAACCTGGTTGGCAACTGAATATGGACAGCACATGAGTAGAACTAAATTACAACAAGGGAAAAAAGGATCAAAGCTATCAAAAGTATCCTCAAATGTGACAATTTCACCACAGATATAAGGAGTATTCTCAGAAGACTGGATATTTCTGTCTTAATAAATATGGTTTTATTTATTTGCTCTGACAGGCTGCTTTAAAGGCAGTGCAAAAGGATCTTCAAAGTAATCCAAATATTGTTGGTGCAAATGATCTTGAAGTCCTTGTGAAGGGTATGTATATCATCTATTGATTAAACAAAATCATTATTTCTTTTGTTTGGTGGAAGTTAGCAAATAAACCATCAAAGATATCTCTCTCAACAAGGCCTACCATTAGGTTTGAATAGAACAGTGCTTAAAGGTAATGTGTCCATATAAAAGGACTGCGTATACCCAACTTGTCAAGCCACCCATCAAAATAACAGTTTGCGATTGGTTAGTATTCTTGCGATGCAAAACTGCTCACATGAACAGCTAACCTTGCAGCAGGATAAATAAACAGAACGACCGTAATGACTGGGGCGATAAAATGAAAAATCACATGTTTCTAAAAACCCCCGCAGAGTCGCTTGCTAAAGCTGGACACATTACCTTTAAATTAGAACAATTGAACAGGAAAACTGAAGTTGGGTTAGCATAAGCTTTTATGCAAACCTGGTCTATCACAATTTTATAAAATCAATTAACAGTTTATTAAAAGTTGACTGGCTGTTCCAATCTCTTTACCTAAACATCTTCTAGACACAGCAAGAACTTCTGAAAAAAAGGCATCAGATGTAGACACCTCACAAACTTGGATAGTTTGCCAGGCACCCCAAGGGCATACTTATTACTACAATAAAATAACTGGAGGTTTGTATTTAAATCTATTTATTTATCCTTTTTTACTTGTCATCCCTTATTTTTACAAAGCTAGTAAATTTTAGCAAGAATTGTTTGGTACAAAAGTGAGCACAGCTCAGTACCTGTTCAAATTGAATGCGTTCAAGTTTTAGCCTAACTGTGCAAAGTATTTTTTGATTCATTTCAAATGCTGCTACAAGTGCATTACATTAGAATGATTTATTTATGAAGTTAAAAACCAGGCATGCTTTTTTGAGAACAAAGAGAAAAGAACACAATTTTCTTTTAATTGTTTTTAGAATCACAATGGGAAAAGCCAGATGAACTGGATAACAATGAAAAGTCTTTTGAGTAAGTTTTTGTTAGCTTTGATAATATGAGAATTAACCAGCTTTAATATGCTAAAGGTTCACCTTCTTGGTAGCTGGGGTTTGTTTGGGGGCAAGTATATGCTCATCTTATGCAATTAGATTGCAGCAATGGACTTGCAAGTGCTGTAAGCTTGGGGGTTTAAAAAATAATATCAATATAGACCATTAATCAGATGTTGCAAGACCACTGCATGCTGAAGAATTTTTTTGCATGCTAAAGAATTTTTTTGCACGTTACCAACCCAACCAATTTCTTAGTAATTAAGGTTTTTTTATTTGCAAATGAACCTTTCTATCCTATGGGGTTGTTTGTATCTTTGTGTTGTACAACTGGCACAGCAACATCTCAAAAATATGATTAGATATTTTTGACTAAAAATGGTTAGATATTTTTGACTAAAAATGGTTAGATATTTTTGACTAAAAATGGTTAGATATTTTTGACTAAAAATAGTTAGATATTTTTAGGGTCATTTTAGAACTCTGCTTACCCCCTTTGTGGTGTTGTTTTCCTGGAATAAATATAAGTAGTCTCTTAGAATTCTGCTTCAATAACTGCCGAACAATTTAGTTTATAGAATGTGTTGCTTCTGTTGAAATTGTTTACTCATATAATAGGAAATGATTTATCTTATATCTTAACTTGGCATATGTATTTCAAGAGAACAACAAGGTTCATCGACAAAGGATGCAACTCTGGCAAAAGTAAGTTTTATTTTTCTTATTCAACATATTAATATGTCATGTTAATATTCTTGAAAAAGGTAAGGACTGCTATTTAGGCTTGTACCAAACAGATGGATAAGGATCTATTCATTGTTTGATTGGTTACACAAAATGCTATTGTGTGTCAGATTTGTGGCACTTGAAGTATATAATTGCAACTTTTTATTATTCATAGCTTACTGTTTACAAATCATTCAATAAATGCAGGTTTTGTCATTTGTTGAATTTTGATCTTTAATTGTTTGTAAAGGTTGAAAAGAAGAGTAAAGATGATGAAGACCAGAGACAACAAGACCAAACGGAAAGAGAGAAGCATCCACTTCTTGGTGGTTGGACAACCATCAATGTTGCTAAAGAAAGGTTTGACTTTCTTGCAGAATTAAAATGCGCTCTTGGAATAAATGTATTTTTCCAATTTATTAAAGTTGAGCTTCCATTTTGGTGATTTCAAGAAGAGCACAAGTCACATTTGAAACACAACTCTTTCAATTTCTGTGTTGAACTGCAGCTCAGCCCAAATCACTTAATTATCTTCAGAATGTCAAACAATGTTTAGGAGGTCCTCAGATTCTTTAATATTATTTGCAAAGCAGAATTTTTGAGAGATTTCAAAAGTTCGATTAGATCGATTAGAAAGAGAATCGAGTAGAAAATCAAAATCTTCAATTAACATTTTTGTCTTTCGTGAATATTTGAGACTATTTTGAATAAATCTTGAACAAAGAAAAGAGACGAAAATTGTTATTTTTACGTACTTTTAAATAAAAAGCTAGAATGAGCGTTCAGGATCACAGCAAAAAAAGGTTTTGCGCTCTGTTTAAGTAAGTAACAAAGAATTCCAATCCAACAGTAAGCAAAAAAAGAATTCCAATCAGAAAGCAGAATGGTAATCTAAACCAATGCAGACTCTCTCAGAATTTCGTTATATCTTACCTGATAAGACTAAAACTGATCTTTCTGTTATAGTGACGAGTTCTCCGAAAAGCGGCGTGTAGAAGAAGCTGAAAGTAGCGAGAAAGATTCAACGACAAATCAAGCAACGGAGAAAACAACAGATCCTGAGGAGCTAACTCACACATCCCGAAAAAGGATAGCCAATTTCAAGGAGAAAACGGTCAAGTCTTTGCAGCGTTCTGAATTAAGCGAAAACGTAGGATTCAAAAAAAGAAAAATAAAAAATAACAAGAACGTCAGAAAACGAGATGATGACGATGACTGAATTTAGTTTGTATGTTTTTCTTAAAAAAATGTTCAATTGTTAACTGTGCTAAGACTTTTTAAAGGTGAACCATCTGCTATTTTGTCACCAATGGTCGTATTGCCTAAACTTGCAAAAGAGCGAGTTGGGGTAAATCCTTCAAGGAAGGCACCCATGTTATGATGTTGCCTATCAGGGGTGTTTGCAAATGGAGGAATGGGAGGTACAGCTCCTATCCTAGACCTTTAGCCCCTCATGGTGAAAAACAAAAAAATTAAGGTATTTTCTGAAGCAAGATATTGCCTTGTCGGCGTTTGCTCAATTTTCCAATGAAATCTACAAAGGGCAGGCTAGCCCCCTGTTGGAGAAGCAATCTTTCTTGTCATAACACCAGGCATTTCTCGCAGAGAAGCTATACATTTGGCGGGGAAAACCTGGCAACAATCTTGAGGGATGTGGTTAGATACAAGTCCAAATTGTTCAGAATCATAACAATGGTATAAAATTCCGTACAAAAATCGAATACCAACTTTTAGCTTTAAACTAACAGTTGATTCGACTGTCTGTAAATATGCACCGAGAGCAATAGTTTCCCCTTTTTACGAAAAGATTTTTCACCTAATTCGTGTTAGTTCTCTATTCAATTTTCAACTGTATGTTATACAATATCTTAATTTGCAAATTAGCATTGACCCAAGTGTGTGTACTTAAGAGCTGTTCAACTCTTGGTTCACCTTCAAAATTCTTCGTAATGCAATCATTGTTGTGGCAACAATTATTATACCTGCACCAGCCAATGTGGTCCACTGAGGTTGAATTCCCATAAAAAGATACTGTAATACGAATGCGTAAACGATATCCGCATTTCGCACTAATGATGCCGGGCCAGCATCTTCAAGCTGTAAGGCTTCCGCAACGAAAAGCAGATGAACAAACGACAGTAACCCGACAAGAAGGATGACAGATACATTGGCCCAGTGAAATGGCACAATAAGTGACTCCCCAAGGGCAAATGACACGAATGGTGCAACTATAATGCCGATTAAACTGGGATAGAAAATAGTTAATGTGAGATCAAGTTTCTGACCTGATATTTTGTTCAAGACGTAGAAAATAGCAACAAATATCGATGAGATTAACGCAAACGAAATCCCAATTACGTAATCTTGCGCATCTGCGTTTTCTGAGTCTTTATCCGGATTGAGGTTGCTCGGATTTCTTGAATCGTCTTCGTTTGGGTGGATGCCAAAAAATATGCTTGGCTTTGTCATGATTACGACCCCAATGAAACTAACACAACCACAAAGCGTATCAAACAAAGTGCAGCTAACACCAAGTAACAAAAAGCTTAACGTCATCGTGAAAACCGGCGCAGTAAACTGGATGACAGTAGCGTCTGCAACAGGAATTCTTTCTAGAGCAAGAAAGAGGAAGAGAATCTGTCCGGTACCGGCCATTCCCATAAGTAACAAGACGCAGGTACTTTTCAGTTCACCAGATGGACGGACGCGGCCTATTAACATGAAGACCAAGTTTAACGTAAATACGAAAAGGCTTCGATATAACAGGAAGACATACGGTGATATTTCGGCATGCGTTGACTTGAATGCGAATTGTACAAGGCAGTTAGACATTGTAATGTAGAAACCAGCAGCTGCCATCAGCATTAGGCCGTGTAAACGATTTGTACTTTTGCTATGCGTTGGCTCTTTCTGCATTATGAATCACACTGCAAATTGGTACTGTTTCCTTGGGCAGAGGGCGTAACATTAGAGAATAACCTTAATCTTATTTGATAAAAGTTGTTTTCTAAAATTTTGTCGCCAGCTTAAATGCTAACATTGCGCAAGTTGTGGGCAACTTGCTCGCACGCTTGATTGATCCGGGCAATCAATTTTGCTGGCGTTTTTGCGCTACAGCAACCACTTAGCAGGTGTTGGATAGTTACTGTTTTTCCTGTACCAGTGACCACCAATTCCTCATAAGTACATTTCAAACAAATAACGATGTTAGAAAGGCGCATCAGTGCATTTTTAGACAATAAGGTGCCAGGTTTAGTGGCATGTCTCGCCCGCGGGAACAAAGAGGTGCACCGCAAGGTTCAATCTTGGAACCCTTTTTTATTGTTACTTATCTATCAGCATTGTTCTAGGGAAAGGGACGGAGTAGTAATATTCGAAAAAAGAAACGAAAATTAGAAAAACAGAAAGGAAATTGCCGGATGTTCCAAGTACTGTTGGCAGGCATTATAGCTTTGTTGTTTATCTTTTTAACATATTGTAAGAACAGCATTGATCGTAAAGGCAAGGCCGGATTCATTGACCTTTTAAAGGCTCTTCAATATGCAAGCCGCAACCTTTTAATAGCAAACTGTGTTCGTATTGACTTAACATGCTTTTCAGCTGATTAAAAGAAACAGAACTTCAAGGGTCGGTCATAGGTCCTTATTGTTTAATGATCTTTATAAATGATATCTTATTTTTGTAAACTCTACAAGTTTTTGCAATTATGCTGATGATACTAAAATCTTTGAATGCCTTCCTGATCTTGCTTCTATTATTAGACATTTAGAAGACGGTTTTGTAATGATAAAGTGGTTTTCGGGCGACTTTTTGAAAAGTTAATGATATTGGTGAAGATCATAAGTAACATCGAAACATGAGCGATTAGAAATTCAAAACTTAGTGGAAAACATTATGAAAAATAGCTAGTAGTGGCTGTTTGATAAGAAATCAAGTGTAAAAAAATGTGTTGGAAGTTTTTATAAAACACAAAAAATGAAGGCATTTTTTTATGGAGAATTAGCTGTGCACTATAAGAATTCTAAGATATAATAATATACACCAAGGAAGAGCTTCTAACCACAAACAAAAACTGTGCACAAGAAGGCCCTGTTATGTTCAATGAAGATGCAAATCCACGAGAAAGCATCGATCGATGGTTAGGCCTGGCAACGTTGCAGGGCCCTGGGTACTAAGGGCCCTCGGTTCTGAAATGATACAGTACGATTGTTTGATAGACCTCCCACTGAGACGGATGACGAGACATGCAATTATGATAAAAAGTTTAGTAAAAAAGAACCTTTTTATGCTGTGTTTGAAAACCGATTTGTTCTTTTAGCCTCCTGAACTTATTTGAAGCAGTCTGAGAATGAATATTATACAAACATGATTGTAATGATCTGCAATTATTTTTAAGAATCGAAGACATGTGATGAAAATGTAAATGTTTTCAGGACGAATAGGCAGTTCGCTGGATTCTCCAAATCTTAAAATGACGAGTAAGAGCAAAGACCATTGATGAAGAAGTAAAAATATAGAAAGAGAAGTATTTGCAGAATGAAAATATGGAAGTGTAAATAAACAATAACATTCGGCCCCTGACATCCTGGTATACGGAAGCTTCATTAGAGTAGTTTAGGTGTTCACTTGACAGCAGCAAGTTGATTGATGAAGTGAATTGTATAAAGGGATTTTGAATTACTGACGTAATTATCAGCCTTCCAAAAAGCGCCTTAGGTACTTTAGGCATGGGTGGCTGCAACACAGGTGCAACACGAGTGCAAGACTGCACATTCTCAACAGAATTCTCAGTCATTTAATAATGTAATATTAATAACAAAAAAGGACAAAGTACGCAACCTTTATACAAAATTATCTAAATAACATTTCAACGAAATTGGTACGAATGAATTGTAAATTAGGGAATGACGAATTGTTTATATTTTGGCAATGTTTAATATGCTATCGCATATCTTTTTATAAGCCCAAGCATCTCCCTTTAACCTTTTATGGCGGATTCCTGAAAAACAAACCAATGCTAGCATTAATACTCTCAAGTCTCCATTGCAAAATGGCACATGTATTCACCTACTTTTTATGGCTTTGTTTAGGCTAAAGTAAAAAAACATCAGTACTGTACATTAAGTGGGAACATATAAATAAATTACTTATTTATAACAACGAACACATCAACTTTTCATCACCCCAGTCTTAACAATCGCAAAATCCCCTGACACAATTCTAATTCCTAAATTCGAAGTGAAGATTCAAATTAAGACTTGATATTTGACACAGGGAGAAAGCTGTTACCTTTCGGAATCGGAAAATAATGACGCAAAAAGTCAGCAGTTTAATTTCATGGTGTTGGAAAGACCTTTGAGTAGGTTGTTGTTTAACAGAACGCCATGGGGTTCTTTGTCTTCTACTACCAAGACGTTAACCTTTTTGGTGAAAGAACGATAGGAATGAAAAAAAAAAGCTTAAAAAGAAAAAAGGCAGGGTTGAAAAAAACAGTCGCAGGAATTTCTCCTTTCTTTATAGATCTCGGGAGTTAGAAGTTTTATAAATTTCATTACCCACCGACAACGTTTTCCAAGCCAGGCACGGAACAGATCTCCAACTCAAACGACAGCTTGTTTCCTCTCTCATCGTCACCCTTGCACTTGAAGAGATAGCTGTCAAGAAGGTCAAAGTCTTTTGTAAACATTTGTAAAAAAGTATCTTATACATTTATTTTGATATGCGTGGTGCTATGGAAAAAGGTATCATATTGATTCAGTTAGGGAAGGTTTTACAACGAAAAATATCACACTAGCTGGAATCGCATTAAATTGAATGAATAGGAAAAGCGGATCCTTTAGTTTAGAAAATAAAACTACAAAAAATAAGGTTTGCTTCCAGCTTCTCTTATTCCAAAGGTAGTTTAGTCCTATCTAAAATAAACCTAACAAATTCAGGCTTGTTTTATCTTATATTTCATAATCAAATTTTTATTTTTAATCTTTTTTATGGAAGGTTGCCCTTCAACAGAAGCTGGTTTTAAAGATGCCCTCCGATTACAACCCAAGGAAACACATAAAGATCTTAATTGAATTAAACTATAAAACCTTCTTCAATGAATCTCACTGTTTACCGGTCTGTCATAAATGCCTTCTAGGCAGAGCTGTACATGCTATTGGGTGGATAGGACAGGACGGTCCTGCTCTGTAAAACTTTATTTATCATATTCACTACTTAAACTATGAATAACAACATCAACGAAAGAGAATGCGTTTTCTGCTTGATTGTTTTTTCGAAACTGTACAAAGAGGTTGACTTCATCTTGCAGAAGGAATTTGATAGAGAGAAACCCTTTTAGACGAAATCAAAGATTATGTCCATGATGGGCCTTTCCAATAAAGAAAACAGATGCTAAAACCTTTGTTGGATTTATTCTGATAGCGTTCAGCGTAAGCCTACCATGCATGAAGAAATCTATAAACTGAAGGTGAGTGTGCTACTTACTTTTCTGAAGAATCAATGCTGTGTAATTTTCCTCGGCTTCTCATGTAGGATAGAACGCGATTTAACTCATCCCGAACTTCTGTTGCAGTTTTCGTTGATGTACTATTCACTTTGTATATAGCCTGTAATCAGAGATTTGATTCAGTGAAAATAATAATGTTGCACAGCTGATTGATCGCTAAAGCATAAAAAATGTCAATACTCTGCTACCAGAACAGCCTTGAAATATTTATCGTGTAGAAACCAAATCCGCAGACTTCACAGTTCATAATGTCATAACGACCGATCAGCTTTCTTTACATTTAGTTTGTTCAATATGCCGGTGAATTTCACATAAACGGTTTTCGTTGTTGATTAGGGTAACTTGGAACAGTATCACAGATAATTCACTTAACGCACCTTCGAATGGGCTACTTTTTTGCAGATAAGTGTATCTTGTAGTAAGATTCTTATATGTAATCTAGACTTATAAAAGGTTAGAAGAATACAAGAATAAATTCAAAGTTAAGGGAGGATTGACTAGAAAGAGAAACACTGGCATAATGCTTTATGACGATTTATGAAATGTTTTGGCTAGGGTCTAAGGCAGGAGTGTCCAGCATACTGCCTGCGAAGGCATATTCTGTTGCCCGTGTTAAAAATTAACATTTTAACAATTTGACCCCTGCGCTATGTCTTGGAGTGCCGTTCCTGCCAAAATTATTAAAATATGTTATCAGTAGTGCTTTCTCATTACTAATTATACTTTCTTAGTATTTGTCATATTTTCCCATTATTTTGCAAACAAACATATTCTAACTGAAAGAGGACAATCTCTCGTATGGAACTGAGCAAGTCAATTCAAAGTTTAAAGACGAACATTTACAAGATATTCTTTGCGTCAACCACCAGTTTAATGGGTGATTTGAATAAACCTTCTGCACAAAGAAAATATAACATTTTGTACTGATAGTTTTTTTCGTACAACATATCATTGATGTAACTTTTCATATAGTTTTTCATGTAATCCATTTACTGTTTACTACAAAATTTACTGATATATTTTCCATCTGGCCAACCTGTGATATTAGGTTTTGTTTATGGTCCAACCAATAAATTTAGTTAGACGTCCCACGTCTAAGGTATGCCTGGGTATCACCGCCACAGTTGAAAAGCGTTTCGTCATTCTTTCCATTGGATTCATATTATATGAAAACGACTATTTACTTTCAGTCTGTTTTCCTGCGTGATGAAACAATTGATATCATATGAAAATAACAGCGCATAGAATTTATTTTGAATCTTAAAATACAATTACCTTAACTTTTCTTGGTTCATCTAGAGCAGTATTCCCTTTTCTGGGTGTCATAAGATGCACAACCTTCTCTTTCAACTGAAAATATGACAAAATCAGCCCCATGAAGAAAATTAATTGAAATCAATGTAAACAGACTTTCAAAAAAGAATAACAGCTTGAACCTGTCTCTTTGAAGTGCAGGAAAATATAAAATCTCAAAGCATGAAATGTTTCTGCTTAAAACTTATTAATTTATAGAAAGGTCTAGAGAGGATAACTTGGTTACTTTTTCAAATTGCTTTTAATGTGAACGACAGACCATCTGAACAATTTAATATAAGGTATCGCTATTAACTAATTTTTCCTCCACTGGCCACTAAATTTCAATAATAGAGTTCTAAAGTGTGACGTCATCAAAAACCTATTTTCAGAATTTTTGGATTTTAACCACATAGCGTAAAAGATCGCTATGAAATACTTCCAAATATGCAAAATTGACCAGATATGTCTAAAATCGGTTGAGATATCGCTAATGAAAGATTTGAAGTTTGCTAACGAATCACTGTTATTTTGGCTCTGTTCATAAAGTTATGAACAGAGACCAAAATACAGAGGTTTGATGGGGAGAGAACCAGTAAACATGTGGTCATATCTCTGCCATTTCGTAATACACTTGCCTGATTTTGCACATTTAGAGGTATTTCATGATGATCTTTCAGGTTATGGAGTCAAAATTCAAAAATTCCAAAAATAGATTTTTGTGACGTCATCACTTTAGAACTCTATAGCAAACGTTTTAAAGTCTCTTTACCTTTTTAGCAAATTTTGGGGTAGCAAGGCCGGCTGATAGAGGAGTTTTTGGTATAATGGAGAATTTTCTGTGTCTCGCCGGAGTGCAAACACCAACCATGCAGAATCCTTCAAAAACCGAGCTTGACTTGCTGTTAGGAACAGATACAACAGCAAAAATTACTAATGCATTGTAACTAACAAAAAAGCTAACATCAAAATATACGATCAAACAACAATATACAGAATGTTAAAATGGCCATCCGTTGGAAGGGGGTATTGCTCATGATGCAAAAAATTTCCCACACCCAATGCAATCGATCTCTTTGTTTCTACCTAGCTATGAAAAAATTAATCACAAGGAATTTAATGATACGGAAAAAAATACAATTGTAGGAAAAAAAATTCTGAGATTACACAGAATAATGTCACAAGGGTAGAGATGGCATGAAATAATAGGATGAGACAATAATGTCATACAACATATAAACGATTATTGGACTGTGCCTATGCGACTCTCTATAGTGACAGAAGTCGCTACTAAAATTTTCCTACACATCTTTTAATTTTGCCATTAATGATGATTTCTTCATCTTGTTAAATATCGAACTTTGTTATTAAACACATCTTTCTTGATACCCTTTCGTTACACCCTTAATTTGGCTTAGGTTTGCAAGTTTAAAAAATTGACAATTCTAAGCATTTTTATCCATTGCTTTAATAACTCAAGATATGATTTATCCTGGTCTTATATTTCGGTGTATATCCTAAATAATAATTTGATCCTTTGAAAGTGGGGCTTTGAAAATTTTTGCACAAGTATAAATAATCAACTTCCTTTTTAACCTCGCTTTCCTATCTTGCAGCCTTTCTCTCCCTCTATCCATGCATGTTCATTTACTTTCGATCCATCATCTCAACAAGTCATTCGATAAAAATTTAAATGAAAATACTCACTCTTTTGATTCTCGTAGTGGCGAAGGCATTGACCCTTCATCATCAATGAATTTGTTTTCTACGGAAGACATGAAATCTGGATTGCGAAAGATCTCTTTTGCCGCTTACCAATTATAAAAAGAGCTGCAAATTTCAATTCCAATCCGAGGAGCGATTGGATAGCTCCAAGGCACTCTCAACACCAACATATGTTTTAATGAATCCACAAAGAAAATGTGCGGATAAAGAATGTATGGATTCACGGCCTAAATTAGTGTACAAGCCTCCAAGCGTGATAGGAAAGCTGTACCGCTCTCAAAGATTAGCTCTCCTATTGCCTCCTCTACAAATCATTTATGATGGCTTTCCTATATCACCGCTGACACGCAGGAAGGAATGGGTGTAAAACAATCACATCAGAGTAAATATCACACCAAAAAATTTAGGTAAGCTTACCTTACTCCACAGAGTCTTTTCATCTTAAGAGAAAAGCTCCCTCTCACCCCCTTTTTGACTGCCCCTTCCTCTTTAAAGGGGAAAACTGCCCTTCCTACCTTATTATTCTGGCATAACTGTCTTATAAAAACGAGGATACTTTGAAAAGAAAAACAACCGGCGAATGAAATTTTCAAACAAAACTCTGAAGTTTTACCTAGATCATTTTCACTGCCACAATATGTCATGGCCCTTTCCCTTTTAGAATCTGCATTTGGCAGAAACCATTTGCCAAAGACTTCCTAGAGAAAATTTAACGCGATCGTAAACAAAACAATGTGTTAAAAGATTATATCTTTGCATTGATGACTAGTGCAATGAGAAGCTACTAGAATATGATAAAACTAAATGCATAATATTTGCAACATGCCGACCAAAACACAATTCACAAACAGCAAAAATTTAAATGGATATGATAATTGCAACTTCTTTCACAAAAACCAGATTCATAGCCCTGAGATAATAATGGGAAGTCCACAGACAGAAACATTAAAGGCACTGCGCCCCGATGCATTTTGATGACCATTTATATTCCCATTGATCTGACTATTGTCATTGGTTGGTTTGATTAGTTTGTTGGTTGGTTGGTTTGACAATAGACCTATTATTACGTATCCTGGATGATATCCAATCGATAACTAAGAATAATAAGGACGTTTTCTCAATGACAATGCACCATAGAGCCTATTGTTAACTCCAACCAAAAATAGGGTTCTTCTTCTTTCTTGATATTCACCTTTTTTCTATTTTTCTAAAATACTCTGCTTCTGTAAGTTTGATTGACGAAATAATGAAGAAAATAGACACTAACAAATATGTATTAGAAAAGTATATATATAACTAAAAATCATCACACCTCTTCAACTTCTCTAGAATCGCCTTGAGTTAGGTTTAAACTGTCACTAAAAGGCAAATCAATTCAATATAATAGCAAGTAAGCAAACGCAGCAATACGATAAACATTCAGGAAATTTGTGTCACTGAAACTTTAAAAACGCTATAAGAAATTAAAAAAAAGGATAGGTCAAGATTCTTCATGCAAACTTTATTATTCACCATTCAGCCAAACTCAGTCGATGCTGAGATACATAAGTCAATTTTTAATGAAGCATAAGCGACATGCATACGATTTTATGCTGAAATGTAAAGTTGCAGAAGGTTAAGATGTTTAAAGAGTAGCCATTTTAAGCAGATCTATAATGAACAGAATCATGCTGGATACAATTAACGCTAGCAAGAAAGTTCTACTGTTGCTTATCACAAAAAAATCAGTTTTTCTGGTTTTGGTTCGAGCCTATTTCAGAGAAAGAAAAATATTCATCTGTATATCTGTTACTTTTAAAGTCCCTCACATTAACCCAGAGTTTCTCTTCTGCTTCTTTTCTAAACCTTTTGTAGTAATATGTTACTAAAATAGCCCAACAAACATGCTGTCAAAGCTTTTTGAATTTATTGCGAAACACGGTTCTTAATTGTAACTAAAGCTGTTGCAAGTGGGAAGAATACGATAGCTAATATCCTTATTAATTTAACTTTTGATAAAACTTGTTGAATTTGACTTATAACGTTTTAGGGCAAATATTTCTTTCTGTTGTCCAAATACCTTTGCAGAATCTAGTTCACGGTATATGACTATTCAAAGTCAGATTGTGTCCTTCACAAATATCTCTGTTTAGATAAATATTTGAAGAATAAGGTTTCATCAAACGGTGATAACTTTAGTCACAGCTGTTCAAAAAACACAGGCAAAATAACACAAATTGACCAAACACACTGTGACCCTTGAGGCGTGGATTATTTACATTAGGCCTCGATGTAAATAAACACTGTTTCTCACCCTTATTTTTACTGTAAATAAAATTGTAATTTGCTTCTTTATAACAATTATGCACGAGTATAGTTGTAGCCTGTGCCCTTCACTTTAAATTGTTTTAAAAAAGACCTAGCGATTATTCTATAAAAACGTGGAAAATCTTTGAACAAGTGTCCTAACTAGATTGTAGTCGGTTGCTTTATGGTCGGTGGTTGCTTTGCTTTTGACCCATTCCCATTCGCCACTTAAAAACATGATTAATTTGCAAAACAATGACTTTCGATCATTCATGCACCATTCCCCTCCCTCGAGGTGGTGCAATACTTTGGTAAGAGGGGAGGGGGGGTTTAATAAATATGAATAAATATAATAATTCCGAAAAATCTTTGTCCTAATCACCTTTCCGTATGTTGAGTTGACTTTTTCGGACGAGGAGTATTTCTTCGCAGTTTCAGTAGCAGAAAATAATGCGCCGTCAAATGGTCATATTTGTATTGCTTGATTTGCCTTTCCATTTCGTGCTTGGAAAGACCGTAGAACTCGGCCAATTCTTCAACGATGCCCGGTTCGGGCTTCTCCTTTTTCACAACGGATTGCCACTGCACATTGGCACCATAACCCTCGCGAACCCATTCATCGGTCAACAATTCAGTAATGGTGATTCTCCTTTCAGGATCAGTCTCAAGAAGCCTTGATAAAATTCTGACACTTTCTGTAAATAAAAGTTTTAGACCTCACCAATATTCATCAAATGTTAATGCTTTCTACACTAAACCTCATGGTTCTTATGTAACATCAGTTCAATAAACTTTAAAACATGGAGCATACGTTAGACAGGACTGTACCTGGTGTTTCATGCCTAAAAAATAAATGCAGTAAGTCAACTCTGAGTAACAGGAGCTCCCCCCTTAAACTACACGATATGGAATCTTTTAGCCAGGAGGGTTCAGTTTCAATTTCAGGGTATGTAAATAGGTCTTTTATATAGCAGTGATATATAATACAAAAAATAATCTAATCGTGCAATTAGCCTGTTTAATAATTAGTCACTTGAGGCTTTTGACTATATGTTGTTTGAGATGCTCCCCTTGTGATAAAAGACAGTTTATAAATGGATTCGCCATGACATTAATTATGTTAATAAATGCTCAAATGTATGTTAACTGATAAATAGAAGCTGGATGAACTGAGTTCTGTAATTTGATCCTAACCTTCCGATAACCAATCTGGAACATCATATTCGCCACTCTACAGATTTAAAAGAACAGAAAAAAGCTTAGAAAGCAATATAAACATTGGAATCTCAATAAACGACGATGGAAAACATTAAAAGTAGAATTCTTTATCATCCAATAAGGTTCTGATCACAGGAAATATTTGAGCAGAAATTAAGGTCATGGAGAAAATTTTTCACTTTTTTTGCTTAGCGATATTGATGATCGTACTTCTTTACTTTCGCTAGTGCGAGTACGATCTTGTCCTTTACTTTTAACCCTCTTTGGCCATATATTTCTAAATTTGTGAATATTAACTCCCTTGTGCCATGGGGTCGCGCAAATGTGGTTTGCTGAGAGCATTTTATGATCACTTTTAGATTAACTAATCTAATAATTCCGAAAGAAGCCAGTTTCGCTCAAACGGGATGGCGATTACACGGGCACTTCTAGTCCTGGCTCTAAACATAACCAGTTATGTCTGCGGAGGAAGCTTCACTCTAGAGCCAGCTTCTGTCTGGCTATGTTCAGAACAAGTTTTCTCTTGTGAAAACGTTCTTTATCAGTCTCAAATGGAGCTAGTGACATATCAAGGTTAAAATTCGCCTCAGTGCACACTTTTTTGAGGTTTCATGATCCTGCAGGACAACGGAAACTATTTTTATTGATTGTTAAACACTTTTTCTTCCAATTTTCTTGATTTTAAATATACCCTAGAATATAAATAGAATATAAATATACCAGATTGCGTGCGGTACAATATAATGCAATAAAAACAATGATATGTAAGTAAATTGTACAAGGAAAAATTTCTTTATTTAAAGAAATTTTTTTCTTGTACAATTTACTTACATATCATTGTTTTTAAACCCTAGAATATGGTAATCAAAACGCTCATCAAGTTTATTTTAGTCATCACTGGACCAGAATCGGTACCAAATGGAGCCAGTTTCTCTCAATTAAACAGCTTCTAAAGATTTTGATTTGTTTGCATCAAAAGATTACAACCTCAAAAACACTTTTTACTGTATTGATGTGGCTATTTCTGACGGAGGAATATGTCTTCCTGGCTTTTGCCGAATAGAGAATTAACTAAAATCTGACAGTCATTTGCAATAATGAAAGAGGATGCAACTGTTTTGCAAACGGGGTATGAATTGATCCCATTGTGAACAGCTTCCGTGCAGTCCATTTACACTTTGGCACAGTTTCGCAACCCAACTTGAGGCAAGAACCCACCTTGAGGCAAGAACCCACCTTGAGGCAAGACCCACCTTGAGGCAAGAACCCACCTTGAGGCAAGAACCCACCTTGAGGCAAGAACCCACCTTGAGGCAAGAACCCACCTTGAGGCAAGAACCCACCTTGAGGCAAGAACCCACCTTGAGCAAGAACCCACCTTGAGGAAAGAACCCACCTTGAAGCAAGAACCCACCTTGAGGCAAGAACCCACCTTGAGGCAAGAACCCACCTTGAAGCAAGAACCCACCTTGAGGAAAGAACCCACCTTGAGGAAAGAACCCACCTTGAGGCAAGAACCCACCTTGAGGCAAGAACCCACCTTGATTTTTTGGTATAGTAAATATGTTTCGTCTTCATGGTCGACATCAAAGGGCAAATAACCACAAAGCAAACCATACAGAACAACCCCAAGGCTCCAAACATCAGCCTGAAAAAGAAATGCGATGGCAAATCTAAGTATGAAGGTTGATATTGTCTGTAATAACAGAAATAGAAAAATACTTTTAAAAGGAAATAAAAAAAGAGACGCCTTTTCTTAGCCGATTTGTCTGTCTTGAGTTTTTTCAGGCATCATACGTCTTTAACCTATGTAAACAAACTGTCAGGCCTATTGCCAATCGTAGTTCAGCGCATGGGAACAAACTCCTAGAGAAACCTCTACGAAAAGGATGCCTGAAAGATACATACCGCATTGCCAAGGTATTCTCTACCAGAAATAAGCTCTAAAAATATAGATTAACAAGCAAAATTAACTTCATGCTTTGAATAACCACCATTAAATGCAAACCTTTATCTAAAAGATATATGGGCTGTATGAATTTTAAAGTATAATATTTTTCAAGTTTAAAACAGCAATGGAAACAGTTTAAATAAGTTTTGCTATTAACATCCATTATTTGGCTCTTTCTGCTAAATTCAACCAAATCTGGATTCTGCTATTTCGAAATCTATTCCCATATGCTGGTTATATTATAAATTAACACAGTAAATTCCCGCATATAAAAAACCAGAAATAGGAATATTCATGGCGTTTTCCTAAGACGTTACACCCAATAATAAAGAACCTATTTCAGTTTAAAAAGAAGTTACTTTTTATCTCAAGCGTCATGAAATCAATCTCTTTATTCTTTTGTTCTTTAAATTTTCAACCAAAGCGTTTAAGGTATTCCTCTGTTACATAGACTTTACAGAAACGAGATCTTGATATCACTGCAATTTCAAGACATTCTTCTCAGCAGAACTAGAATCGAAAATTGCAATCTAAGTATTAGAATGCATATATTTTGTTATCTCTTCAGACGTTTATGTTCATGCACCCTTCAAATATAGCTTTAGCTTATTTAGTTGATTTCAGCTAGATAAAATATCGTCCCCCCTTTTATTCCTCTATTAGACGCTACAGAGGGAAAAGGGGGGATGTAATAGTAAGGAGTGAAAACAAGGTCGATTTTTAACTTTACAGGTGGGTAGAACGACATAATAGTAAAGATATATCAAAACATTTTTAACTGTGTGGTTTTGTCTGTAAGACACGTTAAATTTCCGAAGCATTCTTCCAAGAAACACCGTTGTAGAGCAGGCATAGAATACTAAATAATGAAGATTGTTTCTGGCTTCAGGGAGAGCATTAGACAAACGCTGCTAAAACGTTAATATTTACCAGGTGCAGCGTAAGCTGGCGAGCCACAGCAAGTCGCTAACGGCATCACAAGGCCAGCATCTGGGTCAGAAGCTAGTCCAAAGTCGATGAGTTTCACATTCTAAAAGATAAACCATTTGTATACATAGATTTTAACATGTTGTGTCGTAAAAGTTAGTTACAAGGACTCAATATCTCACAAATATCTCACGGAAATGGTTTAAATATGGTTTGCAATCTCAATTGACAAATTTTCGAAAAGCGATCGAAATAAATCCCTTATTACCCTTCTATGAATCTTAAACACGAAAGGCAAAAGATTTTAATAAGACAAAGGGGTTATCTAGTACGACACAATTTTGCTGTATTCTCCCGCAATGAAAAAGGTACTTGGAAAACAGAAGGGGAAGAATGAAGAAAACTAAGCGAGGGAGGCATTATTTTTCTTTCTTTTTTTTACATGACAGGGAGAGGAGTCAGACACTGAAGCTCTCTTTAAAGGTGAGTGATGTGTTACCAGAGACACTCTTTAGCAAGTTTTAAGGTTGGGGATATTCTATATTAACTATTTTATGAAGGGGTGATGATATTTGCTCGCAATATGGAAAAGGAATTCAAAGAGAAATGATATTGAGATTTTGAAAATAATCTTATCACTGATAAGGAACATAATAATCATAATATAGTGAGGTGTTAATGACAATAATAATAATGATGATCATGATTTGCTCATTATGGAAACAGTAAATGATTCACAAAACACGAAATGGCTATAAACAGATAATAAATCACTTACGTTACTTTCATCAAGCAGCATATTTTCCTATCGAAATAAAGAGAAGTTATAAATTGAGTTTTGAAAACACTGTTTTCTTGATAATTTTCTACAAAATTTTGGATCTATGAAGATGGAAAGGCTGACACAGAGTTCAGTAAACACATCTGGATGAAATTTTGTCCTATTCCTATTTGCCTTCCTAAAATTTTCCTTTTATCTTTTGAACAAAGTTTCTTTGAAAAAAGCAAACTTTTCACTCCATTCCAGGGAGAAGTTATGCCCTTCATTGACACTCATAGAAGCGCATGATATGATTTCGGTTTGTAGGAGGGCGTTGGAGAGAATGCAAAATGGTCTTTTTGCTATAGGGAAATTCGTGAGATTTTCATATAGCACCTTTCCTGTGATCACCCATCCACTTTGTCCATGCTAACTAAAATTGTAGAGCAGGAAGAATTAAAACAGCCTCGGCTTAATAGCAGGAAGAGGAGTAAAGAAACAATTTTTATGTTTTTCTCTTTCTCTCTGACAAACAAATGTTGCTCAATTCTACAAACCAAGTACACTGGCTATTAATAAGAACAATTTTTTAAATCACAAGCCTCAAAATTGGTCAGAAGTTACGTACAAATTAAGAACAAGCTGAGGCTGAGGTACTGTAAGATGTAATTTTGAACAAAGTTGTGCAAATTCCATCTCTAAAACGAGGAGTTTTCTGCCATCTGGGGGTGCTTTGTCTGTGACATTTCAAACCTGTCGGCAAATAGAGGACGTCTAATTCACTTTGTTGGCAAATTGGGTTTGAGCGTTCCCCTTGAGTACATTAGCTAGCAACTGCACGGTTTACACCCTAATAATTTATCCAATTAACAGCAATCCAGCCTCAAATTTTTGAAAAATTAGGAACAGCCAGCCTGAAATTCAATTTACTGGTACTGGAAAAAAGAGTTTAACACAACAAAAAGAGGGTGACGGTAATCCTGATCAGACAACTTTGCTTACTTTGAGGAAGAGCACTAACATTTCAAAGCTTTTTGGGGAAAATCATATAAAAGCAAATGTACATCAATTAAAGTTGCTAATTACTTTTGCGTGTGATAGGAAGGAGTGAAAACACTAATACCGTATCGATTCTAGCTTCAAAATAACGCATTTAACTATATCGGATATACATCTCTCTTGGTGAGTGCGTTTCCTGCTCTGACATTACTCGAAACGAGTTTTGCGCCCTTTTTTACAGTTGAATACAAGTTGTCGGACATTTTAAGAATATCAAAATGTTCTAAGGAGAATTTCAAAGTTTTTGGCCTATAGATATTAGCTAATATTATTTGTATTTAATCTACGGATGATTTCTATCTTAGAGTTCCTTGATAGGTAGGGGCGGCGCCACGGGGTGGACATGTCCACCCAAGTTTTTTAAAGATCGATTTTCAATTTTTTCCAAAACTGGACTAGAAACATAAGGGAGGGGATGTAGGATTTCTACTCTGGGATCGGATCTTTTTTCATTTTGATGGTCAGTTAAGGTTCTTTTCATATCTTAGCTGACATAGAGTATGGTGTGTTGGATCATCAGTTCCGTAAATAGTGAGAAACTAAATGAAGATGATCTACAAAACACAGCGTTATCCTGCTAAAAATTTGGTTTTTAGAATGTGGTCTTTGCCTTTCTTTTTTCGTTAAAGGTTTTTGGCAATAATTAACATTAAAACATGTACCCAAAAATTTTTAAGCTGTAAAGATAAAAAAGTTGCACCCCTTAATCAGCTCCTCCCTTTCATTGTCCATCCCATTATTTTTGGGCTGGCGCCACTCCTGTTGATAGATTTCTCCATCATTCTTATATACAATTAGCTTTACTTACAGGTTTCAGGTCTCTATGTGCAAGACCCTTCTCGTGCATGAACGCTACAGCGGCAATGATTTGTCTGAAAAATCTTCGTGCTTCAGATTCCTACAAAACGAAAGCACATCAAAGACGCATGTTGAAAAAGAAATCCAGTCAAAGCACGACACTTAATAAAAAATCAGCCGAATGAAAAAGAATGAAATCGGAGGTATGTTACTTCTTGGCCGTGGTCTCTAATTCAATACAGCAATTCAACCTACAGCCTCCTATGAAAAAATTCTTCAAATTCTTTTGTACAAAATTTTTGACCTCAGATTCAGATTGAGAGCAATGATTTTAGTCTTATTGTAAGTTTTCATTATCATATTGCTCACGATATTGATTTGATGACGACATGAAATAAAATTTTTATAATGAATTTGACCGTGATTGGCGAATAAGGAACTATTTTTGCGGTCAAATCCTTTACAAGTTTTCAAGCTTCATTTCTCCGTAAAATCTAAAATACAAGAACAAGCAATATGAAAAATTGTATCCGGCCTAAAATTATGGAAGTAAAACCAAATCCGAGCTTAAAAGTCATACAATGAAATTTGGAGAAATTTCCAGAATGAGGCCATAGGTTGAAGTGTTTACTGAGAATTTCACTGAATAAAATAGAACGTTGAAGGGTTGAGGTTCAGTGAAAAATCTGGTTCATAGGCTGACCTTGTTTGCTAAGTCAACATTGTTCAGTGAATGGTTTGATCGAGGTCAAAAACGTTTGGTGAACAAAATATTTTGAGCCGCATAGTTCATTTGGTCGTTTGGCTGAACAGACGTAAAACATTTGTCAAATGAACGCATGTGCGAATCAAGGATTGTCTATTCTCAGGTATAGTGCAACGAGGAGGGGCATGGGAGAATCTTTGAACGATCAACAAGAAATAAAAACTATCGATTCACAGAAAATAAACTATTAATTTTTTGAACTTCGAAAACATTCATTCATGGACCTTCAATTTTCTTTCGAATTGTACAAGTACGAATAAGAGTCAGGCGCATCCTCACGATCAGGGTGGTGGGTTTGTACCAACCCCTTAAAGGGTATCATAATACAAGACTTGATGATTATTTCTCAGCGAAGCTTCACCAAGTATCGCGTCATGTACTTTGCCATTTCCCATGCTGTTCATAACAAGTTAATGAAGCCTTCGACAGGTGCCTTGCAAAATCAAGTTAAGCCTTATTTTAAATGTTATAAAAACGGCAATCTACAGCAAATACATCAAAAAGCAACTTGGCCATACAATGGGGCATTCGTTTTACAATCTGATTCGACGGCTCGTCTTTTAACAAGACAATTCACTTTAGCAAGCGTCTCCCTTTCACGCTTTAGAGCTGCAGAACGCCCGCAGACTATTTCTAGTACAAAGTACATAGCGCCACAAAGCCACAACCTGATACTTACTGTAAGTTTCTCCTTTGTTACTATATAGTCAAACAACTCTCCGCCAGGAAGGTACTGGAAAAAATAAAGAAAACAGTTTATTTGTCTTGGCTGTGCTTTTTATCTTACTTAGAACAAATCAGGTTGTGCAGAATTGTATTAAGCATGAAAGCTTCAAAACATACTGGAATAAAATATATTGTTTGCTTTGAATTAAGCATGATAGCTTCAAGACTCACAAGAATGAAAGATATACCAATGATAAGAAAATGAAAATTGATTGCTAATACACAAATGTACCCCTCAGCATAAAGTGTCTCATACAACCCATACATTTGTTGGGTAAGCACAAGCATCCAATGGGTGTGTTAAAAGCATTAGCACCTGAAGAATGAGGTACACAGCACATCTTCTGAAAACAGGCTGACATAATTCACTTTAAATTAATATTCATGTCAAAAATTCGAACAAATAAATTTATAAAATTGATTGCTAATACACAAATGTACCCCTCAGCATGTGTCTTATAAAACCCAACATTTGGGTAAGCACAAGCATTCAATGGATGTGTTAAATGCACATATATGAGATGTACTTCACATCCTTCTAGTAGCCGGGAGGGATGGGCTGTGGTTTCTTAAGAAAGTATAAAGCTGAACAATGTTGCAATGCATACCTCCATCACCATGAAAATATCTTCTTCTGTCTCCACAACTTGATATAACTGGGATATATGCTGGTGACTCAGCTTTTTCATTGCGTTTATTTCTCTATATGCACGATGAAGATCTCCCTAAACAGGACCACAATCAAACCATTTTTAAGAGGATTTCTGAAATATTAGCTTCAATTTGTTTGAGCACAGTGTAATACTTAAGTGTCCTTACAACAAAGATGTTAAGACAGCAAAAATTCTGGCACAAATGCAAAACAAATTGATGGCACAAACCAAAACAACACATAAAAGGATTCCTATTAAGTAAAACACTAGAGATATCATTCTTTAAATCAGAGTACATATAAAGAATCAAGTTTTTATAGATAGAATTATGGTTAAGGTGGTATCTCTTGCAGGACAAAGTAACAACTGAAGCATTTGGCAACACAAGAATTGCAAGGCAACTTTCAATTGACAAACTGTTTTATTCCTTATCAAAGTTCTTATACCTTCCTTCAGATGGCACCATAAAGCATATAAAAAACCATCCTTGATCACCTACCATCTTTCTAAGGTGGGCTTTACTCATTACTTTAATTGCAACCTAAAACATGATAAATACATCAAGATGCAGGTACAAAACTGTAATTGATTGGAAAACAACATTTTTCAAATACTTAGGTTGAACAATATTTTGACTGGTTTAACAACTAATAAAATACTTAATACAAATAACAAAAAACTAACTACATATAAAAAATCCAGGCAGAGTGTTATAGCTAATGCATGTTTTTGCCCTCACTTTAAATACAATACATATTTATCTTGAATGTGGTGTTACTTTGTTGATATGAAGATCACGTAAGGTGGGCTCTGTGGGACATGTAACAATTTTATTTACTACTAACTGTAAAAATCAATTGTCAATACAGAAACCAAAATACTTTGAATAAAAGAAGATATAGGGGAAAAGGAAGGGCAACTCTACTAAAGATAGACCTTCCACTTAGAAGGGCATGTTAAGATTTTGCAGAGAGTCCCTCAGTTTTCAATGGTGTCTTCCAGACTGCCAGATCGGTGATGATGGTTAAAAGTTTTTAAAGAAGGATCTGATAGATTTGTCACCCACAAGAAATAATGATTTGTCAGCCACAAGAAAGTATAAACATAAATGTCACATAAATTACCATGCTAAAATTTTATGCAAACTCTGATGATGTACTGCAGGAAAGCAAAACATTTGTCACTAAATATAGCATACAATAGGAAACCAGCCCATCATTAATATTTGGCAAAATAGTCCTTAATTTTCAGGAATTTCAAACAGACGTTCTATTATAAATAGTCTAGAAAGTGCAAGGAATGATTGTTAGATGGCTGGTTTCAGGCCTTGTGATGAACAAAAAGCTGAAGCTTTTGACAAACTGAGCACCTTCAACTTTCTAGACTCGATTGAGCATCATCAAATATCATCAATAACTAAATTTGGTTTTTGCATTTAGTTTTTAGACAGCATAAACATGCTAATGGCTTGATCAATCAAGCTCCTAGAACTTTCTAGGCGTGTCCAGAGGTGCTTGATCAAGTTTGAGTGCCTCTCCGTGCAAGGTCTGATTTGAATAATTGCAATATGGCTTTGAGTTTATCAATGTCAGACAGAATTTGCTTTCTTAAGCATTGGGGGAGGCTGTTGTCCCTTCCTGACCGCATGCCACAACTCCTAGCAATCTCACAGTAACCAATCAGATTTTACAGTAGATAATAGATGAAGCAATTTTTACCATTTATTTCTTTTAGCAAGCAAGCTTTTCTAGTATATATATTAGAAAAGTTGTGATGTTATAGAATCCAGGAATTCTCACCATTTTCTAAGTCAAATTGTTTGAATATATCTTTACATACAAACAATAAGGTTGATAATAATGAAAAATAGACAATAAAGCTAGGCACAATGTTTTGAATCTTAGAATTTTTGAGGGGGTGTTTTCACATGATAATCAATAAACAATCTTGAATTCACTTACATTGAGAAAGTGGTAGTATACTAATTGGAAACAAAAAAACTTGAAACCAAAAATTTTCAAATCTTTTGTTTTAAAGAACTTTACAAAAATGTAAATAATATCCTAACTAAAATTTTGTAATGTCTTTTATTTATTTTGTCTGTACTACTATAGCCTTTGATTAATTCATTTTAGCATCATATGTACTTAATTTTAGTGAATTGTTTGCAAATTTGCTTTAGAAATTTAAAAACTGAAACTTGAAGCTAAAGCTTTTGAACTGAGATGGATTTTTGTAATAAAAAGAATACACCTGGTAAAATATTTTGATACTGCCTGAAATCACATACATTTAGAAATTTACAGAGTTAGAAATGAAAACTGTTATTAACTAGGCATTTAGCATGGCCAATATGCAAAAGTGTGTGGATGGAAAATGTGTGAGTGCAGGCACTATATTGCAATCATGCAACAAAGTTTCCAGTTTGGAAATAAAATAACCTTTATACTAAAATAGACTTAAAAGGGGCATATTGGAGGGATTCTATCCATGTTCATGAATACCTTTTCTCCAGTAGGTATATGCTCTGCTAATGAAACCTTTGCAAAGCCACCTAAAAAGAGATTGTTCATGTAAGAAATCAAAAACAGTCAAGAATAAAAACCTTGCCATTTTTGCATAAGATCAAAAAAGGTCAGTGTGGAATTTAAATACTTGCATACTTACAAAAAAAGTTAGCTTTACTAAAAGAATTGTACAATTCTTTTAGTAAAGCTAACTTTTTTTGGTGGCAAGCTTGAGACATGATAACATTTTGTTGACAAAAAACCTGATCCTGATGTACCTATTCAAGTAGCATTCACCACCCCACTGCAAGATCAGAAGCCTGCGTTGACAAGTTTTTTCTAGCGATTCATAATCAATAATACTGCGTATATATTTATGTATTATGCATAACTTATGTTGCAGTTGTTTATTATTGTTATGTTGCGTATTATATTGACTGAGCAGAAAAACGATAAAAGGCATATTTTGCTGTTACTTTTATGCTGATGTGCAATTACAAGCTTTTCAGAATACATTTACATTCATCAACACTCATGTCAAATACTGTTTTAATTGCAGTTGTTCGCAAGTGGAATGTATTTTCGTTATTACCTTCACCCAACTTCTTGTTCTTGTCCTCGAAATTTTGCTCTATTTCAGGTGGTAGCACCGTGACCATTGTCCCAGCATCCCAAGAACCAGGCATGTTATTGAAACAACTTATTCATAAAATAAAAAAACCAAGTTATATTTATCATTAACGTTTCCAAAGCGACTAGAACATCAGTCTATCTCTAGATGTCTCCAACCTGTAACATAAAACCGTTTGAATAAATGAATTTGGCGCGAGCCACCTGGCCTAAATTTTTCATCCAATCAGAACACAGGCTCTTGAGATTACAGAAGTCTCTTCTGCACACCTCATGATCACGAGGTTATGGGAACCGGTCGATATTGATCTCCAAAAAAGAACACCAGTTGGGAAAAGTAATTCCCCTTTTGCCAGGACCCGCGCCACTGACCCTTAACTGGAGGGGCCAGCAGTACCCTATCTAGCCCCAATCGTGGAAAAAATTTTGCTGATTCTGTTTTAAGTATGGACTTTGGTTCAATTTATTAGTTGTAATCTACAGATTTATCTATCTAAAATAATTTGAGCTGGCTTCAAAATATTATTTCACAAAAAGTGGTGAGGCCATGCCACCCTGGCCTGAAACTTGTGTTTGATGCAGTCACTGGAATGGAGCAACAAAGGTCAGGCATGCTGAGCTGTAGCTGTAGCCCCTTTACCTTTTGCTGAAGTACGATATTCAGGTTGCGTCATCAAAGATAATTGTGGAAAAACTACCATAATAAAATCATGGGCAGCACCAGAGAGTGTTTTTTAAAGAATACAAAGAATAAAAGAAAAGAAACAGAAGAAAATAGTAGCGCCACGAATCCTTTTATTGCTTAATTTCCAAGGAATAAGCCGAGCTCTACGGGGCCTCATAAAGTAATGAATTACATTTTAAGACTGGAATCAATCAAAAGTAATAAAGACATGCCTTTAAAATAGCAGAATGTTTTAAACAATTGCAAGAACATGACTGCAAGAAATATTCTGAAATTTATTAAAGCTAATCTAAGACGCGTTGTCTCAAAAAATCTAAAGGACGCTGCAGCGTCTCCTTTCGGAAATACCTTCGGCCTCAGACAAACTCTCGCCGGCACTTCTTATCTAATGTTCCGCTAACATAACGAGCACCCCATAAAAGCATAGGCAAGAAAAGCATGAAACATTTTAGTGCGTTTTTCAAAAGGTGGCTTTTTAGTCTAATAATGCTATCAACTCGAGCCCCAGCCTTAATTTTCATGGCGCCGCCCCGGTCAAAGCTTGCCAATCTGTCTAGAGCTCAACCCCCCACCCCCCCTTTGGGGGTTTACCCAATCTCATTTTCAGTTTAAATGCCAGGACTGGATTCTACCTTTTGTCTCTTTTTTTAGCGCAGGTATGCCAATTGAAGATATCATATTTTCAGGTATCGTGTTTTCAGAAATTTATTCTAGCACGGGTATGAGGTTTTTAGAATTGTATTCCAGGATGAGTCATAAAATCTTTTTGGGCTGGCACATTTCTGTCATTTTTCTCCATAGAGAACCTCCCAAGGAGCCCACGCCCACCCTAAATTGTGCTTCGGCGTCCCTGCAGGTATTTTGGAATAGCTCTTGACTTTTAAATTTATATCAGAATGGCAATATTGAAGGCTAGGCGACATGAGGAAATATAAAATATCAGTCGATATCATCAATCATAGATATGATCATGAAATGATGCTGAATTTCACAAATAGAATAAAACAAACTTAGAACACAGGAGCTCAGGCTGTTACAGATACCTGGAGAAAGACCGATAGGCAAAAGCTCCATAATGAACTTGGCTGGTCTAGTGCCAATTTCAGTGCCGTCGGAACAAAATTTATATTGGAGAATTACATTACATTGAATTACAGAACAAAATTACATTGATCAAACCAATCCACAATGAAAAAGCTACTGTTTCAGCTACTTGTATAGAATCAACGCCTGAAAGTTTATCGCAGAGAAAAACCATACCCACATGTCCTTGATTCGTGTAAAGTGTTTTTGCATAATCTTGTTGAAATCCGTAAACAATTTTCAACAAATGTAGCTAAAAAGGGCGTTTCCCTAGTTCTCCATGTGACTGAAGGGTGTGGCCACAGAATATTTTTTGGGGGCCTAGTTTTGTAAATCACTCCTTGGCCCCAGCTGGCTATCGACGGCCCTGGCTTCAGGCAATAACTTCTGGCAAACCAAAGGCTGCATACATTTTGAAGATGTTTAGTACTAGAATTGAAAACATATATCATATGAATAGGAAGAGAATCGAGGCCCGTAGCCAAGGCGTGACATGGGATGGCAATGCCACCCCTAGAGCTAGAGAATACCAGCTGTTCGCAATCCCGAGAATTTTATCTCTTAATTTTTTTAATGAGTTTTCCTTTTCTATTGGATTGTCCTGACAATTTGAGTCAAGCTAATACTGGTGGAAGGAAAATTGCTTATTGAGGTCTCTTAATATCCATGTTGGACTTAAGATAGTGCCTGGCGCTAAGACTTTGCTGCTTAGCCAAAACTTTGCGCTACTTGGGCGTATCTCAGAAAAACTGCTGACACGTCTTCCTGCAACACGGTGGTCAGGGCATTTCAAAGTCACAAATTATGTAAATAAAAATTTGGGGGACAAATCAGTTTTGCAAAAGATAACAGTATCTTAAAGATGCTTTCAGGCTCAAAACGAAAATTTCTTAAGAATATCGACACTGGACAAAACTTATAGTATTCTTATACAAAAATAAATGCATGGAATGACCCGAAACGAACATTGTTTGTGCAGCAAGTTGAGTACATTGGTGATAGTGATTCATCCATCTTCTTTTCAAAAAGTTCAAAATCAAAAGCCTGTGAAAATTTTGTGGTAAAAAACTTGAATGTTTTGGGCATGTGCAGAAAAGAATGTGATGAAATTAATTAAATTAGTGAGAAATAGATCTTCCTGAGCTAGACTGTCAATGAACAAGTATTGCGTTCCATTGTACATCGCATGTAAAAGCTTCTGAAACTGGACTAAGTAGGTTTGAAAGCAAGTTTCAAAACTGAGAGGTAATATGCAGTAACGGAGACAGTGTTACGTCGTAATCGAAATGGAACATTATTATATAGGAATGCTTCCAGAGCACTTTTACCTTTCATAGATATGGTATAAAGAGGAAAAATGAAATGATACTGATTACGTAATATATAATCATGAAAGTCTTAAAACTAAAAACTAAGATGCAAACACCAATTATGTTACTTGAGGGAGATGATAGTTTCAAGGGCGATTTACATTGGTATCTGAGTGACGCTTTCTTCTATATTTCTATGTTCACTCCTTACAGTTCATGTATAGTTGCGTTCTTCGTCATGTTGCTAGCATTAAGTAGCCAAATATTTCCATGCGGACATGAATAACAATAAACAAATTAGAGGGAATAAATCGGGGGCTACGTCGAGGTACCCATCCAAATCATATAAGAATGAGGTTCATTGGAACAAAAAGGCAAGGTTCAATCAATATTTGGCTTAATTTTTATCAACAGCGGGCGCAAAGCAACTGACTGCAAAATCGTGCTTTCTTCAGGGAAATGACAAAGGTTCTTTATGCAAGCTTGCTTATTTGCAACATCTCTCTATACTACATTCAAACTATATTATCACCTGTGTAAGTAATGAAATTTAAACAGTCAAAACTCATAACATGAAACTGAAAAATACTCGATCATATTACTCGAAATCTTTTAAGCTTTATGGCTACATCATATTAATACAATGGTCGACTATTAATTAGACGAAAAGGTCCAATATTGCTAGCTTGGTTTTCCCAAAATGAACCTTTTGAAACTCAATAGCTTTAGGTGCATCCCAGCCATGCTAGTTACTTGTTCTGAATAGCTTCAGGAGCTGCCTTTTAAATGGGAGGGATGATGGGAGCTACAGGTGAGGTATCTTTGCTGTAGTAGAAAGGAATATTTCCATTCTGCAAATATACCATGTAATGCAAATATACCAGTTTGAGGTTTCTATATTTTGTGATGAAAAATAGCTAGAAGTCAATCTTCAGGAATCAGAATTGCAGGAAAATCAGTATTTGAACTGGACCATCGTAGCCAATGAAGTTAAATACAACAACGGGGAACAAGTAGCAATCTCAATCGTGTGCTTTGTTGCTTAAATTAACAATAACATCTAAATACGCAAAACTTAAAGCGAATATTTCGTTCAATAAAACAGATCTTGGTTGACGATTGTGTCCACCTCGTCCAAGATTTCTCCTGTGATCTCGATAGCTTCTTTTGCCATCTGACTGTCATATTTGTCATGTGGTATGTCAGGATACATCCATTGATCAGGGTATCGCATAGCAGTAGAACTCTTCAGTAAACTCTCCAACCTAGAAGCAGCTATCTCCAAGGTGTTTTTTCCGCTCAACAAAGCAATTCTCCGAAGGGAATGATGAATTATACTTTCGCAATTTTTCATGTATGCGGCAGCTTTCAAAGCTTTTTCTGCTGCCTGTTATAAATTACAACCAAGAAATATTTAAGATTAACAGAATCAAATAATCAACATATTACTATAAACTGCCTTTACATTTTGCACTAATGTCTTTGTCCTTCTACAAACGCAACGGTAGTTTCCTGTCCATGAGTTGTAGATAATATATAAATATGAATTCGGTCAACATACGTAGGCCTTAACAACCAAACAGAAAAACTATAAAATAGTATCTCCTGAAAAGCCCAAATCAGTTTCAGACTGGGGCAACAAAACGAACTGGGGGCGCAACAGGGCAACTGCCCCTACTTAGTAGCGAGAATGTAAAAAGAGTTCCTCATTTTCATTTTCCGTATACTTATTTCAATGAAAATATCCAAAAAGTATTTTATTTTCCGATAGGCCATTCTTAAACGATCGGTTTAGGAATCTGATCAATTGCTGCAATTGGTTCTCATTAGAAAATGATCTCCTCTGAGTGAAAATGACTTGATATTCCAATGCTTTCATTGCTTCTGCTAATTATACTGATGTTATTGTTTCCTTAGAACAAACCAAAACAGTGGTGCTTTACTTAAAGGCAGTCTGTCCCCTAATGTGCTCAACTTCATTTTCACGGGAGTAAAATTTTAAATCAAATGGCTGTGTTCCTGTTGTAGTGAAGCTCTGGCTAGAAAAATTTGGTTTCCAGTTTGGTTTCTGGGACAGATATTTCAACAGCAAAAGGAAATGCTTCCATTATCATTATTAAATTCTAGTAATTAAGTCTCCTTGCTATTCCCCAGAGGTGGCGCCAGGGGGGCTACAGCCCCCCCGTCAAAGCTGCTTAGCCCACCCGTCGGAAGATATACGAAGAAAATCTATAATTTTGTCGGAGCAAGATTTTGCTACCTCTTGTAATGTTTTAAGAAAAAGAAGGAGTAACGGTTACGATTACGGAAATCCCATTGAGTATAAATCTACAACCAGGTAACTCCCAAGTAATTTACACACAATATTGGAGAACTCAACCCTCTCTTTCGGCATAACAAACGGCAATCGGACTATCAATATAAGTAAAATTCTTAAAGGCAACTGAAACACGATTTTAAAAGATAAAGAACTAAAGCAAGTGTGGAAACAGCCCCCTATACTAGCATTAAAAAGACACAAAAACATTGGAGATCTACTAACCCACACTTTGGGAAACATTGTGACACCCCCTAAGGATATTAATTCTAAGAGTAAGGTTGTATTGTAAAGGTAGAGAAAAATGCTTCAATGAAACATTTTCCAGTGAGCGCGAATAATCGAAATTCAAAAATATCCTTGTCTTCTGCGGCAACTATGGTGCCGCCACAGGTAGTAACTTTCGTGCACTTGTTTATTGCGACATGCGCGTCTGCAAAAATAGCAAAGACTCGACATACCTAAGTAAAATTGGTCCTTATTCTGTTTGATGATTAAATGACGTCTTTTTCTTACCCAGGAAAGGTTAGAGCGTTAAGAATATTGAAAAATCACGGAAAAAGATCTGCAAAAAACTTTCTTTGTATGTCTTTTCTCTTTTAGGGATATTTTCTTAAAAAAGCGAGTCCCCCACAAAAAATAAGAATCCCGCTCTAAAGAGCTGCTCTTTCCTGTTTGTTGAATTCATGTCCTGTCATAATCTCAATGTTTGTGCGACTCTGGGATTCCATGTTTTCACTCCGATTGCCTAGCCCCCCTGTCGGAAGGTCAAGCCCCTCCGTCGGAGAATTTCTAGCGCCACCACTGCCATTCCCGGTAGCTCTTTGCTCGCAATTTTAAAATTCTGTCCACTGCCGCAGCTAGGCCAGCCAAAGCGGGCAACGTAATCCGTTAAGGCGGGAAGACTTATTGTTCATATTAGGCAATCATTGAAGAGACAGACTGCCTTGAAGGCAATTGACATAAACTTAAGTATCTATAGCCACCTGTCAATCAGCAACTGGCCAATCAGTGAGCGCAATACCACTCACACGCTTATTGATTGGCTAATATCGATTGACAGATGGCTTAAACTACTCTAGTATCGGTCAAATTCCTTTAGTAGATTTGTCTAGTCACACTTTTCAGTTTCCTCCATCTCATGGCAATGGTAAAGCTGACGGTACTAAAGGCAGAGCAACAGTCAATTCAAGTTTCTATGGTAACATAAAAACGAAATTATCACTCTTGAAACGCATGGAAATTTATAAGTTGACGCATGTCAACTAAAATGAATTTGAATGGTCAAATAGAATGCTACATCAACAAAACGAACTGGATTTTATGCAAGGACAGGTATCATGTTTTCAGAGTTTTACTCCAGGATAGGGTCATAAATTTTGTCTGGCAGGCACATCCCAGGGGGGTCACTAGAACTTCTTATATACAAGGGGTTCCATCCGAAGTTTATGCGTAAGAATTTTCTTTGTGACACCTTTTGATACTTATGGGTTCAACTAACACAAATCAGTGTCAAAAACAAGAATAAAGAACAGATGTGTTTATTTTAGGAATCAATCTAAATTATCATTATTATGTTTTTAACAAAAAGATTTTTAGCTGATCCACAATTCTTAGCTGATAATTTTGTGTCTGTTAAATTCGTTTCTGATAACTGCGGACGGACCTCCCCGTATATAAAAAGTTTGAGTGACGTTCCTGGGAGGCACATCCCCGCTATTTTTCTACAAGGTAGCCCCTGGCGGCAATTGGTAAATTTCAGAATAGATAACAATCCATAAATCCGGAAGAAAAATTGAACTGACCTGATGACATTTAAAGCAAATCCATTCGCAATGGTCCTCAACAACTCTCTTTGCGGCTTGGTAATCGTACTTGGCTTGACGATACCATCTCTTTGCTTGATAAGGCTGTGGGTTTTCTGCATCATGTCTCGGCACCCACCAGTCTCCTCTGCGTGTAAAATTATCAGCTCTTTGTCTTCTGCTCCTAGCAAACATGCTACCTCTTGTTCGATACCTATTGAATGAGCTTCTCCAGAAGGTTGTCACCACATCGGCTCTACACAAACGGCCGGATTCCTGTTGTATAAATTGAAATATTTCTGTGCAAAGCTCTTCCCGTCCAGGATTTTTATCGGGGTGCCAAATCAACCATAAGCGCTTTATAACTCCCTTAGCATAGGTTTCGCCGCGTTCAAAAGCACTCTTTAACTCTTGGGCAATCGCCTTAATGATTTCTTCTTTCGTTGGTGATTCATCCACATCCTGAAAATCAACCTCTCGTAAGAATTTATAGAGCTCTGTTTTATGGGCAGTCTTGGACTCCCCACAGCCTAAATCGATTTTGTAGAAATCGCCTGGCAACACTTCCTCGATGACTGCGTACATATAACTTGGGTCTCCATTCTTGTCCTCCATCGCCGGATCCTCGACTTCAAATGCGACGTATTCACCAACTTCAAAAATTGCAATGTCATTGTTCAGAAGGCAGTGTAGAACAACTGGGACAAGATCTCCTTTAGTGTAGGGTGCTTTTATATAGCTTTTATAAGAGCCATCATTTCGTATTCTCTGTTTATCGAGATATTCATGCAGTTCTCCAATCGGTTTTGTAAGAATAGGAACCAAAAAAACCGCCAGCGAGGCGCTGGTTAGAAGCGTGCTAAAGTATTCTATGACTGCACTAGCTACTTCAGAAACATCGGGTTCTCCTGCAACAGCAGCCAAGTTAATTACCAAGCTGTCATCCGAAATCTCAATGTAGATATCACGACTCTTGATGCTTCCTTCGATGATGCTGCCAGCTAGGGAATACAAAGCAGTTTTGATCTCTCTTTTGCTAACAACACTTACATTTGCCAATAACTCATGAGGTTTTTCTGCTTGGCTTGTGACTTCTTGATCGTCGGTCAGTTGGTGTTGCAGAAGGCGTAGAATGCACGAAACTACTTCTTCGCTATTAAAGCGCTCCTCCAATTCCTTTGCAAATCCCTCGTTTGGCAATTTTTCAGAGGGTAGCATCCTTTCTTCTATCAGTTGGCTGAGTTTCTTAGGTTTTATGCTTTCTGGCAGTCTTTCTACAAACTGGCGCTCTTCAGTAGCTTCTAAATTGAGCTGCATACGGGGCTTTTTAAAACTTCTTAGCCGATCTTCAAGGTGATGGTCATCAAAAAAGACAAGGTCTTGAGACTCGAAAAGTCGGATGGTCTTACAGTTTTGACCAAAACTCCCCGGCAGATAAAGCTTTGTAACGCTATCTGGAAAATCTTCTTTTTCGAGCTTAAGAAAAATTTGTGGAAGGCATTGCTTGACAATTCTAGCTTCGTTTGGACCCAAATCTTTTCCATGGCAGCAAGACTCTAAATCTTCCAGTACTCTAGCTAGTTGCTCAACAGTTGGCTCGGCAGACATTACGATTTTCTTGAAAAGCCCCGCATACTTTTCTAATTCGATTGGTATCGAAAATATGTATGGGGGGTGGTCCCAGCCAGGCTTCAGAGTAACCTTACTTGAAATGGATATCATGTTGCTTTTAGTCAACACAAGTGGAATCGCAGCAAGCCTAGCACATGTCTGTTCGTCAATTTTGTCAATGTCGTTATTTAAAAATTCATAAGACGAGTCAAAAACCGATCTGAAATGCTGCTTATACTTTGCGTCATAACACTTGACACCCTTTCTTTTCGGCGTCAGCAAATCAGATCTACTGACGTTGGCAAGATTCTCGGCAACGATGCTGCAGCTCATTTTTTTTACACCGAGCTGTTCTAATGGTAATTCAGTATCAATGAAAGAAGTTTTTGTATAGCTTGGGAGAATCTTTGTTACTGTCCAAGCGAGCTTGCAATTGTCAACAAAGTGATCATACTCTATAGAGCCTTGAAAAGAGAGACGTTCTTGAACATTTTCTGGAGTCTTGATTTCCAAGAGCATCTTCGGAATGGGATCAGAGAGCATAAAAGGTATCACACTAACTTGTCTATGAAAATTGACATTTCTTTTTAGATCATCAGAGCTACGGAAGTATTCAATAAGACACTCTGCCTTTTCTTTTGCATCAGATTTGTCAGATATGTTAGATACTTTTTCAGCGAATTCACAAAAGTGTGATTGTGATACCTTGGAGATAAGACCAAGCATTTTGAGGAATTTCAGCCAACGTTCACTGCAACAAGATTTTGGTGGAAAATCTTTATCTTCCAGCATCAATTTGAACAATTTCACTTCCGGATCGAAAAAACTTGATGTGGGTAGGAGACTTCCGTCTCTTTCAAAGCATCCTATCGAACGTAGCGTAGAAAAAATTGAAGGATGATATTGGTCATTCCATGTCCACTTGTCTTTAAGAAAGGTAAGATGTTTCATCCGTTCTTCAGCCGTGAACGAGTTGAATGCTGGAAGAATCACTTTACAGTATACGTCATCAGCTTGGCTACCTTTGATGTCAATGAAGGAATATAGAGATTGTAAGTAACCATCTTCCTTTAAGAGCAATATATTTGATAAATCTTGCAATTTCGAGATTCCAGCCTTCGGAATCTCATCAGAAACAAAATACCAACGATAAGCTTCTGATAATGCTTTGAGTTTTCCTCCCAAATCCTCCCAAACTGGCAAGCGCTGCAATTGAGAAAACCCACATTTCAGGTCCTTTTTCTTTTCACTAATTCGACGTTGAAAGTAATGAAGAAGATTCCAGGCACAATCTTTGGACAAGCAAGTAAACCTGGAGTCAGATCTTTTCTTGTCATGCACCAAAGCATCAATAAATGCGCAAGGGTCATTCTTATTAGCAGCAAATTTCCGAATTAGGTTGATTACGCCTCTAATATTTGAGGGAGACAACCGCATTTCCTTTTCACCTTGCGTCAACAGAGGTTCGGGGTAGGGTTCTGCTAATCCAATTTCTTTTACGATGTCAACGACCTCGCCAGCAGGGTCTATAGCAAAACAAGCCAGGCTAATCTTTGTCAGGTAATACTTTGAAGGCTTTTGAAGCATGCCGGTTTGTCGTCTGATTGGAAAGATACACCAGTGCAGCATTCCTCTTAACAATATTCTTGGACTGTCATCAGTTTTTGACGCTGGCTTGTTCAAGGCTTGGTTATTGGCTTGTTCAAGGTTTTTCTTCAATTGTCCATACTCCCTTTCCAAAAAAATCCAAATATCTCTCAACCAACTCTTTGTTGGGAACATTTCATGTACATTTTGTTCTGTAATGTCGATCTCTTCCATCTCTCTCAACCAAGGCTCAGAATCTTCTTTCAGTGCCTGTTCAAGACTCTCTAGAGTCAGTCTTCTTACTGGGCCTCCCACGTTGTCCTTGTATTTTTCCAAAACATCTTTCAGTTTAATGTGAAGTGTGCTCCGTTCTCTCTTTGGGCACAAAGTAGACAAATAATCGTAATACACGAACTTCTTGCTATCAAATACTCGCAGCATGTTGTCTTCAGTTACTAACAATGGTAATCCTTCTAAGTCAAGTTTTTCGTTCATTTGCTTTTCATCCACCTTCTTATTAAGGTCTTCGTTAATTTGGCAGTAGCGCAACAAATTCCTTACTGTTTTCAAATCTGCAAAAGGTGATTTTGTCAACAGAATTGCATCTTTACCGGATAGAACAGAATCTGCGTTCTCTTTCAAATATTCTGCAACAATCGCAGGACTAAGACGCTCCAGCGGTACTTCAGATTCATCAAAGCCTCTCACAATATGTTCTGGTACACTATATATGTTTAAGCCACACTTTGCTAGTGCAATGCAAAAGGCGGATTTGGCTTTTTCATCGGAAAAAAGTGAATTTTTAAAAGATGGAATGTAGAACTTCTTTGATTCTGAACACGGCGGGTAGAAGTCCAAGCCAGGAGACTCAAGGGTGTTGTCATACTTGAGTGCGGGTAAGCAGTCTATTTCATCTTCTTTCAGTTGTTTGTAAAAACGGACAATGAGCTCTTTGTCATACTCATGTGCCTCTTTGTTACTATTGATTTTAGGGAAAAGGTGGAAATACCGATATATTTCACGTGGATGGAATGGTTTATCACTGAAGATTTTAGTTTCAAAACCCTTCTCGAAACTGAGCTGTTCAGGCAGAAATATTATTCTCAGATGGTTGACATCAGAGCGAATGAGCTGAACATAGGATGGCAATACACAATTATCTATGATGTAGTAGTTCCAACTTGTTTGATAGCCATCGCCATTGGTGTACCATAATCGCCTTCGAGATTCGTAGTCCAAGATAAACTTTCCGTTAATATGAACTGGGAGGCTGCTTGTTACTGTCAAAGGCAGAAGGCAATATACTTTCCTGATAGAGTTACGTTTGTCGCCAGCTTCTTCTTTACCTGGATCTTTACGTTTGCCACTAGCTCGTTCTTCACGAGCTATTCCACCAATAGGAATTAAAGGGAGCTCTTTATTTTTGTACTGCTCTTCGATCTCTTTTGGCAGATCTTGGCTGTTCACCGATGCACACTTTTGGATAATCTTCCATTTACCCTCACTCTTGCCATCAAATTGCAGATCAACCATGTATTCAAATGGCTCATAATCTCGCTTGGCATTACTTCGATCATATCTTGACTTCACAAGAGTTAGGCACTCAGCATTCATCTTTTCCAATTTCTGTGCGGAAGGAAATGAAAGTTTTGCCTTGAATGAGGTAATGCGGCTAGATTTACCATGACTATCAATGCGATGAAGCTCTACTGATCTGACCTTTTTGAGAAACAACAGTGCCTCAGAACCCTCCCTTTTGAAAGATTCAAACATATTGAGTATTTCTTCTATTGTTGTAGGCTCATTCTTTAAATCTGAACTCTTTGCCATCTCTTTGGTCCTAAGAGGCAAGCGAAATATGGCCGATTTCTTTTCTGTAAGTGCCTCTGGCAAAAATGTAGCATATATATCTTTAAAATGATCCCGTAAGTAATCTCTTGCATTTTCAAACATCCTTCCTGGCTCAGCTTCGGAACATTCATCCAAGAACCTAGCATGGGGATCAAATATGCAAAGAACGTCTTCACCTCTATCCTTTAAACCTGCAAGCAAACAAGGAACATCAGATATATGGTATACCACATTGAATCCAATACCATATTGCCCAGTTTTCAGTACATCGTTGGATTTTCTTCCTTCCCCAAGGTTTTGAATTCCCTGAATATCATGTTCAGTGAATGGAGCATCATTGTAGATCACGAGTGCTGGTCCTTGTAAGGGCCTCCACTTGTCCCCAAATATACTATCAGAAGGATGAAATCTCTCGTCTAGCACGAGCTTGACTGTGCTGGCACCAGCATCGTCTGCATTTTGCAATAGCTCGTAAAGAATTTGCAAGTTTGATGGATAAGCATCCAGAATCCTTTTCAGTCGCACTGTTAACTTCTCGTGTTGGCCAAAGGGTAAACCTCTTGACTGGGAGAGTATGGATTTAGAGCGAGCTGTTCTTGCTCCAAGAGCCAAGGCTAAATCTGGAGGAATATCTTTATGAAGGTATCTCAGTAGAGTATCTGTCTTAAACCAGACTGAATCTTTGACAAATATTGCATCTTTATCTCTTAAAATACCATTTTCATCTGGCAGGACAATATTTGCCTGCAGAGCGTTTGGTTCGCTCGCTTGATTTTCGTCTCTGATCGACTCGAGAAGATTCCTGACTAGTTTTACTTGCTTGGACGAAATTATTCTGGTTCCAAAGTAGTCCTTAAGCTCTTTTAATGCATTCTCATAATTTTGTAGTGTAAACGCTTCTTTTACACCCAACGCAACCATAAGCTGATGATAATACTCTTCATAGTGTGGTTGCAGTTTGAAAAGATAGGGTTCAGCGGAGAACTGATGATTGAAAGCAACTTTTTCTGATCGAACAATATCTCCCTGCTCTGTTAAGATAGCTGATTTGTTGTGAAATTCTTTCTGTAACTGTTGCTTGATTGAATTGTTGTTCCTCAGCTTCTGAGATAGATATTGGTAGATGCTTTCGAAGACTTCAGACAGTGATGCTTTGCTTTCACTGTTATTTAGTTTGTGTTGTGAAATCAAACAGACTTGTTCAGCCACAGCAGACACTGAAACTTCCATTTTCATGCCGAGGTATCTTCTGATATCGTTATTTCTGAGAGCGATATGTCCATCCTCAGCTATTACTTCATGACAACCAACGACGTTTTCTAATTCTCCTATGCAGGCTTTTTGTGGCGCGACAAATTTTGTTGTGATTGTGGAGCCTTTCCAAGGAAGGAAGCCAAATGAAGATGGTTTCCTCTTTACCGGAAGGAAGGGAATATTTTTCCACTCTAGAGTTTCAGGGTGATTTTCATCTGAAGGTAGATTCATTTCAGCAAGCAACTTGAAAATGGTGCGAACTCTATTGACAGCAGCTTTATAATCATCTTGGCCAAGGTCGTTAACAGTTTTGGCACGATTCACCAACAGCCCAATGGTTATGCCATCTGATATCATTCCTAGTTTTTCTAGTTGATGCAAAGTTAAGTAGTCTTGTAGGAGTTTAGCTGGAAAAACATTTTCGGAAATTCGATACAAAGCGGCGGCCTTGCTTTCTGACTTCACTAGATCAGCAGGTCTTTTAAGGATACCTTTGGGCTCAGTAGGCACGCAACAGTTGGACTTAAATGCTTCAAAAACTTCCCCACTGTTGAAATACTGCAACGCTGTGCGAATTATCTTGTCTCGGTCTACCTGTTGCATCCTTGGGTCTCCAATATTGGGAATGAAACTCACAGTGAAGAATTCAGTGAAGCTGAGGGTGATATTTTTGAGAGCGTCTTTCAATCCAGCATCTTTAATGGCGGCAACAATGTGCTCAGGGATTCGCAGAATTTTCTGTGAAGGGCAGAAAACCTTGTAAACATTCTCAATGGCTGGTCCTATACCAGTGTCAATGACTTTATTCTCCAACGTCCGAATCTTTGACCAATTTAGCCAGGAAAGAGACTGCCCAGAAACTTTTGGCCATATTTCCAGGTCCTCCTCTATTGCTTTACTGTAAAAACCTTTAAGCAAGTTTTTATCCAGCAGAGATGCCTCAACAAATGGCCACAATTTGTACCAATCTTCTTCGGTGTCTAATTTGACAGAACGACTAAGGGCAATCAACAGTTGTACATAAGCGGAGGGCACAGGACCTGACATTAAAAGCCTGTTCCAATGCGACTCAGCACTATCTAATTCCTTATCATCCTCGCTACCTTGCTGAAAGCTCTTGCGATCTTTCGTTAATGCAAATGTTCCATTTATGTGAACATGGAGTCTGTTTGGCATTGGAAGCGGCAAAAAACAAAAGAAATAACCCTTAACTGACTGGTGCTTGAAAGATTTGCGACTCTCGTCAAGGCAGACTGCAACAGTAGAAACTGGGTTTAGCTGGGGATACTGAAAAGCTAGATCCATACAATCCGACGCATCTATGACAGTGTGTAGGAGCCAGGTTTCCTTTGAATCTTGGGCAGACACTTCAAAATCATCTCGAGCTTTATTTGAAATCCTGCAAACAATATCAACCTTGTGACCCATTTGAAACTCTTCCATTTGCTCACCTTGCAGCTTTCTGCTAACCATTGCAGACGATTTGCTCATAACTTGGAAAGTTTCAAGCGACCCAGTGTCAGGCCTGTACACAGATTTTTCAATCTGCACTAACAGCGCCATTTCGTCCGGGGAAGCTGCATTCTCTGAAAGGTGATAGAATTGAACCCGAGAAACGTTTTGTGTAAACATCAGCAACCTGCTTGCTTCACATGCAAACTTTTGTATTAAAACTTTCATTTCATTCTTGTCATAGCAAAGGTTCTTGATCTCGCTTGCTCCAGCTTGCTTTCTCGTTCTCAACGGAAATCGAAATATTGTTCCATCAAAATCTCTGTAATTCGACTCAAGACTGGCATCCATACCAAAAACGCCATCGTAGACTCTAATCTGATCTTGTAGCCTCCTCAGCCTGTTTCTTTTAGGACCCAATGGAATCTTTACACCAGGCTTAGATTTGTCCCGAATAGCTTTCCCAAGATTAGTTGTATGAGGGTCTAGGATAACCAGCTTATTGGCACTGACAAAACTTGGGACGTCAGTAATGTTATACACCGCATTGAAGCCTAACCCAAATTTACCAATCTTATCTCTTTTATCTTCTTTAGTTGCACCACTAAGTTTGACGATGTTATCAAAATCCTCTTCACTGAACTTGGCATCATTAAAAGCCCAAAGAGCCGATCCCTGGAGATCTGCCATTCCTGGGTCTATCAATTGGCTTCTCATATTTTCGTTTTGCCTCTCATCATACAGAAGTTTAACTTGTGTGGCATTAGCATCATCTGCATTCTGGATCAGTTCCTTGAAAATAGCAAGGCCATCACCATAGTCTTTAAGTATATTACTTATTCTTCGTGTAAGGGGCTCGCTTTGTCCATACTCCTCAAAAATTCCAAGATCTTCTGCTCCAATAAGTTGACTAGTCAGACTTTTTATGTGAAGCTTTTGTGCAACCCACTCTGGGATTCTGTCATGCAGATGAAAGACATTTTCCAGATTGTTTGTATCTTCATCGTCATTATAGTGAATACTCGAACTATAGACTGCTTGATCTATTCCAACCAGCATAAAGGGCCTGCCATCCGTTGAGTGAACTGGAACTACAATCCTATTAAGATTTTCCCTTGATAATTTTCTTTCTGCCAAAATCGAAAGAAGTCGTTCGCATATATTCAAGTCACGCGAAGCTTCCTCGGGGCTACGTTTACTGTCGTGCTCTTCTTTAATTTCTGATAAGATTTGAATAAAAAACTCGTCAGAGTACTCTGTAATACCTCCAAACATTTCTATTAGCTTTTCAAAAGGCTTCATGTCTATAGGCAATTTGTAGACAAATGGCTTCAGATCCAAGTCTTTCAAGTTATCATGAAGCACAATCTGTTTCGGAGATGCGAAACCTGAACCGTGCCAAAGCCATTTGGCATCGGGGAAATATTCTTTAATGGCATCTAGTAATGCACTGCGGTGCCCCTCCTGTGCCTCCTGTGCTTTCTGTAGCAGAAATTTGTATACATCCTTTAAAACTATAATAAACTCATTCTTTTCTGATTCTTTATAGTCATGAATCACACAGGACAGGTGCTGGCAAACTTTGGCAACACTTATTGTTTCGCGATGCAGAGATGAAAAAATTACCTGAAATGTCTCAAAATCCTTGCTTATAATTGGCATCACGCTTCCAAGCAAATTTGAAGCCGTCCCAAAATGCATCTTAACAAGACACGAAAATTGGTTAGCATTACTAGCATCAGCAAACCATTCCAGACTGCTTGGGTAATGCTTTGGTCTTTGCTTTTCAATTGGAATCCAGGACTCGGTCTCTAAAATCCTCTTTAATTCGCGATCATTCAGCAAATCGATGTGATCTTTCAGATGTATAGCGATATTTTGTGCCTTGTTACGTTTTTCTGTCACTCCAATGTCTTTTGAACCTGCCACCATTTTGATGCAATCAGTTATGTCCTTTGCTGTGACACATTTCTCTGTTTTTAAATCCAACTTTCTCAATAAGCTCAGCTTTGGTTCAATTGAGAAATCTTCAGATGGGAATCTTCCAACCTCACCCTTGAAAAGTTTGGTAAGGCGTTCACTGGGTTCAAACAGTTCACGCGGTTTTCTCCTTTCTCCACTGTCTGCAGTTACAAAATCTATGCTTTTTAATTTGCGCCTGATCTCACTCGCGAGAGCGCTGTTGTTAAAAAGCCCTGAGGTAGCAGTCGTCACCACAAAATTTAACTTGGCAATGTAATCAGCAGTCGATTCTCCAGCCTCAATTTCTGGTAACAGGTATTTCAGAATAAGTTCCTCTTCAGTTATCAACCGCCCTCCTAGTTTTTCAACAAACGTTTTCTGGCTTCTGTCTGTGTACTTTAACAAGGTCTTGCAAGGGACCAAGTCTGATTGCACGTTAGGGCAAATTTCCTGACATTCATCAATTGACACAAGATCCTGGCTATTTGTGTTTTCGTGAATTGGCAATGACTTGATCAGCTCAATCAGACCCTTTGTTGGTTGCTTTGCGAGAAAGAATTCACAGATCTTCTCTCTAAGCAAAGATTTTCCAGCCATCGAATATATTTGAGAGATCTGTTTGGACAGTTTTCTATTTCCAATCTTCTCCGAAATATTCATTAAAAGTTTTGTTATGCCTTCAGGATTACAGGTATATAGATACTTTCCAAACAAGCTCTTGTTCTGTTGAACATAACCAGGTAAGCCTTCCACAACTACGAATCCGATTTGCTTCATAACCGTAACGAGATCGTCCTCTCTTTCATTTTCGGTGTGTAGGAGAAGGAGGGAGTTGGCCTGTAAAGATCCAACTTCATTGTTCTTCATCGGAATCAAAGGAAGTCCTTCAAACAATTCTAGATCGCCAAGCTCATTCAAATATTTCCAAATTTTCTGAAACCAGTCTGCCGTCATACACTTTTCGCGATTGGCGATAAAAGAGCTGGTCTTCCCGAGGCACTTGCACAACAGAGTTGCAACAGAGGATTGGTCAAGCATGGAAAGTTTACAATATCCTGAAACAAAACTCTTCCGTGATTATTCTTGATTTTCTTTTATAATTTTGAATTTCTAAATTTGCTAACTTCTAACTTTGAATTTCATTGCTAACTTTGAGTTGGTAAAGGAACTGAACGGAAGGTTAACATACCTTCAATGTTACAAAACGCTGAAAGGTTTCAAATGGTGGTGGGTGGGGGGAGTTTTGTCTAAAAATTCAAGATAAGATGCTACCAAAGCAGCACTGTGCTATGGGTTTGAATTGTCAGTCATTTCTTGTTTCTACAAGAATCAAAGTCTGGATTCTAAGACAATGCATAGGAGTTTTAAGGGTTCTTAGTTTTCGGGTCGCGTTCTAATCGTGAAAATTATGAGAAGGCATCACAAATGACAGTCAGCATTCTTGTGATCCGTCGTATCCTAACAATCGTTGCAAAGCTTGTATCCCTCAGTCTTTGTTACAATGTTGCTTAACTTGAATATACTTTGGTTACTGGTTAAATATCTGTAATATGTTGTACAAAATTCTTTGCCAGAGTAATTAGCTTTGCATTAGGGAAAGGGATAACTTTGGCAGCTGTCAAACTGAAAGATATGATAGTGCCTGCCATCCTCAAATTTCGAACTATATTTATCGTGAAAGTCTCACGTTTAATTAGATGCCACTTTTAAAATTTTTAGCAGCTAGACATATATGGCTGTTTCGATGTACTTAATAATCTAACCAACCTTCTTCATTTCAAAAAATATTATATGGATCATACTACAGATTCAGTCCATGTTTGCAAGCATAGGGCGATAAAATCTGTACGAGTGATGCCACTGCTTACAGGGCTCAAAACTAAATGGAAAGGTAAGCGCATTGCAAATTCTTGACTTGCATTTCCAATTATTTACACTCATCGATGCTCAACTAGAGATCAACATATAAGGACAAACAGACTTACCCTTTGTCGCAATTGTATGCAGTTTTTGCAAAAGCTTTTCATCATATCTGTTTTTACCAGGTATTCCCGACAGCCAGGTAATAAATCTTTGCTGTGTTTCTCATTTGGTATGAAAAGTTTCTTGTCGTTCTCAGGAAGTGCAAATGAATCATTTTCCATCAAAATCAATGGGAGTTTGCACAAGTGAAGAATATCTTCTGGTTCAACTATCATATAGTTAAGAAGATCGAGCCTCTCGTTTTGGCTCAGGCTTTCCAGACCGGTTGAATGCAAACAAGCAGTCTCACGCACTTTATCCGGACAAAGGATTTTACGAGATTGGGATCCAGGCCGGTTCAAAATAGTTTCAAAGTGCTTTGGAATTCTGACGGCCATTTCATTACTCTCAACTAAATACTTGAATGCTGTTTTATATCCTGAATACTGATGACGTTCAAAGTAAGCTTCTTTCAGGAAAATCCACTGCCCACCCCCTGCGTCTGTCCAGACACAGCGTTCTGGCAAAACTTTCTCTAGGCAACTATCTGAAAGTTTTTTCCACTTGCTATCTACCTCTTCAATATCTGGCAGCATATAATACACCCGATTGCTTGAAAATTCTCCTTTCTGCAAGAACAGGAACAAATCTTTGTACGCAAGGGGGAGGACTTTAGTTATAAGAAACATGTTCCATAAAATCTCTTTATCGTTATGATCCTGCTGGCCAACTGTAGCCCATTTCAAGTCTTTTCTGTCAGGCCCAAGTGCAAAGAAGCCGTTGAGGTGTACGGGCAGCCCTGTTGTCTTTGTCTGTACAATCGGAAGAGGCAAACTGCAGAATACATGGCCTTCTAAAGATTGTTCGTCTTCAGGAGAGTAAGCTATCCCAACAATTGGGATGTAACCAAGTTTTTCTGCATCTCCACGATTAATCAATTCGTTTTCTTTTGAAAGTGTCGATCCAGCATAGTAATCAACAATAATAAACCTTTTGATTCTGCAGAAATCCCTGATGTTAGATCTTGTTTCTATCTGTATGTCATGATAGATAGAAATATTTTCTGACATCTTTTTCTTCTCATTTTCTTTAACCTGCATTCACAAATAAAGATTTCCAACATGAAAATGGATAAAAGCTACTACAATGATGTAAGTGAGGCAACAAGCAATGAGAGCCAGCCTACATCTATAACAAGGTATGTCTTGTGCATCACTTACAACCATGGTGCTGCCTCGGGTAGCACGAAAATCGAGATGTTTTGTTAAGATTAAGAAGACATACTTATCATAAAAAATTGAGTAACAAATTCTAATTTTTCACAAACAAAGTAAAAAAATGTTTTTGTTCCACATATTAATTGAATTTTGTTATAGTTACAGAGGCAAAGGTTTAAATTTCTAATTAATTTTTCAATGACTCTTGAAGTTTCTTTAATCTCAGTTTCAAAAGTAAAATGGCCGGGATTTCGCAATTGTTCATAGGAAACCCGTATATGCCTGGGCCTAGGGGCCCCAAAAATGTTAATGCGACCCTGATCAAGAGTCCGTTATATAAATTAAGAAATGGCTCTTTTGTTCAACTTTTTCTATTAGATCTGTGGGGAGAGAGAGTTTCTCGTTGGCATCAAGTCTACCCGACAATTAAATCTACTTGTTTATCATCCATCAAATACATTTTCATTTCATTTTAAATTTTATCAAACATGTAATAATAAATCCAGTATAAGTTTGAATAATCATCAACTTTTCCCCTTTTTTATTGGGAAAAGTCGGGCAGGTTTTGAAAGCATTTCTGCCTTATCGAATTTTGCGTGAATGAATCTGAATGGGGCGATGCAAAAAGTCTTAACATACTCAGAATGCTTGGCTCTGCCCAGATGTTTGTTTTCTTTCTGAGGACTACTGCGAGGGAGACAGACCGAGAAAAGAAAAGCAACATAGACAGGGTATGCAACTATTTCCCTTTTGATCCGTCTCATTCACAGTGGTCTACAGGAAGAAAACAAACATCAACTGCAAGACTGCTCTCATATCCAGCGCTTTGATCACGTGGGTGCCGCGACCCTTCTCGCGCGCGTACCTTCATCGCTGGAGTTCCTTTTGACATCCAAATTATTTCGGCGTGCAGTTTGTTCAATAACCATGTTTAAAATTTGAACGTACACGAGGTCATTTTCGTGAAATATGATTTGTTATTTCAATAGCGATCGCAAGCGCTCGCGATGGGACTCATTCTTGGTCGAACCCCTAGAGCGCCCGAAGATTTGCCGCAGCGATCAGATTAATCGCAGAAGTTTTATTAAATGCGCATGCTCTCATTTGATCTTAGCGCCCGCACGCTCAAAACGCTAGATATGGAGAGCAGCCGAAATAGCCTTTGGGAAAGTTTTAGAAGTCTGTAACACAGGTTAGACAAATTGAGCTATGGGATAAACAATGTATCGTAATTTCATGGATAAACGCACTGTGCACTTATTTAAAAAAACTAAGTTGAAGGGTGTGTGCGATGATTTGAACGAGTGTCGTAACAGACCAGTTGGTAAATCTAAACAAAAACAAGCTTTTCGAAATACGGGCATGTATATGCTTAAATTCGTTAAAGGAATATATCATGAAAATCATACCTTTTCCATAAATGTCTTGCTTTCCTGTTGGTTGCCATTTTTGTTTGAAAAAGAAAACAAAAGCGTGGCATCATCACTGTCTTTTGCACGGTAGTAAAACTCGATGTTCTTGAGGCTTCTAAGGAAAAGCAAAGCCAAGTTTCCTTCACTCTCGAAAGACTTGAGCAGACCCTGCATCTTACGGTCATTGTAGATCGTCTCGGATAGCTTTGAGGGAGATTTGCGCAGCACAAAACGAAATAAAGTCCCATTGCAACGGCCTGTCTTGGCATCTGTATTTAACAGTTTTTCAAATATAGCAGAGGAATCTTTATGGTAGGATATTTCCGCGCCACTTTTAGACTTACTGAAGTCCCAGTATTTTCCAGTTTTCCTTTCCCTTGTATCTGAGAAGAGCCTCTCATCTGGGTTGATGATACCAAGTTTGGATCCACTCATTATGACTGGATTATCTGCAATTCAAACAAGTTGGTTCCATTAGGACACGGGGGCCTTTTTTATTCGATATAGAAAGTTACAAACAAATTACTAAAAACTATACGAACCGTACGACATTACAAGGACGGCCAGGAAAAGCATTATATCATGGCCACCCCCTAGCACTAGACATATGCGTAATTCATAATATTAAAAAATAGATTTTATAAATAAATAAATGAATAAATAAATAAAACACAAAATAAATACAGAGAAGATTTAAACATCTTTGTTCCTGCATTATTGAAACCGTTTTGGGATCTGGATATAATCCAATGTTACCGTAAGAATTTTTGCACTTAGATCAAATGGTTACTGTTTATGGCAATAAAGGATAACTATTAGCATCTCTTTATTTGAAAGATTTAACAAACCATGAGGCAACAATATCGCATGTACAATGTTGAGAGGATCACATCTATTTACATCATAAGTATAGCAGAGCAGAAAATAGTGCTCTGTTTCCTCAACACCATCATTTGTTGGGCATAAAGGGTTCAAAATTTCCCTAAAATTATGCTTGAATTTATGAAATTTTAGTTTACTGGGTCCAACTCTTTGCCAACAGACTTTTTTAAACTGGGAGAATATGAATGGCGGAAATGGAGTAAATTGTGAGAGCATGGTGAGAGAGAACACATTTTCTGACTATAGTGAAATAAAGTAAAAACGTTTTGTGCCCAAAGGTCTAACTAAATTGAAAAGGCCTTGGCTTGATGTTTCTTCAACTAGACTTTTATTGGATGAGCTTTTCTTGGTAGCTTTTTACGTTATTATAGCAAAGAGCAGCTTCTCTACAAAG